TATTTATATGTTTTGAAACTATTTTGGTGCCTTAAATCTGAGCACTTTTGCTCTTTCGCTTCCCCTTGTTTTTACTATTTGGTGAAACGGGAAGAAAAAGAAAAAAATCGGTCAAGGCGACATTTGTTTTTCATTTTTTTTCTTTCTTTATTACATTTCAATTTTTAAGTTTTATTTTTGTTTTTCGTCTTTAAATTTTGAAGCAACACTTTATTGTTTTGGATTGTTGTTACATGGGTTTTGTTGTTCTTATTAGACTGTTTCTCAGGAAAACAAACAAATATTTCTGTTTTCTACTATTGTGTGTGTTTTAGAAACAAATAATTTTAAAATCTTTGAAATTGTGTAAGCCCTATATAATTATTTATGGAAAAAAAATCAGAATACCCTTTTTTCTTTTCTTTTTTCCTTTTCTTTCAGAAGTTAGCATCTTCAGTACAAATACATTTTTTAAAAATAAATAAAAGAAAAAAGATTTTGTCAAATATGAGATTCTTTCGGTTATAGAGAAAGGCATGGAATGAAATTTAACTATTCGCATTATTAATCGGAGTAGGAGGACTCCTATACGAATTCTTTATAGAGAAATGAAAGCGGCGGATCATAGCTAGTGACTTAATTGTTATCATTCTTTATACAAGAAGTGAAAAACAGTACAGGTGTTGGGGGAATAGAGTCGTAAAAAAATGATGTGCATTAAAGTGGCTCATGCATGGCCATAAAACAAAGATTTCTTGTGCTGCATGAACCTTACAACCACATTTTGAGCCAACACCACGAGCCAGCCAAATAAAAACGAGGGACCGCTAGACAAAAATCAAGTGTGTGCAAGCTAGTCTTGCGTTGAACCGTAGATCTAGTACGCTTGATCCAGGCCTTGTAGTGGATCCTAGGTAAACAATGTTCGAATTCATAGCATCAGAGACCATCTTATCTAGGCCCATAAAAAACTGATGATAGATCTTTCATTATTAGGATGAAGATTCGAAGGTGCTGTATCTACTTCATACTGTCATGTAAAGGAATTGTATCTACTTCTATCTTGTTCGATTTTCGAAGGTGTTGCCGTGTTGGTGGTATGAAACTATGAATCCATCCCCGTCACCAATCAAAACACACCTGGTTTTAATTAGTACACTTTTCTCGATATTGTCAACTCTTTTTCCGATCACCAGTAAGATTTTTACTCATACGGTAACCTTCCTTGAGATCCAGAGGCTTTCAGAGGCAAGAAAACTTTCGGCTCGAAAGATGATGGGCCATCAAATCGGCATTTAGTTTGGTTGAATAATAGATATATATTATTATGCGTTATATGGGCCAAACTAAAAGCCCAAACATTTCGGGAAACTTTTTTTTTTGGTGCAAAACATAAATACATATAGTTTACATGATTAGCAGAAAATGATAATGCAACAGAAGTTAAGTATTCATCTAGTTATATAATAACTTTTTTTTAGGTTAGATGTGATATCTAATAGAAGAAATATGTTATTTTTGCCACACACAAAAAACGTAAAAATCTGACCTCTTTTAAAAAAGAGGATGATGGGCTGTGTGTTGAAATTAGTGTACTATGTCAACCATTAACTAGTTCCATTCCACTTGTTTCAGTTCCAAGAAAATGATGGGAGAAAATCTATTTATTTTAAAATAAAATAGAATGCAACTTCCATCATAAATTATATATACTCGATCTGAACACTTATAAGTTGACATACACAAAATATTTTTTTTTCCCTAAGAAAAGATTGATATATGAAACGAAACAAAAGGAGGGGATACCAAGAATTTGTTGGGATCGAACGAAATGTCATTGTTTAGTGTCAAGTAATTCACTGGGATAGTTAGATATTTTTAGATAGAAGAGAGCCATTGCCTCTCTACGAACAAAAGCCAACGTGTTTCAAACCTTCGGTTCACACGTACACATATATGACTTATATCTTTATCGTCCAAAGCCATCCAAAAACACACTCTTATTGGTCGACAAATCTAACATTTAAATATCGAAATTGTTTTAATTTGGTTCACATAGCTTGATTGCCGCCTTAGAAGAGTAATAACATCTTGGGACATCTCCCGTATGAATGGCGTGTGAAGTTAAAGAGACGTGTGTTTTCATGATGGGATCGTGATCCTTAACCGCTGTTCTTCTTTATTGTTGTATGCTTCTATATACATATAACGAATTAAAAAGAAAACGTTTATGTATAGACCTAGGCACATAGCTCCGTGTTTTATTTTATGCATCCACTACCAACAACTTAATTTGTGTGTATCGATGGGGATATTGAAAAACGAGCTTCAAACGAATATTGGAATGGAATGTGTAGGAACGTCGAAAGAGAGAGGAAGAGACTGTTCTTACTGAAATTAAGTACGAAATTGAGGTGTGACTGCATGATAAACCTAAAGAAATTTAAAAAACTCACAATATAAATACATGATATAATTTTATTTGAGATGTGTGACGCGTTTGATCAAGGTCAGAGGCCAGTTTGCTTTGAAATATATGAATATGATGATTGAATATATATTTACAAAGAGGTGTGGTCAAGATATGATTAGAGGTTTAGCAATTTCGAGTATATATAACAAAAATCTTTTAATATATTACTTGATTATCCCGATCAAAATTATTGTTTAGATATTCTCAAAAATTTTAATTGTAAATAATTTTTACTTGATTATCCTTTAATATATATGTAGAGGATGATTATCCCCCCGCCCCCCAAAAAAAAAATCGAATAAGATAAGAATCTTTGATAAAGAGAAGTGAAGATATATTGTTGATATATGATCTTATCAAACACTTTGGTGCCGCCGTAGTTATTAGTTAACAATATATAAGGGATTTGCCTCACTATTAATTAATATCACCCAGAAACGAAGCTATGAATCCTGCTACCGTCGATGAATCTCTGAGCCAGCGGCGTCCATGGTGGTGAGTCTCATCATCGAGTTTTCTTTCATCTTCTAACTTTTTCAGTTAACTAGAAACTAGTAAACAATATACATATAGCAATATATAATTGGTGGGTTTGTATGCAGGCAAAACAAATATGTAGTATACGACATTGTCATGAGCGTGCTCTTGATAGGCTTCAATGTTGCAACCTACTTGTATATAAGACATTACAAGATTCCCTTAGTTGAAAAAAAAAACCATATGATGGAGGTTTTTGTGGCTTGCTACTGCTTTGGAATCATTGCTGGTGTGGGTACATGGGTCTGCATGTTTAAGAAGAAGTTCCCCGAACGTCCCTTCGAAGGCGGTGTCATGGCTTTTGCTCATATCCTTGGCGTTCTTGTACTCGTTTATTTCCTTTATTGCATTTCTCTCGTTTCTGCTCTCATTGTTGGTATACCTTGTTTTTTGTGGTTTATATCCGTTTACATTTATTCCTGTTCTCAATATTAACTACAAATACCCTAATTGTTTTTCTTATTTCCCTTTAGCGTTTCTCTTGTTTTTTTTTTGGGTATATTATATCTTTTTAGTTTAATTTTTGAAAACGAACGTAAATTGAAATTACCTCAGTATGGATTCGGAAATGTTCATGATTACATGGGCTTATAAATTGAGCCGCATTTAACACTAAACCCACAACACAACACACATAAAAGCGAATGTGTTTATTTATAATCTAATTTTTAATAGAAGAAAAAAGCAAAAATCGTAACCCACAGCTGAATACTAATTTTCTCATTTGTAAAAGCTAGTACTATTATCTTTGAGAAGGTTTATTTTTACTAAGAGAGAGTATTGGACCTATTGGTTGATGGCCCACCCTCTCTGTTTTTACCCTTGTCGTAGTTGATATTTTTCTACATATTAGTTTCAACTTTCACGCGAGAATATTTAATTATATTACTTAAGCGAATGATTATTATAGAATAGGCAATATCGATAATTTATTTGCAAAATTTGACGTGTGTAAAGAGATAAATACGTTATTTTGAGGTTGGGAAAAAATTACAGAAGTCTTCTACAAATTGGCCATTTTCTTTTGGTTATGTCTGTATTAGGAATTTAGGATAATGGGAGGAGGCAGCTTTACGTGGTCCATCTTACACCGTCTGATTTGTAGACAGATTAAGAATTTGAGCGGCCGTGATTCGTCGAAGCACCCATTTTATATGGGACCCATGTGAGCGATGGTCCCGCTTCTTGTTTCTTCTTTCCACTTGTGACCTCTAATTGCCAACATTACTGGACGACAAAATCGCCTGAGCTTTCTCATATATATATATATATATTTTTTTTAAAGAAAATCTTTATTTTCTTCATATATTGCTTACAAAAACTTATTCAATTTAGATAACAACTGTGATACAACATTACAACTAATTATCAGAACTTGTGTTTGTTAGAATTGGTAACTTTGATTTTATGCAGCCATACAAAAAATACATGTCTAATTTATTAAAGTTAAGAAAGGTTTGAAACTAAGAAAATGTAATTTAGACTTTAATTCGGCTAATTTTCAAAATTTAATATTGAAAAACGAACAGTATTGGTGATCCATATGATATAATAATACCTACTAACTTGATTTCTAATATTACTGAATTAAATAGTTTTTTTTATAATAAAGAATAGTTTAATCATTGAACAATAAAAACATGTAACGCTTTTTTTTTGCAGTTAATATAGCAGAACATAGCTAAAAAATAGCATTTCCGAAAATTCAAAATTGAAAACTTCAAAACTTTAGAGCAGGAAAATGTTGTGATTTTGTGTAGTAGTATATAAAGATAGAAGGGGCACAAATAGAATAATCCAAAAAGGAATGATCAAAAAAGCGTAGAAATTAGACAATTCCCTCAAGCCCATTAACGGCTTTTAAGGCCCTAAGATACGAAATAAAATTTCCGAAAGAAGCAAATTTCAATGAAGACAAAAAACCTAAAATACCCATGGAAAGAGAAGATAATTACGGTAAAATGCCACGAACGTTCATAAAAAGCCATTCTACCCCATCTGACTATTGAATCTCCGCCCTTCCTTCCTTATCACTCACAAACTTTTTACTATCTCTCTCTCTCTCTTTCTCTCACACCGTTTCTCCATGAAAGCTTACAGCTTCAGCTTTTCTTCGAACCACTAAACTCTCTTATAACTCTTTTATCATTATTTTTATAATTCTTATTATTCTCCTACTTTTTTGAATTTCATATTTCTCTGCTGGAAGCTAATTAAGCTCTATAAACTTGCTCCGGCTCTTCCTCTCACTCGGTAACTATCGAAATTTGAATGTTTAAGTTTGTGTTATGTATACAGATATCTTAGCTAACGGTATTTCATAAAACATGTGTTATTCAGTTTGATATGTTTTGGATAAGATTATGTACTCGATTGAATATTAAGTATAAACTTCACATTTTGTTTCAATTATGGGTTCTTCATGAGGTTTGAGTGGTTATGAACTTAGGATTTGCACATTTGTATGTATATTGACAATGGTATTGTTTTCGTTAACCGGTTGAGTTTCGTTTTGTTCTTTTGTCCATAACTAACCAATTGTATTTCTTTTCAGCTTTCGTTTGGTTTTCGTTTAATAAAAGAGAAAAAAAATAAGCTCGAGTAATGGCTCCCAAGAACAACCGTGGAAAGACAAAAGGAGACAAGAAGAAGAAGGAAGAGAAAGGTCCCAATAATGAAAACCTTATTTTTATGTTAATTAACTTCCTCTGACAATTGATTTCTAATTTACATACGAATCATGGTTTACGGTTTATGTGCAGTTCTTCCGGTTATCGTGGATGTCATTGTAAACCTTCCGGACGAAACGGAGGCTATTTTGAAGGTTTGTTTGTTTATTTCTCGCATAAATTATGTAATCTTTTCATAGTTCTTGCGTGTTTACAACTGTTTCTTGGTAGCGATTTCTTTGTGAATTTTGTTATAACCTGTAAACCATTTTCTATTTTCTGCTTTTGATGCACATACCTGATTTATATTACATTAGTTTCTGTACCCAGTTGCCCAAATCCATATTTGTTTCTGGCATATAACTTTCCCAATGTGCATACTCAATTTTCTTTCTATATTTTTTATTTTGTGCTGGCTTTTTTTTTTCGAGATAAGGTGAGAGAATACACGTTACCATAGAAATTGATAGTTATACATGCTGTTTTTTGGGTTTTCAAATAAAAATAAAAAATCATTTTCAATTTGACTTAGAATTATCTTTTGAATTTTTATCATTGTTTGAACGTGTATATAAATACAAAACGGTGTGTAACACACAAATTCGATTATCAGATAACTCAATTATCTCTCATATTTTTTGGTCAATTAATTACGTAGACGTTATATAGACTAATAGACAGTGAAATATGTATAGAGAAAACATGAATATCAGTATATATATTATTATATTAGCACTTTTGTCATCAGAAAAGATGTATATCTTTTTTCATATGTATAAAGAAAAATTGTTCTTGTATGAAGTGATATTAGTATATATTTTATTGGATTCACGGCGATTAAATTTTGATCAAATGTGGATTTTTAATAGAGAAACACGTATGTCTGAAAACAGGGCATATCTACGGACAGGATCATAGACGTTCGGCGGCTTTTATCCGTTAACTTTGACACCTGCCACATCACCAATTATTCTCTCTCCCATGAGGTAAATAATTTGAGTGAAATTCTAAGAGGAAGTTTCTAAAGCACTTGAACTTTCTGAAGCATTTTTCTCGTTATTGTTTGTTACTAGTTAATGTCCGATGGTCCAAAATTATTCATATTTATTGTGGAATTTTATAGGATCCGAATACTAAAAGTGAGCAAAAAGTAAAGGAAAATGACTTTTATGACGTCTAAGAAATATTGATAGTGTCATTGTGCCTAAGAATTGCCACTCTGACTTTTCTTTCCCTTTTCTGCAATTAGATATGTTACCAGAATAAGCTTTTCTTTCCCTGCTTTCAACTATAGAAAATATTAGAATCATAATAATAATAGTATAAAAGGAACAAAAAGTTACTGTAGTAAAATAGTCACTTCATGTCTGACTTGAAGAGACTGTCGATACAGGTAAGAGGATTGCGGTTAAAAGACACAGTGGATGTTTCGGCGCTTAAACCGTGTGTTCTGACGTTAACGGAAGGTAAAGTTCTCTCGTGCTTCAATACGACGCCGTTACCATGCCGTAACGGAAATTTTCAATTCAAATGCCGCTAACGCTCCGTAACGGATATTAAATGTAGTCATAAGTGGTTAAACGGTGCCGTATTAATTATGTGCCAAAATGACGTCACTATTGTGTTTCGCGCGCTTCTAATTTGTTTGACCGTTATAAAAATATTTTTTTTGCAGAGGATTACAACGAGGGAACAGCAGTGGCGCACGTTAGACGCCTGCTTGACATCGTCGCCTGCACTACTTGCTTTGGTCCGTCGCCGGAGAAATCCGATTCCGTGAAAAGCGCGCAGGTTAAAGGAGGTGGAAAGAATTCCAAACAGACGGAAACGTCACCTCCGCCTTCTCCTGCGCCGAAAGATGCGGTGGTTGATGAAGCCGGAGAGACCAGCCATTCTTTCCCTAAGCTTGGAAGTTTCTACGAGTTCTTCTCTCTCGCTCACCTCACTCCTCCTCTTCAATGTATGATCGTCTTTCTCTCTCCCTCTAACCTTAAATGTCCTGTTTTCTCAGTGGATTGTGTCCCAACTCACGGTAATTAGGGTTTTATAGATATACGTCTCGTGACGAAGCGGGAATCCGAGGATATCGCAGCGGATGATCATCTTCTCTCCATTGATGTAAGCCGATGATGATTCACAACAAAATTCAATTTATACCTCAACTGGCCTGTGGTGATACCCTTTTGTACTTCAAATTTCATCTCAGGTGAAGCTTTGTAACGGGAAGCTCGTTCACATTGAAGGTTGCAGAAAAGGGTTTTACAGCGTTGGGAAACAAATAATCATATGCCACAATCTCGTTGATTTGCTTAGACAAATTAGTAGAGCCTTTGATAATGTAAGTTTTTTTTCTTTTTGTTTGGTTTGTGATCCACCCATCTACATGTTATAGTAATTTCGTTGATCTTATTATTTTATCATGTTTAGGCTTACGGCGAACTTCTGAAAGCATTTTCGGAGCGCAACAAGGTACATAATATTTCTCTATCTCAAAGAGTATTTAGTGGATGCTGAATTGGGTTAATGAGCATTCTAATATTTGTGCAGTTTGGGAATCTTCCATATGGGTTTAGAGCAAACACCTGGCTCGTCCCGCCGACCGCGGCGCAGTCACCAGCAGCGTTTCCGCCTCTCCCTTCGGAGGATGAGAGATGGGGAGGGGACGGTGGTGGTCAAGGAAGAGACGGCAGCTACGATTTGGTTCCATGGGCTAACGAGTTTGCCTTTATCGCCTCTATGCCTTGCAAAACAGCAGAGGAGAGGCAAGTCAGAGACAGGAAAGTGTTTCTTCTTCACAACCTCTTTGTGGATGTCGCCACTTTCAGAGCCATCAAGGCTGTTGAGAAAGTAATGGCTGAGCCAGCTCTGGCTGAAGGAGACTCTCAAGTTCTCTACTCCGAGACAGTCGGAGACTTGAGTGTTACGGTTACAAGAGATACTTCGATTGCAAGTAACAAAGTGGATACCAAAATCGATGGGATTCAGGCCACTGGTTTGGATAAGAATAAGCTGATGCAACGGAACCTTCTCAAGGGACTTACCGCTGATGAAAACACTGCTGCTCATGTGAGTGTTTGTTTGCCTAGAAATTTTCCACTTTTTTTCTCATCTTAGTTGTGTAACCCTGGTTTTCACAACTGTTTATGGGTGCAGGATGTGGCTACTTTAGGAACTATAAGCCTTAAGTATTGTGGTTACATTTCTGTTGTGAAAATAGACAAGGAGAGTGAAAAGTTAAGCCCACCTTCTCAGGTTGTTGACCTCCTTGAACAGCCTGAAGGTGGTGCTAATGCTCTAAATATCAACAGGTGATTATTTCTCACTCGATGCAAAAAAACAGTTATTCATCCTTTGTCTCTTTAGTTTATGTTGTGATTACTTACCATTTAATGCTGCTTTACAGTTTGAGATTCCTTCTCCACAAATCGTCTACTGAGCAGAACAAGAAAGCACATCAGCAACAGGAGGATGAGCTTACATCTTCACGAGAGTTTGTGAGTAAAATGCTTGAGGAAAGTCTTGTTAAGCTTGAGGAAGAGGAGATAGACAGAGACAGTATCATGAGATGGGAGCTTGGAGCTTGCTGGATACAGCATCTACAAGACCAAAAGAATACGGATAAGGACAAGAAACAAACCAGCGAAAAGTCTAAGAATGAGTTGAAGGTTGAAGGGCTTGGGAAACCGCTCAAGTCCCTCAATAGCAGCAAGAAGAAAACAGATGCAAGCAGCCCTAAGACTGCAGTATCGTCTCAGGTTGATGCGGTTTCTTCAGAGGTTGATATTGCTGCAACAACTGCATCTTTGCAATCTGATGCCGACAAGAATGCTCAAGAGAATGTTCTTGTCTTGAAGAATTTGTTGTCTGATGCAGCCTTCACTCGCCTTACAGACTCAGATACTGGACTTCATCACAAGGTTTTTACTTTTTACACTGCAACTCCATCTTTTTCCCCCATGTTCATTTACTCACTGTGTGCTGACTATGAATATGTGTTTCAGTCTCTGCAAGAACTTGTCGACTTAGCACAGAAGTATTACACTGAAGTCGCTATACCGAAACTGGTAAAATGAGTCTAGATTTTATTCTTAGTGTTGTCTATTGCAAATATGAAGATAATAACACATACATGTGTTTGGTATTTAACACAGGTTGCAGATTTTGGTTCGTTGGAGCTCTCCCCAGTCGATGGCCGGACTCTAACTGATTTTATGCACACAAGAGGTCTTCGGATGCGCTCTTTAGGATATGTTGTAAGTAGCCTTGTTTTCTCTTCAAGGTTCTTAGAATCTACTGAAGATGAATGACCAATCTTTTTTAATGGTTACAATAGGTGAAGCTGTCGGACAAGTTGTCACATGTACAATCTCTGTGTGTTCATGAGATGATAGTGAGAGCCCTTAAGCATATCCTACAGGCGGTGATTTCTGCTGTTGCTACTGACACTGACAAGTTAGCCGCAAAAGTAGCTGCTGCTTTGAACATGATGCTTGGGATTCCTAAAAACGTAGCGGAAACACCACAAAACTCTTGGAATGTACATCCCCTTATCTTCCGGTGGTTGGAGAAATTCTTGAAGAAGCGATATGACTATGATCTTAATGCCTTCAGTTACAAGGATCTACGAAAGTTTGCCATTCTCCGTGGATTATGCCATAAGGTGATTTAATGAATGCTTGAAACAGAAAATATTAGATTGAATATCAAAGTTTTTTGGTGTTAATATTTTATATGTGCTCAGGTTGGTATTGAGTTGATTCCAAGGGACTTTGACATGGATTCTCCAGAACCGTTCCGGAAAACAGATGTGGTCAGTCTGGTCCCAGTGCATAAGGTAATGAACAAGTGAAAAAGATATCTGAATAATCTCTAATATGAGATCGTTATTAAGACTTTTTCTGTTCTGAATCTCTGCAGCAAGCAGCATGTTCATCTGCTGATGGAAGACAACTTCTGGAGTCATCTAAAACAGCGTTGGACAAAGGAAAGCTTGAAGATGCAGTTACATATGGAACAAAGGCACTTGCTAAACTTGTAGCAGTTTGTGGTCCCTATCACAGGATGACAGCTGGAGCTTACAGTTTACTTGCTGTAGTTCTATACCACACCGGTGACTTTAACCAGGTCTGTATATTATATATATACACTTAGTCTAAGATGTGATATATATATGAAAATTGCAAAAGCTAAAAAGATTCTTTTGTCAAATCAGGCGACAATATATCAACAAAAGGCTTTAGATATCAATGAGAGGGAACTTGGACTTGATCATCCGGATACAATGAAGAGTTATGGTGATCTTGCTGTCTTCTATTATAGGCTTCAGCATACAGAGCTGGCTCTCAAGTAAGCTTTTTTGCAATGTTGATTATCAAAAGAAGGGCGAGGTTTAATGGTTTTGGATGTCTATTTTTACCATCTAAACTCTGATTCTTTTTTGGCTTTTGTTAGGTATGTTAAGCGTGCGTTGTATCTCTTACATCTAACGTGCGGCCCATCTCATCCAAACACTGCTGCTACGTACATCAATGTAGCCATGATGGAGGAAGGTCTAGGGAATGTACATGTTGCCTTGAGGTATCTTCACAAAGCTCTCAAGTGTAATCAAAGGCTGCTTGGTCCCGACCATATCCAGGTTCTTGCCTCGATTCTCTCTTGTGTGTTTTTCAGAATGCCACTTTTGATTTGCTTTTGCTAATATGTTTGCTGCTAATTATGTCAGACTGCTGCAAGCTACCATGCCATAGCAATTGCGCTCTCGTTGATGGAAGCATACCATTTAAGTGTTCAGCATGAGCAAACAACCTTAAGAATCCTACGAGCAAAGCTGGGGCCAGATGATTTGCGTACTCAGGTATTTATATATATTTCCATTGATATCCCCATTAAGCCAAATTAGTCATCGTTCTGACGATCTGATCATATTATTCAGGATGCTGCTGCTTGGCTAGAATACTTTGAGTCAAAGGCTTTTGAACAACAAGAAGCTGCAAGAAATGGTACTCCTAAGCCAGACGCGTCTATAGCCAGCAAAGGCCACCTAAGGTCAAACAAATTCTTTGGATATTATTGCTATCTTGTTTGAATGTATCAATCAAGTGTACTCACATCCTTAGTTTGACAATGTTTTGCAGTGTATCCGATCTACTCGACTATATCAACCCAAGTCACAACGCTAAAGGGAAACAGAGTGTGGCAGCAAAGAGGAAGAACTATATTATGAAGGTTTGATTTTTATTTCTTTTTGGACTTTTCTCTCCACTTTAGTGATGGTTAGAAAAAATGCTTACATGCTTGGACCTGCCTTTGTTTTGTGGTGTAGCTAAAAGAAAAATCAAACCAGATCAATGTTTCCGAACACTTAGCAGAAACTCAGAGAGAAAACCAAAAGGAAATGTCTGAAGAGGAGGCAGAAGCAACTGGATCAGAAGAAGGTCAATCAAGCGATGCGAATCAGGAGGCAGTTCTTGCAGCAGTTGAAGAACCGCCTTCTCCTCCAGCCACTGAGGAGGCTATGATGGATCCAATCACATCTGCTCAAGTTTCAGCTGATACACAATACCCTGATGGCAGTGAAGATGGATGGCAACCGGTGCAAAGACCGAGATCTGCTGGATCATACGGTCGCAGGCTGAAGCAAAGAAGAGCATCCATTGGGAAGGTATACACATATCAGAAGAAGAACGTTGAAGCTGACATCGATAACCCTCTTTTCCAGAATAATGCTGCTGCTGCTGCTCAGCAGAACACCAAATACTACATTCTCAAGAAGAGGACAGCGTCATATGCAAACTATGCAGATCATCAATCTCCCGGTAAGGCCGGAACTCAATTTGGCAGGAAGATAGTTAAAACCTTGGCGTATCGGGTTAAATCTATGCAGCCTTCTTCCGACAACAACAAGACTGGAGCTGAAACATCAGAGGAAGATGTGTTGAAGTCTGATGCTTCTCCTGTTGTGCCATCTGGTAATGAGTCCTCCTACCACTCGAAAAGCTCTCTTGTGAGTCTTGGGAAATCTCCATCCTACAAGGAAGTAGCATTGGCACCACCTGGTTCCATTGCCAAGTATCAAGTCTGGGCCCCACAACCCGAAGTTTCAGACAAGCAAGAGGAGAATGACGTGGAGAAAACACCTGAACAGGGCACATCGATGGAGCTTACAAGGGATGATCAGCAGATGATCACAGAGGAAGAGGTTATAAAAGATGATATTTCTGCAGACACTGATTCTAACAAAGAAGAGATCAAAGTAGAGGAGTTGCAAGAATCTGGTGATGGAACTCAGGTGGAAGAACAAGTAGTCGAAGCTGAATTGACAAACGACGGTGTAACAGATATGATTCATTCCACGACAGAGCAACAAGTGGCAGAGCAGTTAGTTGCTGACTCCGACGATATCAAGGAGAAATTGGGAATATCTTCTGCTACAGACTCAAGCGAGGCCTCGCGAGGTTTATTGTTATTACCAAACAAGAAGCTATCAGCTTCAGCTGCTCCATTCAACCCATCATCACCACCAAGTATAATACGTCCTACTCCCATAGGGATGAACATTGGACCGTCGTGGCCAGTGAACATGACTCTCCATCACGGGCCTCCTCCTCCTCCTTACCCTTCACCTCCTACAACACCGAACTTGATGCAGCCAATGTCCTTTGTGTACCCTCCTCCTTACACTCAATCGGTCCCCACAAGTACTTATCCTGTAACCAGCGGTCCTTTCCATCCCAATCAGTTCCCATGGCAGCTCAACGTGTCGGAGTTTGTGCCAAGACCGGTTTGGCATCCTCACATGATCGCTCCCGAGCCAATCGCTGCGACTGTGCTAGAGCCAACCGTGATTCTGCCAACTGATATTGACACGTCGGGTGTGGAAGAAGCAAAAGAAGAAGGCAAGCAAGATACGGATCAAGTTATCGACTCTGTGAATGCAGTGGCCAGCAGTGTAATGGAGAATGGAAAACCGAAAGTTGCGGACTGCGAGAAAACTTTCAGCATTTTGCTAAGAGGAAGGAGGAACAGGAAACAAACACTGAGGATGCCCATCAGTTTGCTTAACCGGCCTTATGATTCTCAGCCCTTCAAGATTGCTTATAGCAGAGTCATCAGAGACAGCGAGGCTCCAAAGTCCGCAGCTTGAAACGATTCAGCCATTTTCGATGACATTCATAACTCACACAGATCTCTCTCTCTTTCTCTCTGATCCTTGCTGTTTCTTAGGAACAGTATACAGGTTAGCTTCTAAACTCTTTGGTTGAATATAGTATATATGTATGTATTATATTGTATAACTTGTTGGTGTGTTTATTTGCAGGTAATTTCGTTATCAGTCATCGGAAGCTGGGGCTTGTGATGATCTCAGAATGATTTGGATTCTAACAGAAGAGAGAGGTTGCAGAGGGAAAAAAGCCAGAGCCATTCTTTTTTTTTACCATGTGAGGAGGTGATGGATGTATTATTTTTCTGGATTTTTATTTTTAATCAGCCAATAAAAATTAGGAAATTTTGGACATATTTTTTTTAGATCCCATTTTGTGGCCGCCATGTTTCAAACTTTTGTTATATCTCTCTCCCATATTTACTTTTCATTTGTTTACTTTCGTATTTGTCATCGATTACATCAAATTCCAACGGCTCACTATGAAAATTTGAAATGATGAACTTTTGAGTTTTTTCAGAAGAATTATCGTCTAATGTGATTCCTCTGACAAAACCGAAGGTAGGTTTATTCCAAAAAAGAAAAGAAAAAAATTTGAGTATTAAAGATAACTTAACAACCAAAAATGGATTCCTCCACCGCCGTGTCCTCCGCTCTCATGCCATTTCGTTAAGTCGCTCAACGATCGCCGCCGGTGGATCGTCCCGGACAAGACCAATCTGGTCTCCGTAACTTCCAAACGGGTTTTCGCCTTCGTAATTTCCCGGTGGGTTATAAACACAAATCGCATAAACGCCGCCGTTTGAACAATCCACACGTGCGCAACCAACCTTCGTGCTATCTCTCCACACGATCTGCGTGTAATGTCCACACATCTGCCCTGGCTCACACGTGTTAGCTTTCACGTCATAAAACTTATCCTCATCGGCCCACACTTTAACGACATCAATGGGCCTCCAATTATTCTTTCCGGCCCAAAATATGTTTTCTCCGAAAGGACCGTTAGAGTGAACAAGCCTACAATCACCCACGCGCTTGTTCGCCCACGCGCGCGCGTACGCCGCTAATCTTCCGTCCCATTCTAACGGCGGTTCTCCCACGCGCGCACGTACGAGGTTGTGTGCGAATAGGAACTCCATGCTCGCTCTGTTTACCTTGTTACGACGTCGTCTTCTCCTCCACCTGAACCTGAACGAGATCCGTTTTCCAGCTAATGATGGAGATGATGACGACAGATATCGAGTACTAGTCGCTGACGGAGAATTAACGGAGGGTTGTGTAGAAGACTCGCTGTGATTAATTTGGGCCGTGACGGCCAAAAGTTGAAGGAGGAATAACGTAATGGCGATGAACATGGGAAACGGTGCTCGGATTACCCGTTGACGGAGGCGGAGCTCCATTTTTAATTTTTTAAAAAAGGTGAGAGTTAATTACTTAATTGTAGGTGGAAAGTGTAATTAACTCTCTAGAATGAAATTTGTGAGAGGGAACGAATTAATAGGTAGTGTTTTCTATTTTTTATTTACATTAGATAATCGTTTCTATTTATGAACGTTGAATGTAAGTCAATCAAAAGTCAAAGCACGGTGAATATTGAAAATCGAAATACCGTTCGAAACATAATTTAAATAAAGTTAAGGCCTAAGGTAAGGGTGAATGATTATTAATAAAGGTCTGAGATAAATTAGCTTTGATCCGTCTCAAAAAGATAAAACAATTTAACGATCATATGTCAGATTTTTTTTTTTTCTGTATTTTATAAGAAAGTCTCTTACGATCAGAATGGCATGATTTCATTCATACACACGTACACCGTATTTTACCAAAATTTAATTAGTATTTTGGACGTACTCTCTACCTTCCTTAGATTTATCATAGTTCCATAGCATTGTCTTGGAGTTTGTTTTCACAATCTTGATCTAAAAGAAGAATTCCAGGTGTTGTCTCACTTGTTGATTTACTAAAAGTAAACAAGAGCTTTTGGCGAAATGAGGGGAAAAAAAAACCATAAAAATACTCCATATATTTAAAAACGACAATAAAACAGCCGACAACACGTGAAGCTTTTACCAACACGTATTTAACTCCACCGCTAAAAGATTCACTTGTCCGAAAACACACAAGTCTAAGCATAAATTGCGAATAAAATAAAATAAACAAGCTACATTATCGGTACCGATTCGGCTCGGGTCAGGATTAAGCGCATCCTCGTGGAGCAAACCCGACCCGGGAACCAGTTAAGTCGTATACGACCCGGAAACCCTGTTGCTGGATGTTCCCGATAATAGAAAGTCCGCTCATCGTACCGGCGAAAGCAAAACAGAATTTGCCGTTAGTATCCACCGGAATCAAGTAATTCGTCGCGGGGAGTGACACGTCGGCTCCACGGAAGTGCAGAACCACCGTCGGGACCTTAACCTCGTTTTGATTAGAGAGATCGAAACACGTGTCGAAGAGAGAGAAATCCGGTGCTCGTTTTAGGGTCTTGGCTCCGACCCGGAAGGCGTCTCTCATAGCGATGTAAGCTGGTCGGATCAACCGGGTCACAGAGGTCCCCGAATCGATAATGACACCGCCGTTTCCAATCTGGTCGAGTTTGAAATGAGAAGCGCTCACGCCGGGGACACGTGTCCCTCCGACGCTAATTCCTAAAAGCTCGACGTAGTAGAAAGTGTCGAGCTTCGGGTTTGATAAAAGCGGCGTGAATTTTGCGGTTCGTGAAACGGCGGCGTTTCCAAAGACGACGGAGGAAGGCTTAGAGGAAGCGGATCTGTCGACTAAACAGTACGAGAATTTCTGATTAAACCGGCGACCGGTTTGACCGGGAAACGACAATCTACCTTTTCCTAGGCCTAACAAACCGGCGGCTCCGACGAATAGACCTTCGTTGTCGTGACCGCATCCGAGCGCAACGCCTTTGACGCGGTTTCGACGGAAAGTTAGCGTTTCGGTGGAGAAATCCCCGACGGTGAAAGAACCGTCGCCGTATGATACTTGGTAGAGGCAAGTCCGACGGCGGGTGTTGCATCCTGCAGAATCTAATCGCCGGCAATGAGGCGAAGAACAGGGGATCGTGGAGTAGGTCCTGGATTTTCTCGGGTCGAAAATCGGGTCGGATTGAGAATAACATCTCCGACAAGGAGCGCACTGGAGCCAAACGATATCGCTTCCGGTGTCGAGGACCATGTAAACATATCTCGCCGGAGTTCCGACACCAAGGCGCGTGAAGTATTCTCCACTTCCCTGAGCGAGACCAGAGACCACCGAGCTGCTGAATCCGCCGGTTTTGGGGGCGTGAGTAGCATTTCTTCTGGGGATTTGGGCGGCGAGTGTGGCGATTGATTTCACGCGCCGGGAGTCGCGTTGGAGACGGGAGCTGAAGAGCTCTTGTGGTGTTCTGTTAGTGGAGAGAGCATCGATGTGGTCGAGGTTTAGTGTAATCGACGACTCGGATTCGGATCCGGATTCGGTTTCGGATCCTAGCAACGACTCGGAGTCGGGTTCGGATTCCGGTTGGAAGGAGATGGGAGAAGCGGAAGGAAGAGAATGAGAATTTGGGATTAGGGTCTGGAAAGCGGGAAGGGAAGAGAAGGAAGGGAGAGAGAGGAAGAAGAAACAGAGAGTAAAGAGGAAAGCTTTTCTTCTTCCTTCCATTCTTTTCTCGCGTTTTCTCGGGAAAATGGCAGTGAGAGTGGTCTCTGTATATATAAATGCACTAGTCTTCTTGGAGAACAAACTGAGAAAAAGAAGCAAGCGCTCTTTTAAAATTCTTTTTTTTTATATCTAAAATAAATGCATGAATTATACTTAATAAATATCTATCATGTTAGTAGTATATCATAAGGATTACAAGAAGACTATGGAGATGCAAAAGCGATGTTATAGATTCGGTGGATAACAAACACTAGGAAATATCAAGTGGTGTGGGGAACAATCAGCTTATTGAAAGAGATAAATAACTACGTTTCTTATTTGTGAAAAGTGAAAAAGTTATTTTCATTATACCCAATAATTCTCCCACAATTGGTGCCATATTTCGCTCTTTAGTTTCAAACACTCCACATGGGTGAAAATTACTTGCAAATATCGACGAAAATGGTGTTTGTACATTCTGATGCATCCAAAATTATTTAACCAATAATACGTCACGAACTTTAGATCTTCCTGGTCTAGTTAGATTATCGATATCATCTAACACTCTTTCCATCTATTCCCGCACAAGAATTCGAAAGAATGAGATCCAAGATTTAAAACTTTCATTTTCAATGCTTCGATATGTTTACATATCATAATGACCTTCTTCTTTAAATGAATACAACAACAACAAAAAAAAAGATAATTAAATAAACAGAGTGATATTGGGATGTGTGACCACCAATTAAATGCTGTGACCAATCTCTCACTCTATACAGAATGTGAAGACTATAGTGAATAAGTGTGAACAGTGTGAGTAATGACTTTTCACAGTTGAAACTTAAAAGCATTGATTTTCTATCAAACACTCACTCTCATAAATTGTTTCTCATACGGTTTAGGTGAAATTTAAATCCCACATCAAAGTGCTTACCAAGTATCAAACTTTTCAAAGAGTTATCACACAAGAAATCCCCAAGCCGCAGTTTACCGGTTAGTTCATCAACCTTCTCTTTTTGAGACCGGCTTTACTGGCCCGGTCAAGCCATGGCTCTACGCGTATGTTCCAATCTGATGAAGAAATTAGTACATTAAGAGAAAACCAGAATTAGAAGATATCAAATATGGAGAAAAGAATATATTGATTAATGGGTCCGACGTAAAAGAGACAAGAAAGCAAAAGCCACTAGAACACACACTTTTTGCTTTCTCTGCTTTATATATGCTAAGTGCTCATTCATCATTACAAGGTCGTGGCATGAACAATATGCACACAAGAAGATTAGAAATTCGACATGATTAAGCAAATAAACATTGCTTATACATACACATTATGATATGTGATCCTCCTAATTGTGTGTGTACTGATTTCATGAGAGGTTTAGTGTATCTTCTTATTAGAGAACATTACAAGAACAACTGTAAAAAGAAAAAAAAATAAACTGTCGAAAAGAACAAAGACGAAATTGCATATTTTGCTTTGATAAAACCAAAACTCAAAGAGCAATAGCCACAGAGTTTTGAGCAAGTAAAAGAACTTAACTAGTGCCTTCGACAGTGCCTGCGTGAAATACAGCCTAATTGACCAGTCAATATTCAAAAGTTCACACCTTTACATAAACGGTTCATCACCCAAGCAACCAAACAGCTGGATCACACAACAAATCGTTCCATAGATACAGAAAGCTAACCTCCATAGCTACGGAGGCAAATGTTGCTCGTGCTCACTCGCTTCTAGACCAACACCCGCTCTTTCCACCAGTTTTACGCTCGAGTCTCACATCTGTAATTCTGATATCTTTCGACGCAGCCTTGCACATATCATAAACAGTTAAGCCGGCAACTGAGACAGCAGTCATAGCTTCCATCTCAACTCCGGTTTTCCCAGTGCAAGAAGCTTCTCCTTCAATGTCAACGCTGAAATCCCCAGGGTTTAATCTCAAGTCTACACGAACATTCGTAAGAGCAATGTTATGACACAGTGGTATTAAACTGCTGGTTTGCTTTGCTGCGTTGATGCCAGCGATTTTCGCCACTCCAAGAACGTCTCCTTTCTCCATCTGGTTCGCGAACACCAAATCGAAAACTCTTCTCCCCAGAACAACTTTACAGCAAGCCAATGCGGTTCTCTTAGTGTTGTCCTTGGAAGAAACATCCACCATTTGAGCTTCACCTGAGCTCCCGACATGAGTTAGCTTAGACACTTTTGCCGGTTTTACATATTGCGTAGAATCCTCCGGGTTTGTAGATTTTGGAGATCCAAGCTTGGATTTTACTTCAGATAAACCGGAAAACCCATCGGTAGAGGGTTCTGCTCCAAATATTGATTGCATTTCCTGAAACACCAATTTTAACAAAACCAACGGAGATGTAGGAATTAACGGAGAAAGCAACGAACTTCTAAGCATTTGTTTCGCACAATCATAAAACCGAGAACACTAATTTTCTTTTGCTTTCCTAAGCATTATACTATCGGAAATACAAAAAACTCAAACCCATTACACTGAATCTACTTAGTATCTCAACACGATTGAAAATAAAGCCCCAAATTTTCAAGAGTTGATTGATATATAACTAGTTACAGATACAGAGAGTTAGAAAACCTGATTCAGCTCGTTCAAAGCTTGGGGATCGATTTCATCGGTAATTTTACTGCTGAAAGCCCTTCTGCTGTGAGAAATCACAGTCGGAAATCGACGGAGAAACATGGCGTGACGAAGCGTCGGAAACATTTTGCATTTCACCGGAAAGGGAAGAGCCAAGAGTAAAAGTAGGGTTCTACTAAACCGGAAAGACAAGACCGTTCTCTTCTCCTTAAACCGATTTGGTTTACAATTCAAGAACCAAATTTTTATCTTTCACCTCTTAAAACGAAAGTTTTAAAATCTGTGCCAACACACCCCACGAATCACCCCCCTTTTTTTAATTTCTTCTCTCAATTCTTTTTAATTTAGGGATTATGAGTTTGCAAAACCTCGATTTAATCTCAAAAGTCAAATCGATATTATTGATATCGAAATGTAAGTCTTATTATAAGGCAAAGTTAAAAAATCATTGTACTATGTGTACAAATGAGCTTCCAATCTTGGTCTAGCGATAGCCCACAATGGTTTAGCCTTAGGCATAGTCATGCCGTAAACTTCCACCGTATCAATATCTTCCGGCGAAGACCAGTCAAAGCAATGGAAGAGCCGAGACAAAGCCATTAGCACCATCGTCACACCTAACGGAGCTCCGGGACACTTCCTCTTACCGGCGCTAAACGGCAATATCTTAAAATCCGGCCCGTGGCTTATCTCGACCCGTCCGCTACCGTCAACGGGCCAATGCCGTTCGGGCCTGAAGTCTTCCACGTCGTCCCATATCTTAGTGTTTCGCCCCAACCCATGTGTATTGATGAAGACACGTGTCTTTGCCGGGATGTAATAGCCGTTGATCGTCGTTGGGCGGACGGATTCGTGAGGGATCAAGAAGGGTCCGGCCGGATGCATTCGGAAAGTCTCTCGTACCACACAACGTAGATAGTTTAAATGGACTAGATCCGACTCATCGACCATCCGATTTGATCCTACGACATTATCAAGCTCCTCTTGGATTTTACGCATCACTCGCGGTTGCTTTATTACCTCCGCCATTGCCCATTCGTTCGTGACCGCGGACGTGTCGGTCGCAGCCGCTATCATGTCCTATTTAATTTTCAAAAAAATATATATATAAACGTGAACATAAAATTGTTAGAGAATTATTTACGGAAAATGTTGTAAAAACAAAGAAAAAACATTCACAAACAAACTAGTGAATTCAAAGATTTGATGCATTTATTAACATAACAAAATAGAATATTACCTGAATTAAAGCTTTAATTTCAACGTCATCCATGTGTTCTTTACCGTTCTCACCAGGGAGAGACAACAAAACGTCAACAAAATCCATGTCTCCGTTGTCATCTTCGTCTTCCCGTTTTGCCCTTCTGTGCTCGTCGATGATCTTCGTGTGAAACTTGTCCACACGCTTCTCCACGTCCCTCATTTCTTTCTCGCATCCGTACGGATCCACCCATCGCCAAAACGGCAGGTAGTCTCCCAAGTAAATTACACCCAACAGCCAAAACAACTTATGAGTTATATGCATAAACTCTTGAGCTTCCTTTGGGCTTACTACAGATCCAGGCCCAAAGAATTGTTTCCCTAGTAGCATCCGGGTCACATTGTTCATAGAGAAAGCACCCAATACTTCCCTAAGGTTTATGGGCTTGCCGTATTTCGCCTGTTCAAAGACATCCTGTATTAGATATCGGGCTTCTTCGGCCCGTTGGACCGTAAAAGATTCAAGCCTTTTGGTTGTAAGTAGGTGTTCCATGCATATCCTCCTCATCCTTTTCCAATGCGGGCCCATTGGTGCTAATGCCACATCCCCGCACCCGTACGCCAAGTGGACTGCGGCGAGTGTTTTAGGCCTTGATGCAAAAACATCATCTTGCCGAAAGAGAATCTCCCGGATGGTATCAGGATCGTTTGTTGTAATGGCATCGATGTTTCCAAGCCTAAGGTAGACTAATGGACCGTACTTGTTACAGAGAGCTGCCAAGTCCCGGTGAGGTAAAGGCCCCAATTGGAGAAGATTACCCAAAATAGGCCACCTTGGTGGGCCTGGAGGAAGCTTTTGGGTTTTACATGCTGAAGCCTTTAGCCACCTCCATAGAAGAACATTAAGAAAGAGAATGGCGCAGAGAAAAGCTAACACCAAAATCATTTAATCTTAAGAGTTTTTGTTCGGCGGATCTTTTCATTACTCCATTTTTTGTTTGTGTTGTCTCATATATATAACATATAATGGAAGACTAGTAGCTAAGTTTTTGTTAGAACTATCAATTACCAACTTTGCTAAAATTTAGATATAAACCATATATTCTCTTTCTTTGTGTGCCACTTTTACAGACTACATGCTTTATTCATGTTCTTTGAATTGGTTTATTAGGACATAATTAGCTTAGGAAAGAGACATCGCATCTTGAATTAACGACTAGTAAGATACAAAGTATGGATAACGTGGGCATAGAATTAAATTTTTTTTAAAAAAGATCAAAATCTTATATAAAAGACTGAAATCCAGTTAACAAATGGTTCCATGGTCTAGCGGTTAGGACATTGGACTCTGAATCCAGTAACCCGAGTTCAAGTCTCGGTGGAACCTTTTCCTTTTTATTTTCAAACTTAAAATTTCTCCTGAAACCATTTCCAAATTTTGCCCCAACAAAAAGAAGAAAGGTTTACACTTTACACTATCAGCATCCCGTTGGTTTTGTTGGAGACTGTCCTATTATTGAGTTTTTTCACTGCCTCGAGTAAATGCTTCATCTGCTCTTCATTTGTTCTTGAGCAATTCCGTGAGCAATCCTTAAGACCAACTTTTCAGAGCATAGTACTGTCCTTCTCTATATACTCAATCCACGACAGTAATATATAACTCAAGCTATTGCTGCAGATCACAAAATTTGGCTCAAAATTGATTTACCTGCGAGACAATGATTTGTTGAACTCCTCTACGAAGAAGAACCCACTCTCAAGTCCATGACTTTACAAGAAACAAGTATTTAACTCATAAACATAATGGGAAACAAGTAATTAACTCATAAACATAATGGGTTTTCTTCTTTCAAGTTTGGCCACTGACCTATTGTATTGAGATGAGAATGTCTACTTTTGTCAATAAAACTTCTACAATATCCTAGTTTGGAGGATTCTTACAGGTATATAACCAAAAACAAAAACAAAAGAACCCTAGAAGAAAAAGAACCATTCAAAACCGGTTCTTCATTACAAACTTACTTTTCACCTTCTTCCGTCTCTCAAAAGGCTATCTACCTGATGATGTTCTTGACTGAACAGAACTGGATTGCTCTCTAGATAACGCCGAGACCAGCTTCTCTTTCGTTAACTCTCCAGATTTGATCACAAACGTATGCAACAATGTGTCCTGAGAAACTTCCAGTTTCGTATTTGTCACTTCTACTTTAGCCTCTTCAAACGCATGGAAGATTCTAGAAGCCGGATGGGAATCCAACGGACAGTGGACTCTCATTGAAACATCTTCACCTACGGTTTGAACAGTAACCTCCGGTTCCAAGCTGATGGGCGGATTTAAGCTATACCCTAACCTCTCTCTCTCTGCTTCCATCACCTTGAGCTTGGCATGAAGCTCGTTAATGTAAGAAACCGCGTCTCCCAACAATGACGCTTTGTCCATCTTAGAAATGTTGGGAACAACTGATCTCAGGGCGTAAAACCTCTGGTTAAGCTTCTCGCGCCGTTGTCTCTCTGCTTCCACGTGGTTCAAAGCCTCCGCTCTTCCGTTGGCAGGTCTTCTTCCGCGTTTTCTCGGTCTGTTGTTACCAGTCTCGTCACCGCCGACCACGTCTGCCCATTCCGCTCCTCCTTCTCCATCTGAATTGTTCTCAGAAGCCCTCGAACTCGCACCGGAGAAATCAATCTGCATCTGAGCAGGAGGAAGCAGCCTCTGCGACGATTGCTGCAAAGGTAGAAACTTGAAATCTTCAGTGCTCGGGACTTCCTTCACACTGTTCGTCCTCGTGTACATCTCCGGTTGGACCCATGTAGGACTCAGAAGAGTGTTGTTGTTGGTGCTCGGGTTCGAAAACATATACCTGTTCCCGTTATTCGGATAAGCATCTAATCTCTTTGGCACTCTATCATCCATTTTTCTAACCGTAAGTTTCTCTCTGAACTGCCTATGTTGTTGTTGTTGTGGCTGTGGCTGTTGTTGATGGTGATGAACAAAACCCGAATTGTGCAGATCCTTGCCGAATATCTTTGACGAAGTAACCGTTCTGTTATCGTCGTTCTTCTCAGCTACGACAACAGGCAAAGCAGGAACCGGAGGAGGCAAATTACTGGAAAACAAGGATCTTATAGACAACATTGACTCCTCACTTCGAGGCAAACATCTAGTAGAGCCTAACTCAACCACACCGATATCGGTAGGAACCAAGACAATCGTCTGGACTCCAGCAGATTTAGCAAGAAACGACCTAACGCAATAATCAGAACCCGAATTCACCACATCGGTCAGCCAGACCGGTTTACCAGAGTCGAAACACTTCCCTGGACCGCCTTCCCCACGAGGGAATGAGAAATACATGGAAGCAAGAAGGAACATCTCAGTGTCTGTAACCCTATCTAGTCCTAAAGCGCAGTTGTCTTCCTCTAACCCACCGAACAAAGCATGAAGCTTTTGCAACACCCTCTTGCGCATCGTCTGATGCGTTTCTTCCTCTCTTCCCATACTCAGAATTCTCACGATCTCTGATTTCTCTCCTTCTTTAGGCTCTCTGCAAGATCCGTCTCCCCAACAGAGCACCAAATCTCCGGCCTTTGACCTCGAAATCTGCCAGAAAATGGCGTAGTTCCATGAGAAGTTCGAAGCGTTGGGTCTCTCCACGAGATCCGACAGCTTGTTCTGCAGATTCTCGTCGCTTCCTACAGTCATCAGGAGATTTGCATTTGGTACGGAATTCGAAAGCAAGTAATCGAGAGCTCGTTTGCCCAGTAATGAAGCAACAATCGCTTTATCGTCCTCGTTCCAGACTACGCCACCTATATTCATCTCTCTCTCTCTCTCTCTCTTTGATTCCCAGAAACAAAACAAAAAAAATCGGAGCTTTTAAGAAACTCAGATCTTCAGAGTCTTAGTCAAATTCTAGGGCTTAGAATTGACCCAGATGCGAAAATACGGCGGAGTATAACGGGTTTGCATGCAACACCAGAGATCTCAGATCTTGCCCTATTTTAACATAACAAATTCAGAAAGTCAAAAATCGATAAAAAAATCTTCATAGAGTCGAGTTAAAAAAAACATATGAACATGATTAGCAAGATATGTTTACCAGTAAATCGGATTTGAGAAAGTTTCACCACCGATATATCCTCCGGGAAATCGGAAATTTCATCTTTTCAATCCGACCAAAAAAAAAACAAAGTATATATCTTCTCCAACCCGAAATGAAGAAGCCGAACTTCCCAAGAGAAGCAAAAAGGCCCCAAGGAATCGAAGAAGGTGCAGGAAATGGGTAAAGATTGAAACAAAACAAAAGTATACAGTATGATATTTTCAGTTTCCTCTATCGCTCCCTCTTTTGTCGCCGTGGCCAATTGAATGAATTCAAGGAAGAGAGAGAAACTCCGACGCATGTTCTTCGTGCTCTTTTTTATTAATTTTTTTTTATATACAAAAAAAAACAAGACTTTCACTTAACCATGGTCACATATTTGACTACAGTGTCGAGTTTAGAAACTTAAGCTAAACTAAATCGGGTTGGGTTGGTCAGGAAGCAATTTGGTCTTTGTCTCGAGTCTCTGATACACGAAGATGATGGACTAAACACTAGATTATGTCATGTTTTGTAGGAAAAAATATATATTTTTTCAATAATTGAAACCATTTTTTTTAACAAGGTCAATTAATTAAATTTGTATCAGATCTATCTCAACGGTATAGATCTAAACCAGTTTCTGACAACTTGAATAGATTCTCTTGTACATCACATATACTAAAGATTGTAGTTTAATTATGAAACAACGGAATACAAAAGGGGAAAAGAAAAACCCAAAATTAGTATTTCGCTTTGAGTTTTTAAAAAGAGAATTTACAAAAATTCAAAGTATGCCACAGTCAAGCACCGGGAACTTTGACCAAATCTATTCACGTTAGTAGGTTTAAATAACTAGTTTGGATGCTGCATAAGCTGTTGCTTAAATATAATCTTTGTTTTTTTTATAAACGCTATCAAGTTTTTTGCAGTTTGTAAAATTCTTCGTTTTAAAAATAAATCTATAGTCCCTTCTCTTTGTCTTTGCTTCTATATTTAGTGTTTATAGAAAATCCCTTTTCCTTTTTCCACATTTATCCTTAAAGGTTGCGTAGGTGTATGCAAGAGGTGTGTGAAGGCAATCGGATTAACTGTCGAGCTATGTAAGTTATGCAAATGTGACGTCTTCACCGTTTAAAATAAATAATAGAAAAAAAGCCAGCTCGATTAAAAAAGTCGGCAAGAGGCGTGAAAAGCACGTGATATTCACGTGGATCAAGGAGATGACCAGAATGAGAAGAACGTGAGATGCATTTAATTTTTTGGGGATCTTTTTTTTTTGTATTTTCAAATGCGCCTGCACAGCTGCACTTTCTTTGTGTATTGTATTTATTTTTTATTCCTCGCACAGCAACAAATTGATATACCGTGTAGGTCTCACTAATAAGATTATCATGAAAATACAAACTATATACGGCTCGTGAAATTCTCGTATGCAAAAGTAAATAACTCAGTTATGGAAAATTGAGTCACGAGTCGGTATAATATATGGCGGTGAGAAACACACAGCAGAAAGTGGGGACCGCGTGATTCACGTGCTTAAAGAATCCTTTAATCGAGACGTGGGTCCCACGATCCCTCCTAAGTCAACAACGACCAACGATCTCGAAAGTCAACAGACTTCTTCATATTGATTGTGTTATGGACCGGGTTCTGATGATGGCGTAATTGGGCCGGATACGAGCTGGAATAAACGTCACCGTTATGCATTTCTCCCCAATGGGCCATATATTCCGATCTTGCAACAAAAATTAGAATAGGCTGGATGGTGTACGAACTGGATCTTACACTGATATCATGTACTTCTCTCGTTAATAGTTGTAGAGGCCTTTATATGTGATATATTAACCTTTTTTCCTGAAAATAATCCAAATTGGTTAGTCCTTTATATGTGATTGTAAACTTTAGCTTGAGATGTATGCTTGTAACTTTTTTTTTGGGTTAAAATGTATGCTATATGCTATGCTTGTAACTTATAGTACATGCATAGATGTACTGTCGCCTCGCTGATAAGGCATATATACATTTTGTTTTTTCACTAAGAACAACAACAAAAAAACTATTTTTTTTCTTTAGGATCCCACTCATTTATCCCATCTTGGCGTTTAAAGTTGAGTAATGAAATATGTATGTATATATCTATCTTAATATATAAAAATGAACTCTCCGTGTTTTAAGTTCTACAAAAATCGACACCTTTTTGGTAACAACCAAAACATAATCATAAGATATTACTTTACATCTAACAAAAACTCACGAAAAGGAAAAAGCACCGACCAAAACTTAATGCTCATCGTATTAAAAAACAAAAAAAAAACAAAAAAAAAAAACTTAAAGATCATTGGTAAAAGAAAGACGTCACACACACACTGTTATAATTTCAGTTACTTCCTATTTAAATAACGAACAAGTGTTGAAATATTGTTACAAGAAAGCACCTGAAGACAAACTGATACTATGTCTCTAATTGGTAGTAAAGCCGTAAATGGTATGGTGTAAGAATAAGTGGTTTGTAGCTCCCCTTAGCTATATGCTCGCTATTTCCTCCCAATCGAGAGAGTATATATATATAATACGTTCATCACAATATTTACTTGGGATGTATATTTTAATTGCTTATATGTGTGGGAATTTATCGTTTATATTTAGTGACGTGGCAGGTTAAAAAGTGGAAGCCATATACTTCAGGTGATATATTTATCATTTATCAAGTGCCCTTTTGATGTTAAATATATAAATCACCGTCCGAAAGACGTGATATATCTTGTGATGGTCATATCCTTCTTGAAAAATTATCCATATATGTGTTAATATGTAGACTTAAAAATGTATTCCTCAATCGTCACAGACTCGCATGGCTTGCTGATATATAATACTCGTAAATGTTTTTAAGCTTTTGTAACGCTAATTTTAACAGCAAGTAAAATCACAAAAGAGAACTTTTTAAAGTAGTGTTGATTTCTGAGTGGTATAGACTAGAGTTTATTAGACTGGTCCCTTCAATAATAATCAATGCAAATTATAAAAGCAAACCTCTGTGGACCTGCGTTGCCCATATATATGAAATTATGAACTAACATAAAATTAATAAGTTTACAATTAATTAGCTTGGAAAGAAAAGGGGTCCTTTGTAGATATACTTTCACGATAATGGCATGCATGCATACAAAAAATTACACCTTTTTTTACAGCAAACAGAAGAAAAAAAAACGATTACACCTAAGAAAGCGATTTTCATTAAAATAAGAAATCAATATAACATGTACATCACCTTTTTGGCCGAAGTCTGAAAATTTTGGAGCAAGATATTATAGCAGCATACACACGTGATACGTTCACCAGAAACGTTAATCTAAAACAAAAACAAATAGGTGCTATATACCTTTTACTTTGTAACCATTTCTACTACTTAAATCGTTTGCAACTTATAATCATCATTCAGAATTATTGTTTCAACAAACCCGTTTTTCTTTTTTCTTTTTTCTTTTATCAGGTAGAGATCTCTTACCGCGCTCATAACAGCAAAGAAAAAGGAAAACTATCTTGCCAATTTGTTGAAACTATAGGACAGAACGTCACCAATAACTTGAACTACGTACTGAAAACATTTCCCCACCACTCCCGATTGCTCGGAGACAAAGATTTGACGTATAAACTTTTTTTTTCGTTTAATTTGACATTCAAACTTTATCATTGGGGACATCAATAAACCATGATCATAAATTTTGTTTTTATGCGAAATTTCTAGTCACTTTTGGCTTTTGGTAATAAAACTATGTATTTCTGGTTTAATTTGATCTAGCTACATATATACGATTCGCATTGTTGGGGGCAATTATGTAAATTCGTATAGACAACAGTAACGCTTTTGGTTAGGGACATGGGATTGGATGAGATTATAAATGTTGATAACAGTGTGTGACTAACCACATAACAAACTCTTTTTCATGTTGCAAAAAAGAATGAAGCTATCACCACCGCCACCATCACTAACCAACAACGAACCAACCGTCGCTACTACCGCCGTTAAATCTTGCGGCAGAGGGGGTAGAGAAACCAGCTCCACCACGAGACATCCGGTGTACCACGGTGTCCGCAAACGCCGTTGGGGAAAATGGGTTTCCGAGATCAGAGAGCCCCGGAAAAAGTCTCGGATCTGGCTTGGATCTTTTCCGGTGCCGGAGATGGCGGCTAAAGCTTACGACGTGGCGGCGCTGTGTCTGAAGGGAAGAAAAGCTCAGCTCAATTTCCCCGAAGAAATCGACGATCTACCTCGGCCGTCCACGTGTACGGCCAGAGATATCCAAGTTGCAGCGGCCAAAGCGGCCAACGCCGTCAAGATCATTAAAACGGGAGATGGTGACGTGGCAGATATCGACACCGGAGATGATTTCTGGGAAGGCATTGAGCTGCCGGAGCTTATGATGACCGGAGGTGGGTGGTCACCGGAGCCTTTCGTGGCCGGAGATGATGCCACGTGGATGGTGGACGGAGACTCGTATCAGTATCAGTTCATGGCGTGTCTGTGAGTGTAGTTGTCGATTGTGTCGTATTCGTTATACGTGTGCGTTGTATCGTAATTGCGCTGGCTAGATCGATTTAATGCATGTATATTTTTGATGCATTTTTATATTTATTTGTTTCTAGTACTTATTGTTTTACGTGATTAAATAAATAGATACCCCTTGGTTCCTAATTAGCTATCTGGTTAATATTGTACGATCTTGAAAAATATGTATATATAAGTGTGTGTCCTTATACAGTTTCAACCACATAAAATTGTATGCGGAGGTTTGATACTTCATTCTAAGTTCCAAACTTTTAGGATTTTATCTTCAGATTCAAATAATTAGCTACTCAATTGATGCTTTTTTAACATTAGAGCTTGATTTTAAAATTCTTACGAAAATAAACCTTTGAAACTGGTTTAGTTTTTGGGGGATGGGGGAAGGTAATTCGCCACCTATGACCTAGCATAATTTCCATTTTTGTACAATTTCTATCGTTGTTCATGGAATAGTTTTCGGCACCCATATCCATATTTAATATCAAATATATAATTGTATACCTACTGTATTACTGATATTCAATTATTGCTCATATTTTTTTCGTTATTTTCATATACTAAAACAGGACTACTTAAATGAAGTATGGAATTCGAGATCGATGCTTTCTTGGTGTGTTTGGGATTTTATATATTTGTCATTACAACTTCGTTAATATTCGCTTCTTTAGTTAAATCATACGAATTGCATTGTGATTCTGTATAATAACTATAATATGGTAGTACTAAGTTCATGTTGAAATCGATATAATGAACGCATAAAAAAAAAGTTACGATTGACAATTTATCAGTTATACTCATTATTTTTATTAGAATATTTTTATTCTTATGAATAAATTAAGTACAAGTTTTCAGTTCTCCCCTATCTTTTTCAATATCCCAATGAGCAAATACATAATCGGTAGTAAACGACAAAACGGGGGAAAAAACCAACGGGAAGATTTCAGCATTCAATACGAGGAGAAGTAAAAGACGGTTGTACCCTCTTTCTTCGTTGCACTTTACTCTCTCTCTGTCTCAGAGGTATAGGCTTCGTAATCTGTTCGGTTTAGGATTATTAAAAAACGAATGCTAGATTCTCTTTACAGTGTCTCCTAAAGCATATTTGTATCGACCTTAAACTTAAAAGTTAAAACACTAATAATTAATTGATCAAAATCACGTGTGGAAACCTGAAAATAGCAATTCATTTATTTCAAAATAGAAGATGGATACGAACTGGACCATGCACAAATATGTTTTTCCGGTAAAGAATCAACCATAAATATACCACCTCTTATATAACAACCACCGCGAACACTGAGCTAGACGTTTGATTAAAAAACTAGTAATTATTTCAACTAATTAATCCTAGAATTTAATGTTTATGACATGTGCAAATTAAGCTGTAGTACTGTAGTAATACACTTTATGACTTGTGTAGGACACACGACAAGACGAGAACGCGGAAATTGTACCCCGCATGGAACCAAGAGCTGTCTGGGTGTTAAAATTTGAAATTATTATATTTGTCCTTGCATCTTCAGAATATGAGTTTGCACCACATATTAGGATATTTAATACAACACGTGTTACATAATCATGTCTAAAGCGATACTCGAATTTATTATTTCAGACAAGGATTTGTTGGACTTGAATTCAAACTACACTCTTAGAGTTATTTAGTGGTTACCGTATAACGGCCAAGAAAGTCGAATATTGTTGCGTTTTATTACAAAATGGGAAAAATGTTTGCTTCATTGTGAACCGTTGCAGTACGCAGTAGATATTCCTGCTGGAAATTCATTAAACCATAACATCTAATCTGACCCAAGCAATGAACTATTTCAGTAGGTAGCAGAAACATGATGATCTTTTACCGAAACATGTCATCGTAATTAAAACGATGCCCAAAATCAAAATTTAAATTTTGAAGAAAAAAAGAGAGTCTGGGTCTGAAAAATGTTTCCTGGACGTATGGGCCTGAATTAATGAATTGAGTCAAATATGGGTGCATATGTAGCAAAATTGGGCTTTGAATATGGATTTTTCTTTGATTCCAACATTCTCAAGCTTCTGATGCATTTCCATGCTTGAATCTCTGTTCTTCTTAGTCTTGTATAAAAGAGATTTTAAATGAAAATAAACTTGTGTAGAGGAAATATCACAAATACATACATGAAGACAACACACATACACACAATTTTAGAGGCAAAGTGAAAGTTATAAACCCTAAAGCTCTTGTAAAGATCAGTGATCAAACAAAAGACATTTTCAAGACTCTAGAAGGAAAACAACCATCCGACAGTCCAACCTAAGAGAAGACCAGCACCAATGAGACTAAACCCTAATGCAAAAGCCATCACATATTTCCCAATCTCACCCATTTTCTTCTTCTTCCCTCTCTGCTTCCTCTTCTTCAGATTCATTCCTTTGATCTGCTCTTGTTCTTCTTCCTCCTCCTTCTTCTTCTTCAGCTGCAGATCGAGAGCTTCCATCTCAAGAAGCTTTAACCATTGCTTATAAGCCAACATCTGACTCGCTTGTCTCAACAAGATTGTTATCAAACGGTCTTTCTCAGCGCAAGCTTCTCTGGCCGCTTTCTCTGCTTCTCTTGCCCTGGTTTGAGAATGCCTTAGTGCTTCTAAAAGCTGAGCTTTGCCTAGATCATCGCTCCTAGGAGAAGACTTTGGACTCGTGTTCTTGCTCTCTGTGCTGCTACTGCTACTGTAACTCAATGAACGATCGCTCCAAACACCTTGTTTCCATGGCGATTTAACCGCTGTTTTAAACCCATTTCCGCCACTCGTGCAGTGAATCCTCTTGTGGAGTTTCTGGGGTGGAGGAAGATCACAGTTTTGAACCTTATGATCAATCGATCTAGCCGCCACCAAGTGAGCTAACTCATCTTTATCCGTAGTGGTTCTCCACCACGGCGTTGTAGCTGTATCTTTCTTGCTAATAAAGCTATAGTCTTCTTCTTCCTCTTGTTCCCTTATCCCAATCAAGTCGACGAATTCTTGCAATTTCTTGCATTTGGTATCTTCAAAGAAGAAATTTGTAACCTCCCCATCATATCCAGTTGATCCCTTAAGCCACCATTTGGTATCACAAGAGAAATCAGAGGTATCTCCAAAACTTCCTGACGAAAAGTTGCTTTTTTCGGTGTTCCCCGAAGAAGAATGTTGATGATGGCAACAAGCTAACCTCGGAGCCATTTTAGCATCTTCATGGAAAACAAAGCAACGACTTGCTGTTCTTTGCCACAATGCTCTTGCTTCAGCTGCTCCCATTATTACATCGATGTTAAGACACAAGAACCCTAAAAATTAAGAGAAAAAAGGGGTAAAAAAACACAAAATCACAAGACAAATCTACGATTGATGAATCAAAACCAAAATTTGTTCTTTCTTCCCTAGATCCCGGAATTAAAACATAAAAGAAAAAGCAAAGGAGTCTTGATACTCTCGAGATTGCTTCTAAGCAAATGATTAATTCATATACAAGCGACTGATCTAAGGAATTTAATTAAACAATAAACGCGAGTCTTGGGATCAAGCATCTTCACCAAAGAACAGTCAATTATTAATAATGTCTCCGCTAAATCAAAACCCATTCAACAACAACATAAATGAATTTCTTGGAAAGCTTCGACAGATCGAGACATGACGGAGATGAATTTCATTACAAAATTAAAACAACAAAACTCAAGTTTCAGTGCAATGAAAACGTACTGTAGAACAAACAAAAAAACTTTTGAGAAAACACAGATCATGCGTAAGGTGTGGCACTGCAATCAATGAAATTTACCAACTTTTTCTGCAATTCGAAAATGAGCAGCAGACCCATGAGACAAAACCGTATGATATAATATCTGATTGAATAGAAAACAATCAGATCGAACCAACCAGAGGAACAGAGAATTCTATGTAAATCGGACACCCAAACAGAAGAGAAGAGTAAGATTCGTATAATAGATGAGAAAACGGAGTACAAACTAAAGATACCATTTTTATCAGTTCAAAGATTCCATGAATCTCTATAAACAAATGAAGCGATCTTGCAATCGAAGCATTTGGCTTTTCTGCTTTTTTTTTTTTTTCTTCGTTCACACTCTGGCCCCATGGAACGGATTTACAGTTTTTTTTTTTTCGTAAAGCTTCTCTGAATTACGATGCAAAACGACACAGTTTCAATGACTTGTTGGCTTGGGTAAGCATCTGAAACAGCTGGATTGACTACACGTGTCGACAAGAGAAAGAATCGACGGTCGATATGATATGGACCCCACTATGATTTAATGGATAAGACGTTTTTATTTCTTACATGGACCACGGTAGGAAAAATAAAAATCATTAGTCTTATTCCATCTTTAATTAGTCATTCTTTCGTTTTGTCGGCTTCAAATTTGCAAGGAATCAAATTAACAAATGAACCACGTAAACTGATTTTGTTTTGCAATGTTTTATACAAATAACGACGGTTAACTAGATGATATGTAGTTACGTACATTAGAACATATTGAATACGCAGCATATAATCAATCCACGTGGACTAAATACGTGTCATTATACATCTTGTAGTCAGCCACGTGTTTTCTAGAATCCACTGAATCATTCCGCGCAATCGTGTTAAGCCAGACAACTCATGAGTCACATGCATATTTGGGGCATCCTTAAAACCAATCATAAGCCCCTATTGTATCTTAAGCAGGCCGAGTAACTAACACATATTGCCCAAAGATAATGAATTTCGTGTATGTATATGAAAGAAAACAAAAAAAAAAAAAAATCAAGTTTCAAAATTAGTTAATGTACTTACAAATATCCAACCAAACATAACTCTCGAATTATTCCAATTCATATGAACATTTTTATACATACGTATATCTTTTCGTGTTTCCCCCTTTTCATCTTCTTTCTCTTAAAAGAAATGGAGTTGAGTTAATAAAGCCTATTTGTCACCATTGATGCCGAAGATGCGCACCTTGTGCATATTAGGGAACTTGGCAACAACTAGAACCATCACAGCGAGTGTGTTGAGGAACAGCCATGGATGTCTGTAATCTGTTGTATGTGATGCTATCAGATACCTGTTTTTGAATAGAAATATATCGTTATCTATTTGTATAAGAAACCAGAGACAACAATGACAATCAAACTTATGTATAATGTCAAAAACAAGTAACAGAAGAGAAAGAGCTCAGATTGAGCTCTCAACGAGATAAATACAGGTTTTGCTTTGACACATTATCGGGTTGATGAGTTCTCTAGAACAAGTCCGTTGTTACACACAACCGGTTTTATATGCCTATTAACCAAATAAGACACTAGGATATATGGAAATAAAACAAGAATGGTGAGAGATTATTAGGAAGAAGCGGTTGGGACTCACAGGACAACAGGAACAACGGTAAGAAACTTGCGGTTGCGGGTAAGTTGTTGACCGCTGTCCATTTGTTCCCACCAAGTCAAACCATTGTAGATTCCTTGGTCTTCTGCAAAAGGAGTTCCTTTCATCCAGTGAAAGCAGTGATACGTTACCTGGACCACAAAAATATCCACAAAAATGCTACTCAAATAAAACTGGTTTTGATAATCAAACAACGTTAATCTACAAGTAGTACCCTGATTATCTAACAGTTAGACCATAAGGGATTTCGGATAAACCGAAACCTCACAATTTAATTGATACCATCAGAGTTTACAGTTTCTGATTCCAAAACTGATCAATGCATTTATGAAGGTAACTGCATCTTAATATTTCGAAGCCTGATCAACTTATAAGTTCTGATACCAAAACCGATACACTCAAAATATATGAAGGTAACTACATCTACATATAGAAAGTCTAATCAACTCAACATTGCTGATAATACTGACCAATTCAAAACTCATAAATTCATTAATCAGAAGGCAGTATCTTAATTCGAAAGCCTGATCCAGCTCTAAAAAATTATGATAACCAAACTGATAAATTCACAATCAGAAGGCATTTACCACATCTTAATACAAAGCCTAAACCTGGCTCCAATCAAAACTGATCAATTCAAAATTGCAGATAACCAAACGATAAGGCAATCGCATCTTAATCCCAAGTCTGATCAACTCAAAAATTCGTGATAACCAAACTAACCAATTCAAAAATTGCTAATACCAAATTGATCAGCTCATATACCAGAATCAAATCCGGATCTCAGGAAATCGAAAAAACAATTCAGCAATATCAATCAATCGTCCAATTCCGAGTCCCGACCCTATTGAAGAGCGTTAGAAATCGCACTCTCCGGAATCTTCTCCTAGTTCAGCGAACCATCGGTTATTCAAAGGTAGAAGAAGAACTTACAACGAAGTGAGCGAGGTTAACAACAGTCCAGGCCATCCCAGGGGAACAACCAGAGACGGAGAGAACAACGAGCCAACCGAAGAAGAGAATGAGTATATAAGTTGTCCAAACTCCGGGATACATGAACCACTCCGTATTCCTGTTCATATCCGGCGGTGGAACCGCTTTCACATACAGATTCGCCATTTTGTTTTTTCTGATCCAACCGATCGAATCTATGAGCAATCTGAAAAGACAATTGATTCTCGTTACGGCGGGGCAAAATGTTATATTTTCACCTGAATTGTGTAAACCCAGATTCACAAAATAATCTCTCTATCGGTGACGAAAGATTTTCCAGATTTGTGGTTTTGGTTTAATTATGTGTGCCCGTGAAAGACGACTGCTTTTTAGCATCACTGTGGCATAAAATTAATTGGGATTTGTCAAGATATTTTAGTCAAAACGGTTGCGTTTTGGCGTCTCACTTTAAACACTTGAACAACCAACAAAACGATTAATTGGCTTTGGCTTAAAAAATTTCAATTTATTGGATTAGACATTAGTAGTTGATTTCTAAAGTCTGGTCTAATTTCTAAAAACTTTGAATAACTCTCGATAACAAGACCATCAAGTTCTGTTTGTCACTTAACAAACTTTCTTTCTTCTTCTTCGTCTTGCTCAATGGTCTTCACGTGTCTAACCTTATTACCACATCGGCCGATGTGTTTGGAGAAATTTTGTTGATTCTGCTCTGTACCACAACTCAAACATGTTTTTCCAAGGAAAAGCAAGGGACATCATAAACAGAGAAAGTGCTTCAGGAAAAAATGAACAAATTAATCTTCTCAAGCTCTGACCATAAAAACACAAAGCTATAGGTAACCAATTTATTTTGTTTCGAATGAAGAAAACCTCAAAACATACATATCACTCAGTTTTTCGAGACATATGTTAACACAAAAGTTATTGGTAACACAATAACCGACTTATTATGTTTTCAATGAAAACAAAAAAAAACCAAAAGTGGCGACTATGAAAGCATACATATCACTCAGTGTTTTGAGAGTGAGAAGCAAGAGAGAAAGAATCTCTTGATAAAAAAATCTATCAGCTCAAAGGACGAAACTTTAGCGGATTTGATCTTCTCCTTGTCAAGTTCAACTCTGAGATCGCACAAAGTCAATTCTACATTCTTGACCCGTTCCTCGAGTTGTCCATAAGAAAGTGCTTTCTTACTCTCCAGCTTTGACTTCAACCAGTCGAGCTTGAAGCATTTTGGGCCCTGCTTAGTTCAGTCGCAGACAGGCTTTGTGGAGAGTTTCTCAGCGTCTCGATGAGGCCGAGGAGGAGAGTCGTGTGTGCGGTTGTGTCCACCCCGTGCTTCTTTGGTGCAAAGCCTGGGTGTTGTGCGAAAATCTTGTCAAATGAATAAGCCTAGGGACAAACAGATAAAGGGTTGTTATTATGCAAACCCTTGACTCTCTTGTGTGACTTAAAAGATTGGTTCAACTTACTTGACAAGCAAGGATCTGGAGACCATTGTAATCTAAAATTTCATTCTCAGTTGATTTTCCTTGATGAACAACTTCAACTACTTTGAGGTAGACTTTAATTGTTAGTTTGTCCTTCTCCACACTGGTACGAGACACCTTCGTATGGACACCCCGGCTTGGGGCCTCAGCGCAGAACATTCTGCATACGTCTGTGAGATGAACAAAATAGATACATATCAAATTTTCTTCTTCCATCACACAAGTAGAGTGATTCAGCAAATGGAACATAATCAAAGTTAATTACCGCTTGATTCGAATAGCTTTTTCCCGGATTGATTCATCAAACCAAAGCTATAAATAGCTCTCCTTTTCCATCCAAGTCTCAACGATTTACGACTCTTCGCAACGTGCAGGCCCAGAGATAAGTGACCATCGGAACAGTATCCTTCGGGACAAACCCTAACAAACCTAAGAGAAAACCCTTTAAAATCTAAAAAATCAAATATCGAAAGCTAAGCCTAACACTAAAAGATGTGATTATTTTCTCTATTTACCATTCACAGCCGCCGCTTGAGAAAGGATCCAAAGATATCTCATGCTTGTTTCTTTTGGACAAGTTGCCAATCTCCCAACTCATCAACGTCTCCTCAAACTCCGTCCCCATCGGTTAAAAACAATGCTCCCGTTTGATTAGTTACCAATATTCTACCAAACTTGTTTTGATTTCTTGCCTACTCTCATCGTGGCACTAGCCATTTAGGTTACATTCTTAGGGTTAAGAAGGATTTAAACTATGTTTTGCATTAATTTTATATTGAAAAATCAAAAATTGGAAACGGTGGGATTACTTTAGGAAAGCCGCATCTCAAACATGAAATAAGATATACAGTAATTGCAGTAACTAAGAAGATTGCTGGAAAATGTTCAATTTATTGGATTAGCAGTTGATTTTCCTAAGTATTTGCTTAAATTATAAAAGCATTTTCATCACAAACATTGAAAAACATTCAATATCACAGTATTATGTTTGTCACCGAACAAAGTCGGTATCGGAATCATCTTCTTCTTCGTCTTCTTCGACTTGCTCAATGGTCTTCACGTCAAGGTTGAGAGCCAAATCCTCAACGGAAACCTTAATCACATCAGTTCTAACACCAATATCAGTACCATAGCGGCTCATGCAATACATTCCAGCAGTAACTGTTGCCACACCAATGGGACTTGGAATCAGCAGTTTGAAAGGGGACGAGAGAATAGCAGCCAAAGGAGCACCAACGATGGAAGAAGCTTGACCGCTTCTCCCTACACCGAGCTTATCCATTATGAGCAAACCAGTCTTGCAGTAGAGCGCGAAATCCTCACAGTTGTTCTTGAAAATGTCATAGTTTCCAAATCCGTTTTGGAGAAGGTACATTGCCCTGTGGATGACTGAATCAGTTTGGTCGGATTGCGCGGTTGTGCAAGTGCCTCCACGGACTTTGGTGAGGAAAACCGATGGGCTGACTCCATATTCGAAGCAGTAGAGTGAGCCGTTCTTGAGGAAGCAGTCCAAGCAAGAAAGGACCACTCCACTGTTTGCTTGTCTGAAACCACAATCAGGAAATGTTGGGCAGATATCTTCAGGGGAAGAAGAAGCTGATGAGAATGAATCCATGGGAGAAGAAGCATTCACGTTGTGCTCAGGTCTGAAATGAACAACCTTGGATCCACCGACAAAGATTCCTGCAGAAATGTTTTCTCTCCAACAATCAAATCAGAGCTCACTAGAGTCAATAAACAGAGGAAATTGGGGGAAAGTGTATGTTTCGATGTTGGGGCTTACGTTGAAAATGCCAGTCAATGTCACATTAACAATCTATATAATGTCCACTGCAATTTGCTACTACCGGAGACAATCAACATCATTACTCGGACAAGGGTGAAATTTGGTTATGAGCTTTCAAACTAAATAATTAAACAAAGTATATTCCTTTCTCTCTAAGATCTGTCTAGATAAGAATGTACAGTTTCACAAACACAGAAGAAAAGGAGCAAACTTGGGAAGAATGATTCTAAAGTTACCGTGGTGAGAATAAGCGAAAACTGCTCTGTAAGTGTAGATGTGATCTCCTGGCTTTAACCCTTCTCTCTCCATCTTGTTCGTAAGCAGACCCATTCTTCTTCTTTCGTCTCTCTCTCTCTCTCTCTCTCTCTCTCTGCACAAAGTTATTCTCTTTGCTTTGTGGAAAATGCAGGAAACGGCGTTACAAGTGTGAGCTCTGACGGTGGGATCTGACGTCAGCGAGATAGGTAAAATAACGTTTTCTTGAGATGATTGGGTGAAGAAACTGGAGCCGTTGAACTAACACGTTACGGAATCTTTTGACGGCGTTATCTCCAAATCCAAATGCGACCAACGAGGACCCAAGTGTTAATGACGAATCGCTGATTTCCCGGGGACTTTTGAGTTTTTTGGCCTCGATGCTAGTCGAGGGTAATATAGTAACTTGGCCGTTGCATGACGTTAGTGTTTGTGAAGTAACGGAAGAAGCAAAGCAAAGAGAGAACGACTTCGTCGAGTAGGTCAAGCAAAGGATTTTGTACCATTTAGATCCTCAAAATTCGATTTCATTTCTAAATTATTTATACTTTTTTTTTATTCTTTCCAAAGTATCAACAAAAATAATAATTAAAAATCAACGACAACGCTTTAAAAATTAAAAACCACGCAAAGATGACAACCACTGTTAGAGACAGATGCTCCAGTTATAAACTTTGACATCAAACTCTGGATGTTCCTCCAATCTCTGTCTCAACTCTTTCGCCTTCTCTGTGTCTTTAGCCAATATAAGAGAGAATCCTCCACCACCTGCACCTACAAGCTTGAAACCTGAGCAAAAAGGTTGCGAAAACATGAAAAGCTTGTCCACAAACTCATTGCTGCAATATGGGTCAAGCTCTTGATGTAATCTCCAAGCTTCTGACATTATCTCGCCGAGCTCATCAACTTCACAGTTCATCAACGCTTCTCTCCCGGATTTCGCCAGCTCCGTCAAACGCTTAATGCTTGAAACCAAGAGATTGTCTCTTTGCAGATACCTTGTTACAACCTTGTGTAGGACTTGGTGAGCAAGCCTGACCTGTTAACAAAATGCATCAATGAACGAGACAGCAATTGCACGTTTTGTCAGTTGTTGGTACTTACTTGACCCGTGAAAACAACGAGGAGGCGTTGCTGCAACTCCGAGACTAGCTGTGGCGAGGCGAGCAAAGGAACAACTTGAAGACGCAGAGGGATTCCTGGAAAACTTGAAGTGAATTTGATTCCTGGGTATAATCCACCGATCTGATCTTGCCAGCCACCTCCAGTACCCATGAGTTGCTCCAGAACCAAGACGAGCCTCGCGACGTTTTCATTGCTTTCATCTCCATTGGATATCTGAAGCAGTCCTTTCACAACAGCTGCAGCTAGAATGCTTGAGGTTCCTAGACCGCTACCACGAGGAACATTGGCCCATGTCTTTATCGCTAATCCTGTGGACTGGACAAAGTTTTCTTGGACAATGCCCGTTACCAGTAGAGCAGATTTGACCAGCCTGAATGGATCATTGATTTCAAATGGTGTCTTGATGCTCATTGGATCTTCGATGTGTAGCTCGTTTCCAGCGTCGTCTTGGATTGAGATTCCACTCTTCTCATTTGTTGTCTCCACGATTGTGCCAATGGGAAGTGAACCTTCTAAGGTTATTGCCATGTTGAGGACGCAGCCTGCACGCTCTAAACTCCATGGAGGTGTATCACTCCAACCTCCTACAAAGTCTACCCGAACTGGTAGTTCAACTTTTGTACTTCTTGGTTGGAAAAATCGATCCACATGAGAAATATGATTCTCGGGACGGGGCTTGCCGCTTGATTCCAAGAGATGTTCTGAAAAGCAAATAAGGTTTATCCGTCAAAGAAAAGTGTTAGCATATAGTATACTCCAACACTGGTAACTAGATTTTACCTTTGAAACCATATCTCACAGCTGAAGCAGTTTCGTCTGCAACTGCAGCCCAGATTTTGTGCTCCAAGTCTATAGTTTTTGCCTCATCCCCACATGCTCGTAGAAGATCAACTTCTACCTGATATGCTCGACTCTTTGGAAGAATTTTGGAGTTTTGCTCCTGAAATTTGGGACACTGATCCAGAAACTTCTTGCATATTTCCAATCCTAATGACTCTTTCTGCAAAATCTCATGGCATAGCTGAGACAAATTTCGCCCAAGCATACCATAGTTCATGCATGCTTTAGCGATTCCAGCCGCAAGATCAGCTTGATGGTTGCTGGAACCATTGCACATCTCAGGAAAGTTTATCGACCCGTGCAACTCTTCTAAGCTTACACGTTGTGAGCTTCTCCACAGGGTCATCTTCTCCTTGTTTCTACTATCATCTAATCCCATCAACCATGACGCTGTCTTCAGCATTTCACTATAAGTGAGAATCGGGAACAGTTTTGCTTTCCACATACATCTGTCTTGTGCAGCATCCGAGTTCCAGAGGTCACTTTCCTCAATGCCAAGATCATACAGAACCTTCTCTAAGGGTTTACCGCAAAAAGTTCCATCTTTGTGAATTGAGTTCTTTGGATTGTCATGGAGACCACAATACACAATCACTTTTTCCTTGCGTCCCACCAATGGGACCTCCCAAAGACAATGCCTATCCGGAAGCATGAACCTGAAACTCTCTGGATATCCAAGACCTTCACTTGGGATGTGAATACCAACAACTATCGACTGAGAGCCAATTTGTACAGCACCAGAAACTGTTGAATCATATATAAGTGAATCTTCACCAATGGAGACACCAGCTGCAATTTCACTAGACAAAATAACACAAGACGCTGCAATATCAGAAACCGTAGTTGCAGGGATGGAACATAAGTGTCTTCGACCTACAATTCCTGAAGCATCTCCGCTTAAGTGGTCCAATACCTCACTTGATGTTCCAAAATGCAAAAACTGCAAATCATCTGACCACAACATGATAAAAAAAAAGGGATTAAAAAGGTAATACAATGCAATTGAAAACTGTTCTAGTTTTGCTAGTCTTGGGATCAGTACAAACATACAGGTGCAGTAGCTGTACATCTTTTGCCTCCCTAGACTGTTGACGAGAAGTTCACCCAAAGGTCGGGTTCGCAGCCAATCATGCCTTGAGGGAACCCAAGCAGCCACCAAATCTTCATACAAACTCATCTGCAAGTAAAAAGAACATCAATGTCTGTTGAAGAAATACAAGGCCATTCTTTAGGGACAAACTGCAAAAATATGAGAAAATTAACCTCCTTTTTCCGGCTTATAAGCTCTGAGATCATTGGTTGGCACGCGCATCCAAGAGCGACCAGGTCCAACCATGCTCTGCCCCTCGCAGAAATGATCCCAGTGTCAAGGAGCGTCCGTCCATCATGTAAGATGGCATCTTTCTTGACAAGCTCCTCTACTGTAGGCTTCTGCAGAAGATCATTTACTAAACTGACGGTATAGCCTTCAGCAAGGGACTCAGATTTGGATGTGACAATAACACCATGGTTGGAAGCAATATCAAGAGTGATAGGCACAGTAACAATGGAGGCCGCATCTTCAGGGAGAGTCATGTTAGATGCATCAAAACATGGAAGCACATCTCCAGTCATAATGAATAATCCACCTTCATCTCTGAAAGCCTGTCTTGCACATGAAGCGATTGCAAGTATATGATCAAAAAGGAGAGGAACAGGGCCATCAGGATCATCAGCTGCGAGATAAGGAAGCGGGAGGAATACTTTCCCCATAGGATTAGCCCAGGGAACTCTTTTGGAGTCGCCTCCAGCATGAAGCATCAGTACGTGCTTTTCAGAGAGGAATCTAACCCAAGCCTTTGAAGAGTGTTTCCTATTCTCAGGACAAATGTCTGGTACAGAGGACTGCGCACACCTACCATTTGCAGCTTCCACCTGGTAATTATGAACAGAGCCATCGAATCATAACCTCACAGTGGTATAAAACGTTTCATCAAACCAACAGATCTAGTGGGTTTAGTCACTTGACCATCCAGATCACCTAACTCACAGAGTTCATTGCACAATGTTAAACCCAGATTCATCGATTAACTAAGACTTACTAAGTTCCTGGAGCAAATCAACTATTGATCATTCAGATATCAGCAACTCAAGCGAGACGATTGTTCGTTCCTGGAGCAAATCAACTACGAATCATCTAACCTGTCAACACAACTTACCTCGGGGCCAGGATCGAAACCTAATTTCTCATAATGCCGAGCGAGAGCATAGATGGCGTTAAGAGTGGCAGCGCCGGAGCCGATCCGCTTGCCATCTGGATCAGGAACGGCCAAAGTGACGGTGGAGCCAGCAATCCGCCCAATCCGCTTCGCTCGCCGGAGCTGCCACTCGTAGAGCTCCGCCTGTTCAGGACTGGCCGCAGTGAGAAGGATCGCATCCCAAGTGGGGACCCTGGTGGGATGGCGCACCGACAGCCGCAAATGGTACCACGACTTGCGGAGGACTGTGGCTAGATCAGCCTTCTTCCTCTGCTTGTTTCTCGAGAAGCCAGACATTTTGTTTCTCCCGCTGAGGTGTGAGGAAATGAGAGAAATGAAATCTGGAGGTTTAGTGGACAGAGGAGGAAGAAGACCAGGGAAGTTTTTAACAGCTGGTCAAAGTCAAAGACAACGCACACACGCCGTCGTTTTTCGAAAATCAAGTCTCAAAGAGATGAAAGTCTCGGACTTTCTTACATCTTTTGTCCCAACAAGCTGCATCAGCTTCACAAACGAAATATTCAACATTCTAGAAAATCAAAATTGCTTGAATTACAGAGCTGAGAAACATCCAAAGTTGCCAGTTGAAGCAAAACACAGGCAGACAACAGTGACAGTTACCGAAAATTGCGACATTGCCAATGGTAAGAACAAAAACTCATAGACTAAATGTTCAAATACAATAAGTTTCTTGTGACTGCATCAGTGATGGATCATCATTCCTCGCGCCAAGTTAGCTCGCATTTCAGGCATCTATAGAATCTCGATTCTGGCTCATCCGCTGAACGAATCTGCATTGATTTGAAGTATGCCTTGTCGTGGCCGCATCTCGGGCATGGAGCTGATTAAACAACGAAACCGAGTAAAGGGGTTACAAAGATCCCAAACCTCAGAGGAATAAGATCGATTCCGATAAACCAGCAAACGATTCTAAGAAATGCGTTAAAGAGCTCAAAACTATACTTATTACTCGTTTACTCAATTATCAATTGTTATAGCAAATTCTTGATTTGTGCTGTTTGTTTATCATCACTGAGCCAATGATGATTCGTTAAGAATCCTAAATCTTATAATTAGAATGAAACTTAAGAACAGCCAAAAGAATACCTTCGGTTTCAGGTCCTGTAGGTATATCCTCTTTCGTCACAACAGCTTCTATGGATTTCTTAACCAGCAACTGCTTCTTCTTTATCTCCACCTGTTAAGAAAGAAAAAAATCCAAAGCATAAAGAAAGATTTATCCAGTTGAAAAAAAAAAAAAAAGGGGTTTTGATATTAGCTCAAATAAAGACCTGTCTCTCGATGCAGGCGATGTAAGGACATGTCGAGCAGAAGAATCTCGAACTACCGTAACGCAGCAAGTTCCCACACGTCGGACAGAACTCCATCTTCCACACCGATCGAATTCGCTGAAAAATCCCCCAAAATCTGTCTCGTCAATTTCATAAGTTTTCACCTAACAAAGAACTAAACTACGAGATGCAGAGAGAGAGAGAAGGGTTTCGAACATTGTTCTACTGAGTCAGCTCCGGCAAACGATTCCCGCCGTCGTTGAGCCGCCGCTTTCGTTCTCTTTTTCTTCGAATGTAACAACCCAGATGTTTCTGATTGTTTTAATTGTTGAGCCCAAATTCTTTTACAAAATTGGGTCTACAGGCTCACGATTTAGGCCCATCTCTTGATACTTTAACCGAATAACAGTAACAATCAATCGATTAACTATTGTCTTCTTACCTTTTTTTGTCTTCTTATACAATCAATCAATTTAACTTCAAGCAACAAAAAAAAAAAAAAAAAAAGGGACCAAACAAAAGCAATAAATTTAAACATCAGGGAGGAGTAGACAACAACCAACAATTGATGGAGCATGAGAGCTTTTCTAGGTGGTCTCCAGACAAATGTGGGTTTCATGTTGATTCAATAAATTGTTTTAGCAAAATAATAACGTTTTTTAATCATGTCGGTTCATGCCCACAGCTATATTGACATTGTATATTCATTTAACACTTTGGGATATTTTTAATTCAAGTAATGCACAGAGCATCGTTGCTGTCTTCGTAAAACACTTTGGGATATTTGTTAACATTATATTTCGGTTTGGGGTATTTCGTTGTCTGAAACGAAACCCGATTTCGGTTTGTAACTAACATGTTTGAAATTTTGAATGGTTATGATTTTTTACTTCCTAGAATATATGAACCTTCAATTTTTTATTCGGTTTAGTTTGGATCGATTCGGTTAATAAAAATACCCAATCATATAAAAAGAAAAGTAACTCAAACTGCTTCACACAATCCCACTTACTCAAAAAACTTTATTGTATTTTCTTCATCAACGAAATTTCTCAATTATGAACAACGAGATGAACGGAGAGTCGCCGGAAAATCAACATGTAACAAAACCGACGATGCCAGAAAAGATTGACTACGTGTTCAAAGTGGTAGTCATCGGAGATTCTGCTGTCGGCAAAACGCAGCTACTTTCACGTTTTACGCAGAATGAGTTCTGTTATGATTCAAAATCCACCATTGGTGTCGAGTTTCAAACACGTACGATCACTCTTCAGGGCAAACTTGTTAAAGCTCAGATCTGGGATACCGCCGGTCAAGAAAGGTAATATCTAACACATTGGATAATTCTTCATATATTTTAGAAAGCTGAATCTCAGTTTAGGGATATGAATAAATGGTTTAAACTTTAAACGTATTAAAGTATAATTTCGTCTTCTTGGATCACGGTAATTAGAAATGTCAGATTTTTTATTTGATTTCCGATTTAAAAATAATTATATTAGTATAAAGATTCAAAGAATCATTAGTTTCCTTGATTTGGTCTATAAAATGTCAGAATTTTTCTGTATTTTTTTGGTGTGATTTTTATGTGGAAAAAACCTACTCCCGTTAAAATGTCAAATGCAAAAATAATTCACACACTTATATTTTTTCTATCCCATACAAAATATTCACATTTACAATCGTTTTTATTTTATTTTATATTTTGCATTTAATTAACACTGGTGATTCTTTATAGCTGACCCTCAGATTTGTTGGATCACGATATTAATTATTGATTTTCTTGATTTGGTCAGTAATGTCTGATTTTGTTACTATAAGTTATCACTGACTATTCGTTTTTTAACTGCGTTTTTTCGGCGGTTAGATACAGAGCGGTGACAAGCGCGTATTACAGAGGCGCGTTGGGTGCGATGGTGGTTTACGACATAACCAAACGCGTCTCATTCGACCACGTGGCACGTTGGGTTGAAGAATTACGTGCTCACGCCGATGATTCCGCCGTGATCATGCTCGTCGGGAACAAAGCCGATCTCGCCACCGATAAACGCGCCGTTCCAACGGAGGACGCCGTCGAATTCGCCGAGACCCAACGGCTTTTTTTCTCGGAAGTCTCGGCTCTAAGCGGCGGAAACGTCGACGACGCTTTTTTTCGTCTACTCGAGGAGATATTCCGTCGCGTTGTTGTTTCGAGAAAAGCTCTCGAATCTGACGGTGGATCTACCGTGAAGCTTGACGGTTCGAGAATAGATGTGATCTCTGGTTCAGAACTTGATATTAGTAAGACGACGATTGAACAATCTTCATGTTCGTGTTGATGATTTTTGAGTGATGGGTCGAGTATGGGCCAGATACATTGAGACATATATAAGCCATTTAATTGGCTTTATTTAAGCAACGTCTTTGTTTATGGGCTTTTCATATATCTTGTGATTCTCTTTAACATTTATTTCATACCAAATCAAACCGTTTGAAACTAGACCTAACTCATACTCTAGTCACCTAAACTGGCTAAAACTCATGACTGTGACTGTCACTAGGATCCAACATATATCTAAATATGATTTGTTTGGAGACGAGAAACGCAACAGAATAATTATATAGTACTTTAGCTATTATATGTTATAATAAATTAGTATTTCATACCTGCAAAAAAATAAACTTAGATCGGAATCACCAAATTATCATAAAAGTGAACTTAGTGGTTGTTAGAAAGTTTTATTTATCGATTTAGTGTTTTTCTAGACGTGTTTTGTAGGTTATTTATGATCTGTGCGTATTGCATTTGCCCAAACCAGTATTATTAGTTAATGGAGATTTTTGTATAATATTATAGTGAATCGATCGTTAGAATTACAATAAGATCACCAAGCAGATCTTTTTCATGATAGTTTCGTGACATCAACTGTGAGTGTCACTGGGAATCTGGAATATAATCCAAATCCAACAGAAGATATGATTCTAATTATTTTTTGCATGCAACCGAATAATTTGAAGTGCTCCAATTACAAACTTGCTTTTTCGCTCCATACCTAAAAATGGGTCTTTATTTGTTAAAGAAAATGTATATAATACATCGCACATTAGTATCAACATTATATATATGCACATATGATTAATCCGCCACACCAAAGTACTTTGTGACCACTTAGTTACTTATTTATTTGCTGATACCTCTGTACTATGTGTAAAGTTACCAATTATCTAACGTTTAGTTTATAAGCAAAATAAACCTTTCTTTAAAGATTCTTTTAACTAAAAAGTAAATAACTACTTTTTTGGTGTTTTTAATACATAAATGATAGGGATGTCAGTAAACGATATGTTCGATAAAAATCATCAAGTTAGGATTGTATGTATCAACTGAATCCAAAATGTTTGTATAGTTATCTATGTAAATACAAGTATACAACAGTAGCTAAGTAAGACCCATTTTGAGCAGAAACGAAGTTTGGAATCAGGGTCGCGATATTAGATTAAATTTTTGAGGTTAATTAATTTGTTGCCGGTCATTTATATAGGAATTCAATAGTGTAGTTGTCTTAAAAAAAAGTCTCAATTTTTTTGTTTAAAATTAAAAATCAATATAAAAATAATACAATGTTGGAACAGAAAAAGCATATCTAAATGGTACTGTTAAAGAAAAGGTCGTTGACTAACAAAAGGAAAAGTCAAATACAGAGCAATTTGCAGGGAAAAGTCGTACGTTCCCAACTTGTAAGGAGGGACTCGTCAGAAAACGGCATCTTCTAATTTTTATAATTACGTAAACATATTATTTTATATTGTTTTTGTTAATTAAGCACTACGTTTAGATATGCAATTTACTTTATTAAGATGCATATATACTCACTAATATTATACACATCACCATATTAAAAATAATTAATTATAAACCATTATATTATATATGCAAATTGTCTACGTATGCGTTTCCTTAGAAAAAGAAACTATAATTAAATAGAATACTATACAATAACTATATATAATAAATTAAGAATGCTGATCTTCTTAGACAATTATTTACAACGGAAACAAATGGGACAGATGTAAGTATAGTCTTTAATACTTGTGTTTATTTAGATTTAAAACAATATTTTTCAATGAAGTTCGAAAATCTGTAGAGGGATATAGTGATTTGAGTGTACCAAACATAACATGACATATACATATAGATGACCACGAGCGCATATTGGGTTAATAGCATATACCTGTTTGAGCACCAACGATTATCTTTGAAATAATTATTTTGAATTTAAAAGTATTCTCTGATTTGCGATTGGCTAACATCTTCACATTTCGTACGTCTATTTAAAGCTTCCCAAAGACCCAAACTTAAATCACAACCCAAAAACGGAAAATATCACACACAAAAAAAGAACTATTAATCCATAATGTTTTCTCTGAATATGAGAACCGAAATAGAAACTTTGTGGATCTTTGCTCTTGTATCAAAATTCAATATTTTCATGCAAGAACATTTTGTTTCTTTGCTTCTCTTCGTAGCCATCACTTGGTTTACCTTAACGATCGTATTTTGGTCTAAGCCGGGTGGACCGGCTTGGGGAAGATACTTCTTCACACACCGGTTTACTCCCGGTTGTAAACGGAAAACGAAGAATTTCATACCCGGTCCGAGAGGGTTTCCACTCGTGGGAAGCATGAGTCTAAGATCAAGCCACGTGGCTCACCAGCGCATAGCGGAAGCGGCCACGATGAGTAACGCCAAGAGGCTCATGGCGTTTAGCCTCGGTGATACTAAGGTGATAGTGACGTGCCATCCTGACGTGGCAAAGGAAATACTAAACAGTTCGGTATTTGCAGACCGACCTGTTGACGAAACCGCTTACGGTTTGATGTTTAACCGAGCCATGGGGTTCGCTCCTAATGGTACTTACTGGCGCTCACTGCGTCGATTAAGCTCAAACCATCTTTTCAACCCGAAGCAAATCAAACGCTCAGAGGGGCAGCGACGACAGATCGCGGCTCAGATGGTGAATGCGTTTGAACGTAACGCTGAAACCGCGTTTGGAGTGCGTGATGTGCTGAAAACGGCGTCGTTGTGTAATATGATGAGTTTAGTTTTCGGGAAAGAGTATGAACTGGAGTCTAATAACACCGTCGAATCGGAATGCTTGAAGGTTCTGGTTGAAGAAGGGTACGATCTTCTCGGTACGCTAAATTGGACCGACCATCTTCCTTGGTTAGGCGGTCTAGATTTCCAACAAATCCGGTTCAGGTGCTCTCAGCTCGTACCGAAAGTAAATCAGTTATTGAGCCGAATCATTCAAGAACAACGTGCTAACACTTGTAATTTCCTCGGCGTATTAAATTCCCTTCAAGGTTCCGAAAAATTATCAGAGCCCGATATGATCGCTGTTCTTTGGGTATGTACATTTTGATTAGTTATTACGCAGTATATTTAAGCATCAACAATATTAATCAAATTAATATTTCAATTTATATGGTGCCGTTAGGAAATGATATTTAGGGGAACGGACACAGTGGCGGTTTTGATCGAGTGGGTGCTAGCGAGGATTGTGATGCATCCCAAAGTTCAGTCAACGGTCCACGATGAGCTTGACCGAGTCGTTGGCAGATCCAGAGCCGTCGATGAGTCTGACCTTCCATCTCTCACGTATCTAACGGCCATGATCAAAGAAGTGTTGAGGCTGCATCCACCGGGCCCACTTCTCTCTTGGGCGCGTCTCTCTATAACAGACACCATCGTAGACGGATATCACGTGCCGGCTGGGACCACCGCGATGGTCAACATGTGGGCTATAGCACGTGATCCGCACGTGTGGGAGAACCCTTTGGAGTTTAAGCCTGAGAGGTTCGTGGCTAAAGAGGGTGAATCTGAGTTCTCTGTTTTCGGGTCGGATCTGAGGTTGGCACCGTTCGGATCGGGTAAGAGGGTTTGCCCGGGAAAGAATCTGGGACTTGCAACGGTGTCGTTTTGGGTTGCGACGCTTTTGCATGAGTTTGATTGGCTTCCTAGCTTCGATGCTAACCCTCCAGATCTATCGGAGGTTTTGAGGCTGTCGTGTGAGATGGCCTGTCCCCTCGTAGTTAACGTACGTCCGAGGCGTAAGATAGCATAAGCTTCAGTTTCGTCAGTGCATGGATGCTTCAAAAATTATTGGCAGATAAAAAAATCACGTATGTTTAGATACACCTTGAAACAACTAAAATAAATAAACTAAACTACATGTATCCTAAGATTCATCCATCTTTTATTGATTAACATGTATTAATGTATTTGTACGATGTGAAATAAAAATATTATATATGTTTTATGTGGATTTATTATACGTGTTGATGATGTGAATTGTGTATGTACCGTGGTTAATTGTTAACTCACATCTCATGGTACCGTTCCACTCGATAGAATATTTAGATGTTTTTATCTATATGATCTCTATAGTGAAAATTTTCCTGGCAAAATGTTGTTCAATATCGTTGGTATTAGTCAAACGATTCAGCGAATATTTTTGATACACAAATGCTAAACGTACTTAAAATAAAATTTGTAAATTAACTAGTGGTCACTATATAATGTAAAGGAACTAACTGCGATTAGATATAAGAGTCCTAAAATGCCTATCTTAAAATAAATTTAACTATTTTCATAGGAATCATTCCAAACAAAAAAAGATAACACTATCGCGTGTTGAAGGGTTAACTTGATAACTTCTCCAAAATTAATCATATTCTACTCTGAATTGCTTAGACATCCTTAATTTGCTACGAAATTTCTCATTATAGTGTCAACCACGAGAAGTACGATTCTATTTCTTAAAACGAAAGCATTTGATTGGAGCTGTAGTTGTATTTTATACTTATATAAGTATAATATATAGTGTCGTCGTTGAGTGTTCGACTTTGTTAATGTTTCTGACATCAATAACATGATGTCATTAACTTATATATGTTACGGACTTATCACTTATGGAACGTTAATCATTTTATTTAGTTGGTGAAAAATGCATTGTTCTTACAGCACTTTATCATATTTAATTAGGAAAATACATATATTTGGTACATTATTAATTGATAATTTTTTTAAAGAATTTCAACGTATTGAACGTTAAATTCTCAACCAAGTCATGGTTCGAATCAGTCCACAGTCTATACTAGTTATATATATGTGAACTTTCACGTAATTGCTTGCCATTGTCATATGTCGACAATTATAAATAATGCAATAATAACTTTTGCTACCACAAATTATACAGAAAAAAATGTGTAATACAACTGTTGGTCAAACTGGTTACGTTCAGTCAAATTTATAAGAAGTATCGAAAAGTCAAATCAATATACAATTTCCCGTGATGTGAAATATATATACATAGTGAGTCTATGTGCTTGCTATATGTAAGTTTTTGATAGTGAGCTATGTATATTATTATTTTATTTTCTATTGAGATTATCCTATTTTATAATTATATTATATATTCACATAAAACAAAGAAGAATAATATTGATGTATTATAAGAAAACGTGAATTGTTTTTTATAAGACGGTATGTTGTCACTACTATTAAAGATACTTTTCTGTTAATTCAATATGTTTAAACCTTGAAATTAAGGTCATTAGTTCTTTGGAGAGTGACCAATTTTATGAAAGAAAATATATGCAAAATTGTAAATTATCTATCAGCAAAAATGCATAGTCGAAATTTTTTTATTTTTATTTTTAAATGCATAGTCGAAAACAAGGATTCACTCCTTAATTTTTCCCCCGAAAATGAATTTTGTTTTGTTCAACCAATTAATGAACTAGTACTTGCATTGGATGATTAAATATAGAATTAATAATCTTGAACATTCCAAGTATGAATATAAGTACTACATTATTTAAAATATATATAAAAAATGATGCCATTATAGACTTGTAGATATAGATGGTGAAGAGCTACGAGACAAACATGCCTCAAAACTTGACACTGCCCTTAACATTTATTACGTTCCTAATTACAATGCTACATAGATGAAGTAGTAGTAGCCAGACCTGTATTCTCTATATTAAAATATATAGTACGTATATCAACGTATATATGACTCCATAACAATAAATTTCATGTAAGGACTATTAAATGTTTAAAACAACATATGGAAAAAATCTGAACCAAGTACATTGTTGAGATATTTTGATTGCATTTATTTTAGGTTTTTAACCAATAAATTATGGGTGTTAAACTAAGTCTCTGATTTTATCAGATCGGACCGGAAAACGTTTTCTTTATGTGACCAATTGGTATGAAGAGCAATATAATGGCGGATTGATTGAATAGTTTTTATATGTACATATGTGGACCGTAACTACATACATAGATAAAATACTCATATTAGAATATCAAATGACGCAAAGGAGACGAGAGTAACGTAAGAAGAACGTCTAAATCTAGAGTAAGGTTTTCTATTTTTCTTTTACGCCTTTTTTATCTTTGATTCTGCGTATCGTCGTCTCCATTTGCCATTAACCACTATATTAATAATTTATGTTTTATTGTTCTTTAATTGATAATTTAATTCGCTATTCACAAGGTAACTATATGTTTTAGTACATGGTTTTACGATTTAAACGGTAGTAATAAACTAATCAAAACTGGAGAATATAATAATCTTTGAAGTGAAAAAAATACCCCACGCCATAAAGAAACAACAACATACCTTCACGTTGTAAACAACTCCCCGAAAACTTCCAAGTAGCTTAAACCTAATTCTAGCTACTTATTATATAATACATTTAAATCATAGTTAACTACAATTGAAAATACTATCTTGCGTTTGTTTTGTGTTTGATATCAGCGGATTGGGATCCATTGTGACAAACTCTAGACGAAAGATTATATATGTGTCTTTTTTTTTCCAAAGACGGGAAAAGTATATATTTAGAAACCAGTCTGAAAAAAAATCATATAATGGTGTTGGATATAACTATCAAAATTTAAATTGTTTACAGTTTTGTTTATATTTAATGAAGTTGGTAGGAAACCTAAAAAGTGATGCAGAATTAAATTGTAAATATTTTGATTCCCAACTGGTCATCCTCAATTTACCCAACCACTCTTCTGACTGACTTCTCTTCCCTTCTTTATTTCGCAATTCAATAATACTCTCTCGTCGATATATATGCACGTATATAATTTTATTGGTTGATACAGTAAAACAAAATCAAATCGATATTGGGTTGTTCCATTTCAGATTGGTTTTGTGTATAGACGTCCCCTGCGTTGCATCTCTCACAAACGGTGAAGATCTATTATATTATAGATTTGAATATGTTAATTGGGTATTTTGATCATTTGACCATATGCCTATATATGGTTTTGAATATTAACACACTTATATTGTCACAAATATTATCAATATATGTTCGAATCTAAAAACCATGGATAAATGGCTAGAATTTCATAATTATATATAAATATTAAATTGTTGCAAAAAATAAATCAGTAAATTAATAACAAGAAGAAAAAAACTACATAATGGGAAATTTGTTTTTAACGAAGCCAAGCCGATCCCTTATAGAGCCAGGTATGATTGCATGCATATGTATTTTTCATGAATCATGAGCCACAATTTTGGTGAGGGGAGCTTAAACTTGCAGCTGCATGTGAAAGGTCGGCAAATGCAATCGATTTTGATATAAGTCCTAGCTACTCCTACAACGAGGCCACCTCTCAGGATGTAGCAGAGCTTCAGTAGCAGCCACGCAGTCTGACCAGAGTCCGTGGATTAGTTATACTAACAACACAATCGTTATACTGAATCATAGTAGTTAATTTTGTATATATGTTCAAGTAAAACGTGTGACGTGTCACCTCATTCAAAAATATATGCATTAAATGCATTGATTTAAACAAATATATATATATATATATATATTTTAAAAGCTAGGGTTTAGGAATGACGACCTGTTTCTGTTGTGTCTTATTAAAAGCCCATCTTCTCCTCCGCCACTCATCATTCCCTCATCATAACACCATCATCACCATTTTCACCTCTCTCTCTCTCTCTCTCTCTCTCTCTCTCTCTCTCTCTCTCTCTCTCTCTCTCTCTCTCTTTTCACCTCTCTCTCTCTCTCTCTCTCTCTCTCTCTCTCTCTCTCTCTCTCTCTCTCTCTCTCTCTCTCTCTCTCTCATTTTCTCTAGAACAATAAGAGTATCTGAGAATCTGCTAATGTTGTGAATTAAGCTATTTCAGTTGAGGGGAATGTTGTCTGGATCGAGGATATTATATATATACGCGCATATACACATACATATATATGTTGATACGATGATTAATTCCACATATATATGTATATATAGAGAGTATCCTCGGACCAGGCTTCATCCCCCCTAACATGTCATGGCCTCTGATCACAAGATATTTATATTTTTTTTGTTAATTACTTGCAAATATCTCAAGCGTATGTCCTTTTTTTTTCCAACTATAATTAATGTCTTTGTATCCTTCATCATCTCATGCATGGCTTCTTAAGCGTAGATTTACAAATCTGCGTATCCGTCTTTTTTTTTGCCTTTCCTACATTATTTGTTTCGTACATTTATATTATCGTTTATGTACTACTAGGGTTTCATATGAGTTTCGCGAGGTTAAGGATGAAAGAATACACTTTTAAAGATCTATCTTTGTTTTAATTTCTTTACATTCACATGCTAATACATCTGATAAAAATCAAGCGACTTTTTATGTTTTTGTTAGACTGGATCGGGGTCATTCATCAAGTACAATGTTGAAAAATCGTATCGGTTGTATCAAGAGCTGGCCCTTGAAATTAGCAACCCAAGCCCATGCCTCTGACCGCATTTTAGAGGCCTAGTTTTTCAATATCTGTAAGACGAAGTCCCATGTCTCTTGTTCGAACTCCAAAGCTGGGTCTTTAAATTTTTTTTTTAACCTTCTGGCTTTTTCAGCAAAAAAAATTTAAACTTTATTATTGCCCGAAACAAAAGTCCTTTTCGCACCCGTATCACGTCGTATTCACAAAACAAAGTCACTCACTTGCACAAAATAAAAGGATATATAGTGAAAAAGGTATCATATTACACTAACCGAATCAATTACCCAATGTTGACCATCGGTTTTGACTTTTAACCGGTTGATCTTTGCGAACAAGTTCACGGCTCTTCTCACTCCTCTATTATCCGCCGCCGTGAAATAATCGTGACCGAATAAAACTCCGCCGGGTCGGAGTATCCGAACCGCCCGGTTTATATCTGCCCAAGCCGAATTGAAATCGTGACCCGCGTCTACCTCCACCAGATCTGCCGTCACTCCCCACTCACACAGCTTCTCCAAACCCGAACCGGTCGAGAATGGAACCGGCAAAATCGAACCGGAAAAATCAGAGCTGATCACGTTTTGCATAAACTGGTACAGAAGCAAAACGTCGCCGTTTACCAAAGCCACGTCCTTAACCCGGTCTCGAAAACCGGGCCAGCCACGGAAGTCGTCGAGGCAGAGTATCTGAGTCTCCTCGAGCCCGAGGCGGCGCGTGAGATTCGCCATATGAATCGCCGACGCGCCGAGGAAACTCCCGATTTCGACGATCGTCCTAGGTTTGAATCGGCGGATTAGATTCTCGAAGACAAGCCCCTGCGATCCCCATCCCTTGATTCGTTTTGGCCGGAGGAATTTTCCTGCGTGTGGTGGCGGGAAATCGGTGTATGGAGAAGTTCCGTTGAAAATCCGGTCGATAACCGTTCGGCGGATTAATTCAGGCGGAACTAGATCGCCGCAGTGAGTCGTTACTCGGAAGTTGTCGATTGAGCAATCGTGAGGGTTTATCGTTCGGACTGTCCTCAGCGCCGTCGTGAGCGGTGGCGGTTGACGAGAGTAGCAAGCGGAGAAGTAACCAAAAGCGTAGGATAGCACTATGAAGATAGCGTACGCCGTCCTGGTTTTCAAGAACTGGAGGCTATCGCCTGTCTGAGGAAGACGCCGACCCTCCTTCATGATAAAGTTTTCTGAAAAAGGAATGAAGTGAAAAGGATTTAGGAATAATGGCGTTTGTAATAAGGTAATATATTTCGAGTTATGGAATTTAGTACTATTATTTAGGCGGGTCAGTTTTGTTAAGACGTTTATATTTAGTTGGTTAAGTTATGGCTAGTCTGTGATCTAATTTATTTGACTTTACGTGTCTAGAAAGTTACATGTGATGTAGTCATTTACAATAAAAATAACTAGCTTTATCCTTGACCTAGTTAATAATGCTTATGCTACTAAACAATTTTCTATTTTATGGGATTTCCTCGTTATTGTAGTACAATATTACAATTTTTCTATATCTTAAAACTCTGTATTCTATTAATCAATGAACACTATGGAAGTTTAAGTTATTTTGCGCAGATCCCATCGTATGATTATTATTTTAGTAAAATCGACCTAATTAGTTAATACAATCGTGCGCAATGTCAAATGCAGTACCAAATAGGCAAAACTTTGATTACACTCACATTCTGAATATTGCATTTTCTGCGTTATATAAAGAAAAAATTATCCATTTTGGTCAGAGCTGAAATCAAAGATCGTTTTGTAACCGTTGGATCTTGAAAATACGATCGGACGTCTGGTAAATGCAATAATGTTCAACACAACACGGGGCAAATACGAAATAAATGTGTCCATTTTAGTCTTTACACACGCAAACGAGAAGGATTTCTCTCGAAGCTGTGCCCATTTTAGTAATTTCGCAAACGTTTATGTCCATCTTCAATTTAAAGTCTTAACAGATAAGACGATAGAGTTGAACGATCGGATCATTTTCCACCGACCACCGTAGGATTTTTCTCGAACACAGCAGTCCACTGTTTAAGCTTGACTGTCTCTGTATCGGCAAAGGTAACTTCTGATGTAATCTACTTGCAAAACCCTAGTTATCTTGAATTGAAGCTCAAACTTTGTTCTTGTACGTGGAAGAACGAACATAAAACTCTAATTGTCTATCTATCTACTTCGCAAACTCACCGATTGGTTTTTGGTAAGTTGCTCTTTCAGACTCATTTCTGGAATTTGGTTGCGTTTTCATTGGTTGTATAATAAGTAGAGCTTCGATTTCCCAGGAATATTTGAATTGTCTCTACCGATCTTCTATTTCCGGTTAACAAACTAATCAAGCATTTTCTTGTTTTTCCTCTTCTTCGATTAAAGGCAAACCAAATAAAGTATCTTTACGTGACTTGTTTGCTTTGTACTAAATAAAGTATCTTTCCGGTTAACAAACTAATCAAGCTTATTCTTCTCTATCGTGTTACATTTGCTGAGTGTTTAAAATGATTCTGATATTTTCAGTTTCAGGTTAAGATGGCAACAGCATCAGGAGGTAGAGCCAAGTACATAATCGGTGCTCTCATCGGCTCTTTCGGAATCTCATACCTCTTCGACAAACTTGTCGCTGATGATAAGATTTTCGGAGGCAAGTTTTTTCAAACTCTCATCATAACTTAGGAACGATCTTTTAATAATGTGTTGTAACAAACAACCTCTGGTGAAAAAAACTCAGGGTCTACTCCAGGAACAGTGTCTAACAAGGAATGGTGGAAGGCGACGGATGAGAAATTCCAAGCCTGGCCAAGAACCGCTGGTCCTCCCGTCGTTATGAACCCTATCAGCCGTCAGAATTTCATCGTCAAGACGCGTCCAGAATAAGAAGAAGAAAAATAATATCACCGCTTTGATTGTCAGTGAATAATGTTGTTTCTAAAACAAGCCGTACTTGTACTAAACAACACAATACATTACAACAGGGTTTGTGGAACTATTCCAGAGTCTATTTTTCTGTTAAAACTCAAGAAAACGAATGCAAAGCCATAACGAGAAAGCATCAGTCCTAAATATCAACAAAACAAAGCTTCTTTGGAACCTTTCACTTGCCCTCATCTTTCCCTTGTCCATCTGCTCCCTCTTGCTTCGCTCCTCTATGCCCCACTGTTAACAGTAAAGACACAAAGGAATGAACAAACCCATAGGAAGTTAACAATAAAGCGGAGATACAAACCAAGCCATTCGCTTACCGTTTGGGCCGCCTCCTCCAAGACTGGTTTCTGGTTGCTGCATCGGGTGCTGCATCCCGTTGTTGTTGATACCCATTGGTCTAATCCCCATGTGGCCTTGCATAGCTTGTTGATGCTGCTGCTGCTGCTGGTGGTGCGGGTCTTGAAGCTGGTGTGGGCTACCAAACTGCAAAGGACCTCTTGGAGGGAAGATACCGGCGGGAGATGCTTGTTGAGCCATTCCTGGAGCTTGTGGGTGCTGCATAAAGTAGCTTGGCGGTTGCATCGCAGGATGCGGTGCTGTCATCTAACAGAAACACACAGACACGAAAAAAAGTAAGGAAACCCTTGATACGTATCTTAAGGCTCTGACTCATCCGCAATCACAAACAACCTGGGAAGCCATGGCTGGTGCTGGTGCAGCTCCTGGTGTAGGTGGAGGAGGTTGAGCATCAGCAATTGCAGCGAGGTACATTAGGTTCTTCTGGAGAAGAGCTTGGTACCTGCAAATATGACGGAGCCAAAAAAAACATTACGATTCTCAGAGATTACATTTCTGTTCAAGAGATAGGAGATGGACATACAACTAAGGAGACACTTACTGTGCACACTCTGCAAGTTTACCGAGATTCTGGTTTTCCATGATTGCTATTATCAGCTTTTTGTTCTCATCAAGGTACTGAATTTGAGCAAATGGAAGAAAAGAGAAGGAGATCAAGTATAATAAAACAACAAAACCCACCAAGCATCTAACCTCAGTATCGAAAACATGATGCTAAGTTCAACTAACAAGATCAAAGCAGGTAAACCACCAAGAACAGACCCAGCTTTTGTATCATTTTAACCATAACTGTTGAATGCCATCAAGGAAGAATAGTAAATACACTTATGAGATTCCTAATCTGATTAAAAATTAAGGAGGAAAGCTATAAAGATAGACACTTTCAGACCAATTGCCACCAATTACCGCAAAACATTAGTTACTTCACTCAAATCACAAGAACCCATTGACTGTCGGCACAAATAGCTCAATAAGAGACTAAATCCGAGTGTTCAACAAGTTTTAATCTGTGACTTGAAGAGAGAAATGCTCTGAAACAGAAAGAAATTGAAGAAAGAAGAAACCTTTTGGATCTGTTCTGTGGTGATGTTAGTAGTCGGAATCGAAGGAACCATCGGAAACATTTGCGGAGACTGTTGCATCTTCTTTACCAATTCGTCGTCGCCGAACAAACCAAAACCCTAGTTTCTTCTCCCTCAAAAACCCTCAAAATACCAAAGACCGATCAAGCAATTTGCGCAAACGAAATGATTGCAAGATTCTACAAATATTTATAGATTATCCTACGATTTGTTACTTGGATTCCTCTGGCTGTCGGAGACGTCTACTGAGATTTTATGACTAAAAATGTGTCAAACTTTCCTTTTATGAAAATAAAACAATAGCGAAAAAATCATAATACAGCAACAACCTCTAAGCAAACCAGAAGGTTTAGTTCCTAATACATCATAGTTGGGCCGTAATATTCAGCCCAATACGAGATTCTACGATCCATGGGCCATTACTGCATTGCAACGCTTCTGGCTAACATATTGATAACCCATTCCCATAATCTGCTGATCCAGTTTGATTTTTCCGGTCTTAGGCCCTCGAAGATTTCACACAAGGGATGTAGCTTGTCGTACAAGTAAGAATTGTTTTAGCAAACAAAAAAATAAGTCGAAATTTATTAACTCATATCATATAACCACACAAATATTCTACCTTCTATCCGGAGATTAATAAAAGTTCGTATTAATACCAAATAATTGACGACGGTTAAAGAAAAAGTCAAACTTTTACATCACGATCGTCTGTGATTTGTTTTCCGTCGGGATTGACGTCGTTAGCGTCGTCGTCGCAGAGATCGGAGATCAAAACGGAGAGAGAGACAAACGCGGGAGTGACGAGGAAGATGAGCCCAAGAGGAACCATCCAAAGATTAGAATTTGTGGGATGGTATTTGTAAACCCAATACGTTAGAAACAATCCTCCACACAAAATCGCAAGCATCGAATATAATAAGAATACCATTGAAGACATACTATTCTTCTCCTTCCTATCACTCTCTGTCTTCTTCTTCATATTCGTGTCCATGTCGCTTTCGTGTTCCATTCGCATGAGGATCGAAAAAGTAACTATTTAGGATTTTTGTTTATTTATTTGCTGGAAAATCATAGCCAGGTTAAGTAAAAAGACAAGAGAGGGTGTGAGTGATATCATAGATTTAATATTTTTTAGTTATGAGTAAAGTATATATATATATATATATATATATATACAGTCGAGTTTCGATTCGTGTGTGTGTGTCGGTTTAGATCTTTTTCAATTTTTTCAAATTTATGGTATTTTGACAACTAAATATGGTTTGAGGTATTTTAATATAGTACACTAAGTTGTAATTTCTGTTACAAGGCCAAAAGAAACGTGAGAGAGGAAAGGCAACAACGGTGCCGTGTGGTGCAAGTAGAGTTACGTATATTTGTACATACACGGTCCAATCTTGATGGCATTACATGCTTTATCAAGACTTATTGACATACAGTTTTAGGTTTCTTATTAATAAAATAAGAAACACAATCTGACCCGACTCTGTTATTTATGCGTATGAATATCTAACTTCGTTGCTAAAAAGGCAAATAGTAAACCCGGAAGCAAACTATGGGAGTAACAGTTAGGTCCTTTCACCATTTTTGTTATCAGACATTTGTCCTTTGTAACGAAGAACACACTAAAAACTAGATACAAAAAAAAAAAAAAACACCAAAAAGTGCAAAAATTTCAACGAAAAACGATAAAATCATAAAGTAGAATTTCAATAAAATAAATTTAACTTAAGGATTACTGTTGCTATCACATAAAAATATATTTCTGTAGCTATCACTTTTTACTGTAACACCCAAAAAGTGCAAAATTTTCGACGAAAAACGATAAAATCATAAAGTAGAATTTCAATTAAATAAATTTAACTTAATTATTACTGTAGCTATCAAGCAAATATAATCGTTGATTTCGTCCCTACATTTTAACCTAAACAAAAAGAGTTAATACAAATTAACAATATGGGCTATTATAGAGTTACCACGAGTGAACAATGCTAATGGGTTGTTTAAGTTTATATGGGCCACAAATTAACAATATGGGCCATCAGATGTACGTAGTCCAATTTCATTACGAGTAGAATCATAAATGGAGGGCTCGATGTGTTTGGTCTAGTGGTGGAATTATAAAGTACAAACCGAAGTAAATCGAAAAGAAGCCACATATTCATTTTAGATTATAGAGTTTATCCATAAAATCGAAGAAGATTGGATTCATAACCAAATAAAAACTTGACAGCAACAAAAAAAAAAACCCTTACCAAATGAAAACAAAACTAAATAAAAACTAAATCTGGATTGAAGAAGTTCAATTTGATAACCAAATGCAATTGCTTTCATGTGGGATGGTGACGTGATATTATTGTACCCGACTTTGAGAAGAAAATAAAAACTTTATAACATACTCAATTATTGAATGAGTGGTTCAGTCTGCATTATTTCCCTTTCTTTAATTCGTAAGATAATTTTTTTATATAGATTATTGTATCAGTATTATTAGTTGTGCTCACTAACACACTGTCTGCCACTCTTTTTTTCTGCGGATTTTTGGATGTATTCTATCTTATATGCAAAATTCAGACGAAAATAAATAAAAGAAAGAAGAATTTTTGTTGTAAAAAAAAGGGAGAAGGGATAATAAAAAAACATTATCACATTCCGTGTCATCTAAGTTTATCAGGAAGGATTTATGTGGGGTTCAGTTGCCGTTACTCACATGGAAAGACCAGCTATTTCAATATCTATTTTCTTTTTTGTTCTTTTTAATCATACTTTTTGATAGGAACCAAACCTGTAACCGTTACATAAAATATTTACAGATTTAAAACAGTTGTAGTAATCATAGAGTTTTAAAAAAAAGGAGCCAGAATTTTTTTAATACTCATAAAAAAAAGATGGACCACATAATTTCATGAAATAAAAATCCATGTAAACAATTAACTTTTTCATTCAGAATGGTATGAAACAAACAGAGAAAAGAAGACCATCCAATAAATAAAAGCATATCCACAAATAATAGAAAATCCAACATTCCACAAATACTCGAGTCAAAAACTATATACTTACCACTCACTCACACAGACACACACAGACCAAAAAGAAAGAAGAATGTACTGCTGCTGTGTACGTACACATACACGGGACGGACGCGGAACAGAAAATAATGTTTTTGCCCTTGGGACCCACATTGCCGCGCGTGAATCCCACTCTCCCTATGATATCTCTCGCTCGTCCGCTTCCTCTCGCTCGCCTTATAATTTCAGCCACTAGGAAAGAGAGAAGGTAAAAGAGAGAAAGAGATAGAGAGAGAATCTCGTTTTGAGATTTTGAGTCCTTTGAGATTTGACGTTGAGCGTCGTCGACTGTTCCGCCGGATTCTGTGAATTTTTATTTATTTTTAATCATAATCGTCTGTAAAGAAGAAAAATGAGTGGGAGCAGAAAGAGGACGACGCCGGCGAGTAGGACGCGAGTAGGGAACTACGAGATGGGACGCACACTAGGCGAAGGAAGCTTCGCTAAGGTGAAATACGCAAGGAACACCGTCACCGGAGATCTAGCCGCCATCAAAATCCTCGACCGAGACAAGGTTTTCCGTCACAAAATGGTTGAACAGGTTCGTAACGTGTTCAACAAGAAGAAGCACCCACGGATTTACGATTTGTTTAATCTTTAAGAATAGTTTGATTCCGTGATTAGGGACCCACATGTCCGAGGTAGGTGTTAGGTTATTAAGGATAATGGTTTTGCTTAAGTTTAAAAATGATTTTTTTTAAAAAAAAATGGATTCGAATCTGTATCACTAGATGAATGTTCTGTATATCAGGATGTGTAGATCTTTTGGAATCCATCATATATACGATGCGGATCGTAGTACGCATTGATCATGACAACGACGACATTGATATGGTTTTCTTTGTTGTGGAGTTGTTGATTACCGTTTGATTATAAGTTATAAGCAAGATCTAATGAGCATGCGTTTTCTTTATTTTTGCAGCTTAAAAGAGAAATATCAACAATGAAACTCATTAAACATCCAAATGTGGTTGAAATCATCGAGGTAATTAATAAGCTAATGAGTTTTTGAATCTTATCCAACCTTACGTTACTAATAAGGTTTGAATCTTAGCGTTTATAACCTCTGTATGTTGCTATTGGTGTGGGCAGGTTATGGCGAGCAAAACGAAGATCTATATCGTTCTTGAGCTTGTCAATGGAGGGGAACTCTTTGATAAAATCGTATGAAACCAATCCCTATACTGGTTTACTCTTTGACCATGTTTGTTCTTTGAAGCTGAGAGTTCTGAATCTCAACGCTTTTGACCAAACATCGTAATAAAGTTTTGAGCTTGTTAGTGGAAAGTACTACTAGTCCATGAGATTCTTGGACACTATAGGAAATCAAATCTAATGTCATAATTTAGAGTTTTCTTTTTTTTTGAGGTTTTCCTCTGTTTTTACTAATGCAATTTTTGATTTTGTATCATACGTAGGCCCAACAAGGGAGACTTAAGGAGGATGAAGCTCGGAGTTACTTTCAGCAGCTCATCAATGCCGTTGATTACTGCCACAGTCGAGGCGTCTACCACAGAGATTTGAAGGTCTTTCTTTTTGTGCTCTTCTTATTTATTTTTTTGCTATATGATCCTCACCATGTTCAAGTTTCTAAACCTATGTGTTGCTTGTTGCAGCCTGAAAATCTGATCCTTGATGCAAATGGGGTTCTAAAAGTTTCTGACTTTGGGTTAAGCGCCTTCTCACGACAAGTTCGGGTAAATCATTTGATTTATCTATTGGATATCATGGCAAATTGGCAATTAATCTATGAAATGAACAACATATACAATTGTTTGTTTCCACACATACTGATTGTTGTAAGCACCATTCTTTTGAATGCAGGAAGATGGTTTGCTTCACACAGCTTGTGGAACGCCGAACTATGTTGCTCCTGAGGTAGATTCTAAGTTTCGGCACTAAGAAAAGTAACGCATATGAAGTGTATCAGGGAATCTAATATGATAAGGATTTCAAGATTTGCTTCTCCGTTATAAACAATGTAGCAAATGAGATATACTAATATATGCTTAGGATGTAAATCAAATACACGACTCTAATTTCTTTTTCATTTCTTTTTTGGTTTGCGTGCAGGTTCTGTCGGACAAAGGCTATGACGGTGCAGCAGCAGATGTCTGGTCCTGTGGTGTTATTATATTTGTGCTCATGGCTGGTTACTTGCCTTTTGATGAGCCAAATCTCATGACACTATACAAACGTGTACGTACTTCTCTTCCCCTGCTTTTTACTATTTTGTTAAGTACTTTTCTTAATCTCACTTTTTGGTGTTTTAAAAAATACTTCAGATATGCAAGGCTGAGTTCAGCTGCCCACCATGGTTCTCGCCAGGTGCCAAGAGAGTCATTAAGCGTATTCTTGATCCCAGCCCTATAACCGTAAGCGCCTAATTAATACCCTTTGCTTAGCTGTGATTTGTGAACATGAGATGGTGTGAACACGGGATCAAATGGTCTAACACATGTTTTCCAAATTGCAGAGAATAACTATTGCAGAGTTACTGGAAGATGAATGGTTCAAGCAAGGGTACAAGCCGCCATCGTTTGACCAAGAAGATGAGGACATTAACATTGATGATGTGGACGCTGCTTTCAGTAACTCCAAGGTAAAAACCGCCATTTCTCAATTCTCCATCTGATTCTATTAGTTGTGTTTGTGTACCTGTAAATATCGTAGTTGGAGTTAAAACTAGTATTAATCTTTCGTGCTCCTACTCTAGGAATGTCTTGTGACAGAGAAGAAGGAGAAACCGGAATCCATGAACGCTTTCGAACTTATCTCTAGCTCAAGACAGTTCAGTCTTGAAAATCTGTTCGAGAAACAAGCGGTACCAACTTTTTTTTCCTAGTTACATTTTGTGGATGATTTGTTTCGGTTGTCTAAAATCAAGCGTGGGTTTGCCTAATCGTTATGGTTGCGGAATTGCAGCAAATTGTGAAGAAAGAGACGCGGTTTACGTCTCAACGATCTGCGAGTGAAATAATGTCGAAAATGGAGGAAACCGCAAAGCCATTAGGCTTCAATGTCCGTAAAGACAAGTACAAGGTTTGTTCGTATTCTTGATTTTGTCTGTCTTAGTCAAGAAGTGTAATGTCTTTGTGGCATCGTTAAGGGTTGTTTAATAAAATCGCAGATAAAAATGAAAGGAGACAAAAGTGGTCGCAAAGGTCAGCTCTCCGTAGCTACAGAGGTAAATAGATAGAAACGATAACACTCGAATTAAGTTCGGTTTTTGGGTTTATTTTATCAAAACCGGTATACAATTAATTTGGTTTGGTTATCGGTTTAACAGGTGTTTGAAGTGGCACCATCGTTGCATGTGGTAGAGCTTAGAAAAACCGGCGGTGATACCCTCGAGTTTCACAAGGTATGTTTTCGGTTTATAATCTTCATTAACCGGTTAGCATCTCTACATGGGTTAGTTTCTCACTGAGTTACGTAAAAATCTGTTTTGCAGTTCTACAAAAACTTCTCATCTGGATTAAAGGATGTAGTCTGGAATACTGATGGAGCTGCTGAAGAACATAAAGCTTAAGAAATAACAAAGTTGTTCTGTTTAAAAAAAAATTTAAATAAATTATATCAAGAAAGAACCGAAAAATGCGCAAGCAGAAAAAAAAGAGTTGAAATTGTAAAATGAATGGCAAAAATCAGGGATCTTCCTCAAAACTCGGTTTAGCTCAATCTGAGTCAGACCCATAAGTCAAACAATTCAATTGGTCAAGATCCAATAAATGATCGTTGCGTCAAACGCGGGAAGTTCACTGAACAATGTCCATTTATGGCGACGGTTGGCAACGCTTTTAGCATGGATACCGTGTCGATCAAAGTTTGGACAGAATAATTAAAAGAGACAAAACAAAATAAAACTTCAAAAACTACGTACCAAGTAGTAATGAATAATGATGGAATCATGGAAAGATAAGTGACTACAAATTAAAGTGTTATTTCGTACAACTGTGTGTGATTGCTAAAAAGTTGCAAATCATACAGTGATTCTGCTATTTCATATAGTACAATACATACTACAAATGCTGGCGTATTTTTTCGTAGTTAGGATAAAAGTTACAACAAGTAGCGACCAAATAAATATCAAGAAGAATTATCGCCATTCCATATTTAAATGGGATATACATGAAATAATATCAAGAAGAATCATCGCCATTCGACCAAATACATTTTACATTCTATTTAAAAAAAAAAAGGGTATAGATGAAACTCATAGCTTTTTGAAACCAATTGTTTTGGCTACGGAAACAACGTGACAAATACTCATATGACAACAGTTGACAGTTGATGCAGGCCATTTTGGTATAAATTCGTAACAATAGTATCTTTACATATACAGATTAGTATCAGCTGTCAAAGAAAAAAACATATAGTTGAACAAGCAATTCTTTGATCAAAGTATCAGCTGACAACCAAACATAGTTTACAACTTTAAATATAGTTGAGACTTTAAAAAAAATATGGAAACATTGATCGTGGATAATTTTAACTGCTGAAAATGATTAGTTCAAGTTGTTTGAATTAATTAATCATTCGATCTTTTGAAGCGTACTATTCCACCCTTTTGTTGAACAACAGCATACATGCACGTATATATATATATATATTTATGACGGACTGGTTTCTAGTTAGCTGGTATTAAGCCGACCACCATTAATTGTTGGTTTTTATGGTCTACACATGGCCACTAGTCCACCATTTATTATCATCATTATCTCATTGATTCGACAAGTTAACTAGTTTGATCTGCTATAAACAATAACTAATCTCTTATTACGTTCATCAAGTTTGACGTCAATTAAGCTGTTTATTGATTAGCTATTTACTGTTTACATATATGTTCATTATACATGAATAAGCTAGTAGACATAAACTTAAAATTATTTATTATTAGCATCTGGTGAAATGGATCATTCTGATATTGAACTTGGAGAGTTGGCATGTCGACACAATGTGTTTCATGTGCCAATCACGATTCATCGAAACGACGTACGTCTTTGGTTTTTGGCATCTCTTTGTTCTGTTACTTCCCAAACCGTGAGAGTTACTGTCTTGTTTTTCTTTGTGAATCGATGGTATAACGTACGGGATTGTAATATTCATAAGAAGAAAGGGTTGTGTGTTCTTTGAATAAGACTAGGTAACGATAAGATAACATAAACAAATTTGAAATTCTTATGCTAGTAATAATCACACATAAGGTTTTTGCTTGTTGGTTTTCCTTTTCGCAAAAGATAGAAAAATGTTGACAAAATAAGCAAAGATTCTAAAATGCTAAAATTATTAATATTGACTAACGTCTAATATCAATTCACAAAGTTGGGTAATCCATAAGCAATTCTTTTGATTGGCATGTTATCAATCAACTCTAGATCTATTACAGCTTTGTAAATTAGTAACAAATAAAATAAGACGTATGCGATAATAGAAATGATTAATTTAGAAAACAATTGCAATTAACTAGAAACCTATCCCAATTAAAAAATTAAAAATCTAACAAACAGAGTCAGGTCCTATTCGGACTTGGACCTAAATCCAATCAGTTTACCTATAAGACTATCCGATTCGCTCTGCCCGTTTTACCCCTCCAAGGTCCACTTTGGACACGTTGGCAGTTGACACAATCAAATTTATAGTTGTAAAAAAAAAACTCTAAAAATAGGATTTCATATCCAAAACGTTGATAGACAGATATTGTTCGATTTCTAATCACTTTAATATTTTCATATGCTAGGACAGCCTTTGCATCTACTAAAGTTTTAGCATATTTTAAAAAGCCGTCCTAGCAAATTTTTCATATCCAAAATGTTGATGGACATTGTACAGACATGCACTTTTTAACATCAAATATGCTTAAAAATTTCATACTATATATATGGCATTTTATCTCCAGCTAATTGAAATTTACAATAACAACAAAAAATTACTTTTTAAATAAAAATTAAGATACTGTGGGATTTATTTTAATAAATAAACGTCTTGGTTGAGACAGCAAAAGTTAAATGATAATGACAACAATATTGAAACATTTACTTTGGATGGGTCATGGACTCATGGGTATACACAATAGCTCAAAACGAAATGTGATATAATTCATTATCAATTTATCACGGTCGACAATAACTAATAAGGAATTCGCATTCATGTGGAATATACAATTATTTAAAAATGACAAATTTTGAATATTTGGGGACACGCTTTCGTCTACCATTGTAATAGCAATTGGGACAGGGAACGCTTCTCATGAATGAAAGAAACGTTTCTCAACACACATTTCCTTTAAATTTAGAAGTTACTACAAAATATTTTATCAATTTATAGTATTATTTAATTGTTAATGTTTTTTACTTTCCCTCACTCAATCTTGGGAATAACAATATACTACTTGCTAATGGAGCAAGAAAAACATCATGCTGTCAAACATTTTGATTAATAAAAAAATCTATAGTTAACAACTAAACATGTCATGTTTCGTCGCTGTGTTGTTGTAGTGCTATAGTTAACAAGCTAGACTAAACAGAAAAAATAGAAAGTTGGGATGCCCAATTTACGATCTAACCACATTTCAGCTGGGTGTTGAAAGACTTTTATGAAAATGTACTATTTTATCATTTGCATTTCGTGTGAACAAAAATTGACTAATGAGAGACTACGTGATTTAATATCAAGGTCCCATATAGAAGTAGTTGAGCTAATAATAGTATCTCGGAACCACCCACCATTAATTTCGAATATTATTTAATCTTATTATATCTTCTCTTTCTTGCAACTCTATATATCTCTCCACCTCCACTTGCCCTAATTTCACCAAAATCCTCCAAATTCACCACTTTCAGAAAATTCCATCTTCATTTTCTCTCTCTTTCTCTTTCTCCAAATTTGCATAAAGGTTTAATAACTGCACACATTTTTCTATCCAGTTTGAAATATTTCGACCCAAAATCATACGGATGGAGAGAACCAACAACATAGAGATGGATCAAGAGAGATTAACGGCGGAGATGGCGTTTCGAGATTCTTCATCGGCCGTTATAAGAATCCGGCGACGTTTGCCGGACTTGCTAACGTCCGTTAAGCTCAAGTACGTGAAGCTTGGACTTCACAACTCTTGCAACTTCACCACCATTCTCTTCGTCCTAATCATTCTTCCCTTAACCGGAACCGTGCTAGTTCAGCTAACCGGTCTAACGTTCGATACGTTATCTGAGCTTTGGTCTAACCGGGCTGTCCAACTCGACGGGGCGACGAGACTCGCCTGCTCTGTTTTCCTCTGCTTCGTTTTGATCCTCTACGTGGCTAACCGGACTAAACCGATTTACCTAGTGGATTTCTCATGCTACAAACCGGAAGACGAACGGAAAATGTCGGTGGATTCGTTCTTGAAGATGACGGAGGAAAACGGAGCGTTCACCGACGACACGGTTCAGTTCCAGCAAAGAATCTCGAACCGAGCCGGTTTAGGAGACGAGACTTATCTGCCACGAGGCATAACCTCAACACCCCCGAAGCTAAATATGTCCGAGGCACGTGCCGAAGCTGAAGCCGTTATGTTCGGAGCCTTAGATTCCCTTTTCGAAAAAACCGGAATTAAACCGGCCGAAATCGGAATCCTGATCGTAAACTGCAGCTTATTCTGTCCGACACCATCTTTGTCGGCGATGATCGTGAACCATTACAAGATGAGAGAGGACATCAAAAGCTACAACCTTGGAGGAATGGGTTGCTCCGCAGGATTAATCTCAATCGATCTCGCCAACAATCTCCTCAAAGCAAACCCTAATTCTTATGCTGTCGTGGTCAGCACGGAAAACATAACCCTAAATTGGTACTTCGGCAACGACCGGTCAATGCTGCTCTGCAACTGCATCTTCCGGATGGGCGGCGCAGCCATTCTCCTTTCTAACCGCCGACAAGACCGGTCAAAGTCAAAGTACGAGCTAGTCAACATCGTACGGACACATAAAGGGTCAGACGACAAGAACTACAATTGCGTGTATCAGAAGGAAGACGAAAAGGGAACGATCGGTGTCTCTTTAGCTCGAGAGCTTATGTCCGTAGCCGGAGACGCATTGAAAACAAACATCACGACGTTAGGACCGATGGTTCTACCTCTGTCGGAACAGTTAATGTTCTTGATTTCATTGGTCAAAAGGAAGATGTTAAAATTCAGAGTGAAGCCGTATATTCCGGATTTCAAGCTAGCTTTCGAGCATTTCTGTATACACGCAGGCGGTAGAGCGGTTCTAGACGAGGTGCAGAAGAATCTTGATCTCAAAGATTGGCATATGGAACCTTCTAGGATGACTTTGCACCGGTTTGGTAACACTTCGAGTAGCTCATTGTGGTATGAGATGGCTTACACCGAAGCTAAGGGTCGAGTCAAAGCTGGGGATCGACTTTGGCAGATTGCGTTTGGATCGGGTTTCAAGTGTAATAGTGCGGTTTGGAGAGCGTTGCGAGCGGTTTCGACGAAGGAGATGACGGGCAATGCGTGGGCTGGTTCGATTGAAGATTATCCGGTTAAGATTGTTCAATGACTGGTTTGGATCGGATATTTGGAGTATAGTGGTTGGTTTGATTATGTAATTGTGTACGATCTTGATATTCAATACTTCTATGTAAGTTATCGAATGAAGATTACAATTTAATTAATTTATGGAAGTGTGTTTGGTATACGTTAGTTGATTATTGATATACTTTTGGAATTTTGGTAAACCAGAAAATTAAAACTTGTCAAAAGTCAAACAGAAGTCGCATCCTCGTAATCCACTATAACCGCGTTCATACCCTATAAGCAAATAACTTGCACAATTGCACAAATTACGCTGGTTTTAATCATTACACTTGTATTTTTGGTGAAGATCGTTTTGATTCATTCATTATACACTGGGAATTTATTGACAAACAGATCGATTACACAAGTCTCTTGGTCTTGGTTCTTCAAAGTCTTGATCATAAGTTAGTAAAGGTGGGCACTTTCGGATCGAACGGTTGGTCCGGTCAACAACTTTTATAGGTCGAAGTCGTTGAACCATCATTTGGATAACTAACTGGTTGCTGCCTACATATACCAACGAAAAAGCAAAAACATTTAATTTTCTCTAAAACAAAACGTGTCAGATTTTTCATATTTATTTGGTGTGATATAGAAAACATGTAATTATCACTTGCATAGTCGCATGCACTCACACCATTGGCAGTGGCACACTCCAGAAGACCAATGTTAGGCCCATTAATATTTTTCTTTCTTGCTTTGCTGTTCTCCTAAAGGCTCATTCAAAAATGTAAACTTGAGGGCCCAAAGTGGAAGGCAACTTTTAATCCAAATTTTATTTGTATTGAAATGTTAAATACGTTCATACAGAAAAATTCACAAAAGGGGATGTAGCTCAGATGGTAGAGCGCTCGCTTAGCATGCGAGAGGTACGGGGATCGATACCCCGCATCTCCACTTCTGGTTTTTAGTATTTTACATCATGTGATGTGGCTTCAGTTAATCAAGTTTTCGGTTTTTACTGGTTTACACTTTATAGAGTATGGACATTTGAAGGATTTCGAATTGCAAAATGACAGAATTTCGAACGGGAGAAATATCGTATATTAAAATAGATATTTATCACAGGTGATAAGCATCATTTTAAGATTGTTGTAAACGTCAAATGACAAGACTTGAGATTGTTGGGAATCATGTCACATGGGTGGGTGATGCCCTCTGCTCGTGCTTCAAGTTGGCAAAGTTGCAGCTTTTTTTTCCCTTTTTTGCTCATTCTTAAAAGATTTTAAGAGTCTCACTTTTGCATCAAAATCATCAAAAAAAACGTAATTTCGAGAGGCGAAAGTGAAGATTTAAGAAAATATTTATTTATCGCCTTTTACAGAATTTTTTGTTTGGATAAAAACTGTGTTAATAATAATGTCACTTTTTGTTTTTGTTTTTTTCCTTTAAAGTTAATTAGCCTCAAGAAAAGTAACATATTTATTTATGTTGGCTTTTAAAATGCAAACAAATTTTCTTTTATATCCTACAAATATATTTATCGAATGTAGTTTTCTTTAACAATGCCATATCTAAACAAAGTTACAGAACAATTTGGTCAAGTCAAGATTTTTTTTTTCAAATGCAATTTTCAAATACAAATTAAACCTCAACGACTCAAATTCAGTAGAATTTCGTTTCATCTGCATAAAAATAAAAACGCTTTTTCCTGGAGGCTGACAAAAGAGTTGTGACCGTTGATTTAGCATCACCGACAATCATCTCAGCCAATTCCTAAAGTCACTAGTAGAAGCTGGAGAGATGTCAACACCAATAGAATCAGTGCAACACGAGGGGTAATTGGACTGCTGCTCCAACAATCCACCAAAATGTGAACCAGCCACACTCTTAAAGCTCGGACTCCTCAAGCTATTACTGTCATCATACTCCGGCTGCGGCGGGACTGGAAAGGAGAGCCGTTTCTTGACCAAACCAACACGGTCCCTCTCGGGAGTCGAAGGTCGTTGCCTCGGCGCGCTCTGGGACCGAATCCTCGCCTTAGCCGACTCCGTATTCGCCATATAATTAGGCAACAACGCTGCATTGTTGACCATTGTGGTAGTAATGCTACAACCACTTCTAGCAGTGAAACTATAGTTAGATCTCAAGCTAGGTGTGTTTGACGTGTAACTATAAGCTGCTCGGTCACGGTCGTCCTTCGGATCTCTTTGGCACCGCGGACTAGCTGACCGGATAAGGATCGGTCTAGACTTAGCCGGAGATGGAGTGGCTGAGAAGTTATTGCGGGACTGGTAATGGTGGCTGGTTCTTGATGGGGAACTAGGTCTTTGGCTACGGCTCGGGCTTCCGATTCTTGTTCTTGAGTAAGGTTGAGAAGTGTCAATTTCCACGGTTTTAACCGAGACCCTTTGGTCAACGGAAGCTCTGCTAATAGCTCGCTTATCCCAGGGTCTAGTGGCCATCCACCGGTCGAGCCATTTCGGTCTTTCCTCCTCGAGTTCTGCCTCGTGGTCTCCTCCCGCGGATTGGTTACCAACCGTTCTCCGATTCTTTTCATTCAAACGAAACGGTCTTATCAAGAAGCTCAATATATGCTGCTAAGTGCTAATAACACTTATTCGGTTTTAGTTGTTTTACCTGTTGAGAGAAAGCTTGAGACAAATTAGTCTTCTCGTGTCTCAATGCTGAGTCGCGTCTCCGTTGCAGCATAGCTTTCACTTCCTCTATTGTGTGTGGTCGGTCATCCCAATCTTCGGCGACGCTGCTTCCTTCTCTTGACTATAACAATAGTATAAACAAACCAATTTCAGAACATCATACAACCTATGGAATGCACCACTTGACCATATAGACCAAAACCATGTCAAAGTAAAACATTAACTGATAATGTTGAAGTTAAGGCAAGATCAAAGTACAAGGGTCGGTTTATAATGTCTTAACTAACCATGGATTGTCGGTCTGAAATGTCTTGAAGATAACGAGATTCAAAACCATAGTTAGAGTCGCTGAATGCGGATTTGCGGCTACCGTCATGAGACAAGCGTTTACGTTGGTCAAGCACACGGGACTGGACTCGAACCAGAGCTTGCATACACCTTAAAGTCATTTTCGCTTGCTTTCTCACATTGTGACCCCTCACCAATGCTTGCAGCTTCACTAATCCTTTTAATGCTCTTAATGCTCTTCTTGCCTTTATTAATTTCATTTACCCAAACATAAACACCACATATATAAAAATTAAATCCCAATCTTTTACTGTTAATTCTTGTATAAACACTGGTAATTTTATATAACACGTCGTTGTCACTATAAAGTTGTCTAGTACTAAGCAGGTAAAGAAAAAATAAAGTAAAAGCATTGCTACTAGGGGTTTTAATTAATTGCGTACCAGATATCCTCTGAAAGAAGTTTGGATAACCACAGCAGCGTAATTCTCTCTTGCGTAATAAATCCGCCTCGGGAGTTTCGATAAAGCCACCGGAGATGCTGACGTGGCGACGGAGACTACGGCGGGCGGGGATTTTCCGGCGTTCAATGGCGGCGTCGTTGCGTTACTCGGTGCTGTCTCCGGGAAGGTTGTGGAATTTGCGTTATCTGATTCTGGCGGTGGTGGTGGCGGATAGACACCGGAAGACTTCACCGGAGATTCTTGATTCGCCGGTTTTCTGAATAACCACCGTCTCTTCTCTCTCTTCTGTAGAAAAACAGAGCAAAACAGAGAATATAAGGAAAAAAAATCTGATTTTTTTTGTCTAAAAAGTGAATAACAAGATCTAGAGATAAGTCAATCACAAACCTTTTCTTCGTCTTCTTCGATTTCATGACCGTGAGGAGTATTTTGTTCCTTCTTGGACGGAGATCGGAAAGCTCGTTTCACGGCGGTAAGCCAAGAAGAGCCATTCTTTTTCCCCATGTGTTTTTGTCGGAAGATCACTCTTTAGAACATTATTACCACCAATGCCTTCATGTTTCGGTGTTCCTTGTCCTGTTTCTCAGTAAAAGGAGAGTTGAGATTTGGGTTTAGATTTTTGCAGAAATGAGGAGAGGGAGAGAGGAGAGAGAGAGCAAGTACAGATAATCTTTTGGTTGCTTTGCTTGTGTAAAAAATTTGCTCTGACCACCTCTGTAACTGCAACCACGACACCGATGACTGTGTGTTTTCTTTTTTCTTTCACTATTTTATCTTTTCACGAAATTATATTACTATTACTTTATTTTGTATGCATCGATATTAACATGCATATATTCGTTATGGGTCCATGTAGATGTACCGTGCGCGATGATATACGTAGGTAGTAGATACATAGGGACGAGGGAGAGAGATGTAACGTTGATAAACTAAAACTGTTTCAGACTTTCATTATCTTTATTCAACTATGGCTACATTTGGAGCATGCGTACACTAACAAGAGTTGTGTTAGTAAAATATAACATTTATTCCCCTAAACCCTTTAGATAAAAACAAAAAAAAAACATTTATTCCCCTATTGTGAGAGCTCCTAATATATTCGTAAAACATAGATCGCCATTGTTAATTTTTTTGTTCTTCTTTGAAATGGAAATAGAACTTAGAAACAATATTTTATGTAGCTCGTGATTTTTGGAAAAGTATTACGTTTGGGAAAAGAGACTTATGTAACTCGTGATTTCTTGGATCTAGATCAATGGACAAGATAAATAGTCTTGAAATTTGGGTATTTGAGAAAGAAAATGAAAAATATAAAGTTGAATATATCATCCTGAAGAATTAAGATGCTACTAGAAAATGATAGCCATCAAGTATTTCTCGACCAAGCTCGTGCTGTCACGTGCGTGGAGCCGGAGATCGAGACATCAGGTGCATGCTGGACCACGGTGGTCGTTCCCTAGAACCCAACCAACAAGTTTTGTTTCTAACTCAAAACATGTATCTGGTCAAAGTCAACTCTGTATATCTTTGGGGCTTTCTAAATCTAAATTCTTACAGGCTTAATATATTACGGAAGCCCAATAGTCCTAAACTGTCTACAAGATTCCAAATAGGCCTACTGAACATTTATCGGCCCATATATAGACCTGGATTACAAGGTTTATAACCTATGCGTCTCCCTAACAGTCTATTCCCTCGAGAGCCGCTTTGCGAAAGCATTTTCGATCGTAGTCTAAGGTACTTGGTTCTCCCCCATGTCTATTTCGTTATTCATGTGAGATTTAACTGTTGCATTGTATATACATATATTTGGTATAGACCTATTTTTTTCTGAATAATTTTCGTCAATGGTTTTTAGGAATTTTTCGTTCGCGAATTCGGTTTTCATTGTTGTGGTTCTGTTTATACGCTGAACTTCGTGTTTCGGTTGTTCGTTTAGTCAAAATTTTGGATTTAGCGGATTTGGATTCCCGATTTGTGTATTCCGGGTAGGATTTGTAAATCGGTGATTGTTCTTGAATCGTTTCAGGGAAAGATGTCGACAGTCGGAGAGCTTGCTTGCAGCTACGCTGTTATGATCCTCGAGGACGAGGGTATTGCTATCACGGTATTCTTTTATTCCTTCTTTTTCCTTAGTCATGTGTTGTTAGCTACTTGTTTATTCTATGAGACCTGATAGAGTTTTCTGGTGACTTCATATCTGAAATTTGAGTTAATAAGTTTGTTTTTCTCTGTCAAACTTAATCTAATGTTGATAATCGCAAAATATTTCAATTTTGAGGTGAATAGTATTGCTGTTTTAGGATTGGAAGACTAACAAGTATTCTGTAGTATATGATTATGTGTTTTGAGGGCTAGTAATTGGGTAAAGGTCTTTTGGTTTTATTGACTGTATCCTTAAACTTGATGTTGTTAGGCCGACAAAATCGCTACTTTGGTCAAGGCTGCTGGTGTTAGTATTGAGTCGTACTGGCCAATGCTATTCGCCAAGATGGCTGAGAAACGTAACGTCACGGACCTCATCATGAACGTTGGTGCTGGTGGCGGTGGAGGTGCACCCGTCGCCGCTGCTGCTCCTGCTGCTGGTGGTGGTGCCGCAGCCGCTGCTCCTGCTGCCGAGGAGAAGAAGAAGGTGAAATATATATTTAAGAGCATCTTCTGTTTATTATTTGATGGTTTTGTTTTATCCTCTAATCATGCGTGGAGTTATTTATCTCATTTTGGGATTTTGGTGTTGCAGGATGAACCAGCAGAAGAGAGTGATGGAGATTTGGGATTCGGCTTGTTCGACTAGACGCATTTTTCTTGTTTCGTAGTTGGTTGGTTTTATCGTTTTGAGACTTAATTTTGTCGTATCTTGTTACTTCTTGGTTTTGGACTGGCTAATTACATTTGGTTGTTTTTTTTTTGGTTTGGAAGTATCTGCTGTATAACTCAAGTTCCGAGCAAATCCATCGACTTTGGCTTATATTAGAATAGATATTGACATTTGCGTATGTTTTATCTAATTTGACTCGATTCAAGAAATATATGTCTAGATTTTGTAAACGTCGAACCATAAAAGAAAAACATCCAGGTCGTAGAGAAATCGCAAAACTGCCGGTTCTGAAAACAATTATCATCATCATGGTTAGAGCTTAATATTAGTAAATGGGCTTTTAAAATATAAGGGTCATATCATCGAGCCTGGCCCATGAGCAATTAAAGACCATCACGCGTGGTGCAGGAGAGTGGGTTAAACGCGCTCTATTATGGCTGGGCGTGCGGATTGTGGAACATTTGAGTTGTTGTTGCTTTGCTCTTCGTACCCACTTGTGTTTCTTTCTTCTGCAGCTGTACATTTGTACGTCTATCTATTTGCAGATTGGAATTGTAGATTGGATCTTGAATATTAAGAAAACAAAAGAGAAGAACATTGGTGTTAACGAAAAAATAGCGTTGGGTGGGTCCAAAATCTAGAAAACATGTGAAATTAAAATTAAAATTTTGAAGTGAGAAAATAAAAAAATAAATAGGTAGAAGGAGTTGAGCCTCCGCCTCTTATTACACTTCCAACTCATCATCCTCCTCCTCCTCTGTCCCTCTCTCCCTCCCTCGTTCTCTCCGCCTTCCTCTCTCTCTCTCTCTCTCTCTCTCTTCATTTTCTCGCGTTTGCTCTCATATTGGTCTCCATTGAAATGGCCACGGCTTTCTCTCCCACCAAGCTCACTGCCACCGTCCCTCTCCATGGATCTCAAGAGAATCGTCTCTTGCTTCCGATCCGATTGGCTTCTCCTTCTTCTTTCCTCGGATCCACCCGTTCTCTCACCATTAATTCCTCTCGCAGACTGAATCACGCTGCTAATGCCGCTCGTCGATCTCCCATCGTCGGCGTCCAGGAGATTGTCAAGGAGAAGAAAGCCACCAATAGCCTGGTATGCAAGACTGAAACTTTCACGCAATTTTACAAGTTTTTAGGTGGAGAAATAGCAATTCGTGTTCAATGCACTGATCCCAAGTACTAATCAATCGAAATCTGTGATATAGTTGCTTATTCTTAGTATTTGATTTGAGAGGAATTGAGATTTCGAAATTTCTATGCGTCTTGATTTGTTTGTGTTGATTTTAGAGAATCGGATTTTGGAGAGTGTTTAAAATTTTTTTCTAATTTGCCTTGTTTTGTTTTTGAAATAGTTGATAACCAAAGAGGAAGGATTGGAGTTGTATGAAGACATGATTCTCGGTAGATCTTTCGAGGACATGTGTGCTCAAATGTACTACAGAGGCAAGATGTTTGGTTTTGTTCACCTGTACAACGGGCAAGAAGCTGTATCAACCGGATTTATCAAGCTCCTTACCAAGACGGACTCAGTGGTCAGCACGTACCGTGACCATGTCCACGCGCTCAGCAAAGGCGTCTCTGCTCGTGCCGTCATGAGCGAGCTCTTCGGGAAGGTCACGGGATGCTGCAGAGGTCAGGGTGGATCGATGCACATGTTCTCTAAAGAGCACAACATGCTTGGTGGGTTTGCTTTCATCGGCGAAGGGATCCCTGTGGCCACCGGTGCTGCGTTTACCTCAAAGTACAAGAGGGAAGTCTTGAAACAGAACTGCGAGGACGTCACTGTGGCGTTTTTCGGAGACGGGACTTGTAACAACGGACAGTTCTACGAGTGCCTGAACATGGCCGCGCTGTATAAGCTGCCTATCATCTTTGTTGTTGAGAATAACCTGTGGGCGATCGGGATGTCTCACCTGAGATCGACTTCTGACCCCGAGATATGGAAGAAAGGTCCTGCGTTTGGGATGCCTGGTGTTCATGTTGACGGTATGGATGTGTTGAAAGTGAGACAAGTCGCTAAAGAGGCAGTCACAAGAGCTAGAAGAGGAGAAGGACCAACCTTGGTGGAATGTGAGACTTACAGATTCAGAGGACACTCTTTGGCTGATCCCGACGAGCTCCGTGATGCTGGTACATCTCTCCTTCCTTCTCTTCCCCTGTAGTGTTGTTTATCTCTGGATTGAAACTATCTTTTTCAAGTTGTGAAGCTTGGCATTTGAAATTTAGATGTGTTGTGTTTATTTTGGCAGCTGAGAAAGCCAAATACGCGGCTAGGGATCCGATCACGGCATTGAAGAAGTATCTGGTGGAGAACAAGCTAGCGAATGAAGGGGAGCTAAAGTCGATAGAGAAGAAGATAGACGAGTTGGTGGAGGAAGCGGTTGAGTTTGCAGACGCGAGTCCACAGCCTGGTCGCAGTCAGTTGCTAGAGAATGTGTTTGCTGATCCTAAAGGTTTTGGGATTGGACCTGATGGACGCTACAGATGTGAGGATCCCAAGTTTACTGAAGGCACAGCTCAAGTCTGAAGAAGACAAAGTTAACACCATAAGCTTTGTCTCCCGTCTTTGGCTTTTGTTTAATGTTTGATGTTTCTATATACAGTACTACTATTATTAAGTTAATGCCACACAGAAGTAGTTTGAATCATTTCAACCTTTTGTTTTTCTTTTGTTGGGTGTTGCTAAATTATCGAAATCTATAAGTTTGAAGGGTTACTATGAATATTAATTATGGTATTGTATTTGGTTTTCGGTATGATCAGTCCAGAGAGTTTTACCAACTTTGAAAAATTATTCAGTTTGGTTAGAAAAAAGTATGGTTTGGATTCGGTTTTGTCTGTAGTTAACAAAAAAAAAGTAAGAAACCCGCTGAAGGAGAGCGAGGGTCACATCACAAGTAGTCAAGTACCCGACCCGATTTGTTCCTTTAATTTCTATTTCTTTTATTTTTTTCCTCTCAAAATTATTTACTTTCTGGTTCGATAATGGCGGCCTCCTGCTTCGCAATTCCCCCCTTATCTTCTTCTTCTTCGTCTTCTTACAATGCCATTCCCAAATACAAAAACCTAGTCTCTTCTACGTCTTCTTACTCTTACTTAGAATCCCTAAAAGCTCAATTCTCTTCATCTACTTCTTTCCACCTCTCTTCTCTTTCTCGCCACTTTGTAGCTCAACCACTGCAAATTAAGGCCTCTTCTTCAGAATTATCAGTTCTAGATGAAGAGAAAGAAGAAAAGGTTAAAGGAGAAGGAGATGGAGAAGGAGATGGAGAAATCGGAGAAGAAGCCGAAGCAGAGCCAGTGGTGATGAAGAAACCGAGACCGTGCGAGCTATACGTGTGTAATATCCCCAGAAGCCATGACATTGCTCAGCTTCTCGAGATGTTTCAGCCTTTTGGTACTGTAATATCCGTCGAGGTAACTCTTGGGGATTCTTCTTCATTCTTATCCAGATTTGATTGATCCTACAAATGCCTTGAGAAATTTCAAACTTTTACTCTTTCACCTGATCAAACAGAAAACCTCGACAAAATTTTAATCATCAAATTCCGTAGCATTGAAAATCACTCGAGTTATTCCATCAAGAAGAATCAAACTTATTATCCTTACCAGTTTTCCCTTTGAGTAAATGGCTGCTTGATACATATAACGAGAGGTCTGTGTGTACTTCTTTCTTGAAATGATCTTGCAGGTATCGCGAAATCCTCAGACTGGAGAGAGCCGTGGGAGTGGATATGTCACAATGGGTTCTATAAACTCTGCCAAAAACGCCATTGCTTCTCTTGATGGAAAAGTAAGAAACAAACTTTGATTCTTTCTTGGTCTGAGCTTTAAAAAAGTTGACTGCTTCGGGTTCTTGCAATGAAGGAAGTAGGTGGTCGGGAGATGCGGGTGAGGTATTCTGTCGACATGAACCCAGGAACCAGAAGAAACCCACAAGTCTTAAATTCAACTCCAAAGAAGATTCTGATGTACGAAAGCCAATACAAGGTTTATGTCGGAAATCTCCCTTGGTTCACGCAGCCTGATGGTTTGAGAGACCACTTTAGCGGGTTTGGTGCAATAGTAAGCGCGAGAGTGTTACATGACCGCAAGAATGGGAAAAGCCGAGTCTTTGCCTTTCTTTCTTTTACAAAACTTGAAGAACGTGACGCGGCTCTATCACTGAATGGAACAGTTAAGTTCGTTACTCATAGCACTTGTTGCAAAACTTCTGCGCTCTGTTTTACTCCTTTCCCTTAGACACAATCTTGGAATTTGCAGGAATACGAAGGTCGCAGAATCATAGTCAGGGAAGGTGTCGAGAAGACCGATTCGTAAACCCAACTGTTCCGCTTTTGCTGCAAAACATATTTCTTCAACAAGGTCTCAAGAAGACACTCCCTCTGTTTTGAAGTTCTTACTCTCCAGTGTAACTTCCAACCAGATCCTGGCATAAACGAATTGTTCATCACCCCCATCTTGTATAATTTTTCATTTCATCGCAAACCCCTTGTCTCATGATTCTATAAGACTCAACACCCGAACCGAATCTCTCTCGAACATTTTACCAAACAGTTGGTATGCAATCTTCAAGCTCCCGATTAGACAGAACCCTACCATCACACCAAAGATTCGATTCGGAGACCCGAATGAGGACTTAAGATCCGAAACATCTCCCGTTGAAGAAAATGAGCTTATTACCGGAAAGTGACGTGGTTAGGAAGGCAATCGCGACGACGGCGCATGCTCCTTCTGGAGTCTCTTGACTTGAAGGCTCGAATTAGGCCTGTGACAAACAACCAGAGATTTTAATAGGCCCATAAATAATAAATGGGCTTTAGATTTGTTGAGCCCCAGTCAAAACTAGGCGACATAAGAAGAAGAGTTGAAGTTGGGGCCGTCCAATATTTTTTCTCTCTTATTAGCTTACAAACAATTTCAATGATGATGATGAGTTAATGACGTATAATAATTATGGCTAGGCCTAACTCACAAACATCATCAGATCAGAAACTTTTTTATTTTTATTGTCAAAAACTTGTTAACCAACCGAAGACTAAATTAAACCGAGTCAAATCGTGAACCACATACATTTCCACAGTACGTAGCTACCTAACTTGGCCGGGCACTATCTCCTTACTTTATCCGAGTGGTTCGTTTGCCACTTCCACAAAATAATACTATAATTACTATTTTTATGCGCACTTCTGATATCTTATAGTTTATACTTAAATCCATTGTGCGGTTTATATTTTCTTAATCATTAGTTCGAGATAGGGTACCTCCAATAAAATTAGGATATAATAGATTACACAGTCTATAATTATATGTTATCATTAGTATTGAATAACTAAAATGTTTCACAATATTTATACATAATTTAAAGGAATTAAAAAAGAAGGAGATAGTGCAAACCAGATGTATCCAATGAAAGAAAGAAAAAGCTATTACGGATCGATTCTAAAATGCGAACAATTAGAATGAAAAATTATCTCACCAAGTTTCTCTTTAAACAAAAAAAAAGAGAATATTATCTCACCCAAATTGCGATTAGTTTATCTCGTTGAAAAGTGATTTTTCAATCATGTCGAATCTGAATTAAGTATGACCTTGGATTTAGAAACTGATCATCGTGCATATTTATCAGGGGCTTCGATGTGAATAGTTACTGATCTTCAATATTTTATCTGCGGAGAATATGAAACAATTAACAAACTCTTGTAAACAAAAAAAACTCTTGTAAATAATCTGAGTGTGATGGTTTTGTTTAGTTTATGTTTATATGTTAAACTAGAGTGTATATTGGAGGGCTAAGTTGCATAAAGCAAAATTCTGGAAGACCAGCTACGTGTTTTCTCTAGTGTTTACGATACTTAATCACTATTTAATAAGTTTTTAATTATAAAATATATAATTTTTTTGGTATTTTGTAGTTTGAAAAAAACTACAAAATACAGTACGTTTTTTGTTTGTCGCTGGTAGACAAAGAAAGGGAAAAGGTGGAAAATATTGGAATACAATTTTTTTGGAAAATTTTGCTTCTTGTAAATCGGGGAGGGAAATTATTTTCCAGAAAAGAATGTCAATTAGTTACTGTTGTTTTGGAAATCTGTTATACTAATATAATTTGGAATTTTAAGCGTCACATCAAATATAATACTACTACATTTTCTTCACGATGATTAGTGGCCATAACAGTTCGAACTATGCTTATAAGATAGATTTTTTTTTTAAAAGAAAAAATAAGGGCTTGTATATAAGATAGAAGTTATAAACTGCTACTATAACTTAGTGAGGTACATGTCGACCCACTACATTCCAAACTTTTATAAAAAGAAAAAAATATGTTTGTCTTGTTACTTTCAATTGCTTTTCTGCTCCCCCCAACGATTTTAGTGGTTTCATTAGATATGATGTTCATTAATTCTGTACTTCTTCCTTACCATAATATATATTTTTACATTTTTAGTGGCAGTCGTTTCATTTTCAGAAAGCTGTATGGCTTTTTTTAGAATACAATTAACAATTTTTAATGTCAAGAAAGTAATTAAGTGAAAAATAATATTTAATACTAGAAATATGTTGTAAAAACAATCGTTATACTATAAATAGTATGAGCCTATGAGGTAATATGAAGTAAGCATATCCCAATTTTATATACGAGATATATTATAAATTACGTGGGTTCCACTTCGACAACAACCTCATGCATTCGAACTCGGATAGCAGTTTCTTTTTTCGCGTCAGAAAAGTTTTGTCATGCTCAGTCTCAACAGATTGCGATCAATCTTATCAATGAAAATAGTAATGGTTCTTCTTTTAGTTTTTTTTTTTTTTTACCACGTACGCACGTGCTAAAAACCAAGAATCATTTGCTATAGTGGATGGTAGTTATTTGCAAAAAGATATGCGATCTTTTAAACTATAAATAAGTGTATTTCCGTATAATTTTATATATAAAACAATATATTGATGTCAATTGATAGAATAATATACTGTTTATAAAAGACACGCGCTAGGTTCAGGCAGAAACATATTAGAAGTTAACAGTTTGACTTTTTTTCTTTCACAATTCAATCTATTATACCCAAATTGGCAATTCACTGGCACCAAGTGGTTTTTCATAATCACAAAATAAATTGATTTCACAACCGAACGAATAATTCATCTAAAATTGTATGGAACCTTTCTTGTAACCGAATGACTCTACAGTCTCCACTGACTCAATGATTATATGGTATATAGTAAAAAAAAAACGTTTCAGAACAAGAAAATAATAATATTTACGTTACTTAGTATATATGGTGACAAACAATAAAAAATACCACATGAACAGATTGGGGTATATGTTTAAGTAATTACATTTGTAAGTAAAAGAGATATATGTATCTATATATATATATGTGTGACTTGCCGTGATAGAATTCACAACCTTTTTATTTTGTAATACTGTTTTTTTCTTCTTTAATAATGTTGATTTATTTCCATTTATATACATATAACAAGAGTTGTCATTTTTCCGTTGTTACTGAAAATTCTTTTTCGACAGGTTTCAAATATAATATATTAAATTAAAGTAGAGAAAAGACCAAATGATGTTTTTACGAGTTTTTAAGAAAGTTATCTATTTTCAGAACTTTAGAAACAGCACACGAATATAAATTTTTTTAAAAAAAATCCGAGTGGTAATTTTTTTTTTAAATGGTTTCAAATTTCTTTACAGATCGAAAACTAAGATATTGTTTTTTTGGAAAATCACACTGAATAAAATTAATTTATTTATTGGCTGAGATTGAGTTTACTTTTAATCTAGGATATAGTGGTTTAAAAAAAAAAGGATATAGTAGTTTAGCCACTTAAAAGGTAAACTCAATCTTTCACTGAACTCAGCTCCCACATATCTCTAAATTTCTTTGTCTGATATCATTTCCCTTAGCTCTTTGGATTTGCTTCTCCGTACTATATAAGGGGGAGACATATATGTTCATGGTACTTGATAAGATCTCTGCGGCAGATGACACGAACATAATGTGACAAGAGTCAGTTTATCCGTGTCTTATGTAACGGTGATAATTCCAATTTTCCGTGTCTCTCATCTAAAGTTTAACATGGAAACAAAATAAAATTGAAACCATTGTTTTTGGCCTCCAGCAACATAACGAATAATATTCATAAAAAATTGATGTTTCCTCTTATATTTCCGCTTAGAATATGATTCGATGATAAACTAATATAGAATGCAAAAAAATCGTTGAAAATCTGGAAGAAATATGAATAACGTATATGTATGATGGAAAAAGTAAAGTTTTTTTTTGGGTCTAAAGTAAAAGCTTTGTTATTATCTTTTTGATAAACTATAACGAGAATACAAATATTTTTTCTTCCACTGGGGTCAATATACGTCCAAATAATTAAACAAACCCAATGTGGCAGCAAACGCATAGAACTTTGCTTATAAATATGGGGAAGAGCCGGGTTGTTTTAAACTCAAAGCACACTGAGTCTTATCACTCACTTTAACACACACACTTATAATTCATAGATATAGAGAGAAAGAGAGATGACTGTTGCTGGAGGAAAGAGATCAGCAGCAGAAAAATGGTCACCGGTTATGGCAATTGTGGTAGCAAACGTAGCGATGGGGTCAGTGAACGCACTTGTGAAGAAAGCTCTTGATGGTGGTGTGAACCATATGGTCATTGGTGCTTATCGAATGGCTATTTCTGCTTTCATTTTGGCTCCTATCGCCTATTTCTTGGAAAGGTTCGATACTTTGATGAAATAATCAGTCACTTATATGTGATTTAATTAATGATTTTTCTTGTTTTAAGTATTATGTTTTTATTGATAATAGGAAAACAAGACCGGAGCTGACGCTTAGGTTACTGGTCGATCATTTCATCAGCGGTTTGCTTGGGTTTGTCCTCTCAAATCTTACCTTCGTTCCGTTCTGACTATATATCTGTATGATTATCGATTAGTAAACTAAAACGTTACGTTTATACTTACAGCGTAACACTCTAATTTTTGTATTCAATATTTTTAATAACCTGCAGGGCAAGTTTGATGCAGTTTTTCTTCATGCTTGGTCTACTGTACACGTCAGCAACGGTTTCGGGTGCTTTTATAAGCATGTTGCCTGCAATTACCTTCGCTTTGTCCCTTATTTTAAGGTACTGATCATGAACTGTCATTCTTTCGAAATAATTATCAAATATTACTGACTATAAGTTAATATTAATGTAATCTTGTAAGTTAGATCACTGATCATTTTGATCATACAGAAAGATAAAAATATCTTTGACTTAACCATGTATATTCGATTTCATGGAATATTATTAATAAAAATATAATATCATTATTCCAATTTTTTAAATAAAAATTTCAGGAAGGAAAGTGTAAAAGATATAGGGAGCATAACAGGAATGTTAAAAGTGATGGGAACTTTGATATGCGTAAGTGGAGCATTGTTGTTAACATTTTACAAAGGTCCTAAGATATCACACTTTCACTCTGATCAAGAGGCTCTTCACCACAACGATCAACATAAGACCAATAATTGGCTTCTTGGGTGTCTCTACGCAACCATAGGAACCTCATTTCTGTCTCTATGGATGATTTTTCAAGGGACATTAAACATTAAGTATCCTTGCAAATACACGAGCACTTGTCTCATGTCGGTTTTCGGCTCATTCCAATGCGCTCTCTTGAGTCTTTACAAGAGGAGAGATGCCAAAGACTGGGTCATGGATGATAGATTCGTCATTTGGGTCATTGTATACGCTGTAAGTCAATTACTACATACCAAATTTTGAAATGGGATTTGGCTTTCAAATATATATATATATATAAACCATGGTGTTCGTTTTATTCACCCGCACATAACACTTACAAAATATTTTCTTTTTATTACTGATCGAGACACCACTAAGTTGGTGCTATCTTGTGTTTATAACTAAGTGTCTCAGTCTTCTATAAGATTCTATATTTCACTACCTATCTAATTAATATATTGAACCTTGTTCTATATAATACGTAGGCCTCAATTAGCCATGTACCATGGCTGTATATGATTAAAAAAATCGAAGTTTATATATATATATATATATGATTTTTACAATTTCGATTCTAAAACATGAAACAGTTTTATTAAAGTATTTATGAGCTATGTGTTTTTGCATTCTTGGTGTATGACAAAACCAAGCCAAGTCACTAAACCCTAAATATTTTACAATTATGTTTTGAACCGCCACTTTTAGTAAAAGCTTATACTCTGCGTCGTAGACAAAGTCACTAACTCCTAAATATTTTACAATTATATTTTGACCCGCTATTTTTTAGTAAAAGCTTCTCTATGTTTTTTTTTTTTTAATAAACTTTTACTCTATATTGTCGCGTCGATTAATAGATAGATTAATTGCGATGAGATAGTAAAGTTTTATATTTATTAGAGAAGTAACATATATATATATACATTATTTTTTTTTGAAAAAAATTGTCTATAACTTAAATAAAAATATTCAGGAGGCCTGATCATTTAAATGCATAAATATAGGGAATAGTGGGGCAAGCGATGTCGACAGTAGCAACATCATGGTCGATAAAGAAAGTAGGAGCCGTTTTCGCATCAACATTTAGTCCCATTATCCTCATTTCAGCGACTCTGTTCGATTACCTCATCTTACACACTCCTTTGTACCTCGGCAGGTAATTTCATTTTTTTTTGCAAAGGGAAAAAAATGGGTCCATATATATATAACACTAATTAGTTACATTTTTCTAATTTTGTTTACAGTATAATTGGATCTGTGGTGGCAGTAACGGGTCTATACGTGTTCTTATGGGGTAGGAACAAAGAAATGAAAGCAGCAGAGACATTGTGTCTTCCCATCCAAAAAGATGATAAAAATAACAATAATAATGATAGTAACGGTAATAACGGGCACGGCTCTGGATCATCCGTGGAAAGCAGTCATGCAGATGATTGAGAGACAATTAAGTATCACGTTTAATATAGTTTTAAGTTATTCTCATTACTAAGTACATTTGTATGTGTCATAATAATTAATTAGCAATATTATAAAAAACACTCCTTTCATTTCTACAAAATGATGTTTTGAGATTTTTTTTTTTGTTTTACAAATATCGATGTTTTAGGATTTAAATATATTTTTGTTAATTAATGTTAACAAATTGTAAACTTCAAAAAATATTAATAAAAAGTATTTGAATTCGTAAATTATAACTTTTGTTTATATGCCGATAGTTGATTTTCGAATATCCACTAACTAGATACTGAATTTGGAATCGAAAGTTCAAAGAATGTTGAAACAAAGAAATATGAAATTGAAATAATGTTTTATATAGTATTTAATTCTATCGTCAAATATAAGCTAAGATTCGACTTGGTTCGTCGAACAGAATTCGCTAATACAATATAAATGCTGTAAAAACAATATTATTTCATTATGCTAACATACATCATTATTATTGGCGTGTACAAAACTGATTTCATGATATGATAATTTTCCTTTAGCAGAAAAAAAGAGAGAAGAAGATAAGTTTACGTCCGTTTTTTATAAAGTTTAAAGATGATATATAAATAAATAATCACCTATTTTATACTAGTATTGTACATTGTTAAAAAAAAAAATGTACATCAACTACATATCAAAACATGACTCATTGCATGTAACAGAAAAAAGGAGGAATGCCATAAATGAAGATAACTTTATACTTCAACTTTTTTTTTGGGAAGATATTGAAGTTGTTGAACAAAGTAACAATAAGACGAATGACCGTTAGGCATCAAACCAAGTTTTGAAACAGAAAGCAAACAAGTAAAAGACACATGAAGGAATTTAAAAAAGGTTTATGGATTATGGATGAGTGACTATAATTCCATGATGAACATTCAAAAATCAATTAACAATATAAGTTCACGAATTTATATGTTGTAGACAAAGCAAGTATAATTAAAACTTAAAAAAAAACCTTTTAATAGTGCTACTCGTTACCAAAAAAAAAAAAACCTTTTAAGATCAACGCAATTGAAAATTATAAAATATAAATACGTTTGTAATTTTTTTTTAAAAAAAATTCCACATCATTCTTATAATGAATCCAAGCCAAACACACCGTCAGAACTTATATATTTTGTCATAGATTCTCTAATACTAATTTATATACGCCGATAAGAAAATTAGGACAAAAAGTAGAGAAATATGCTTCGAGCAATATACAAAATGTGGCAGTGGATGACACGAACAAAATTTGACAAGCCAGTTTAATTACACGCGTCTCACTTAACGTATATATAGTGAAAACAATAAAATCATAGTTTTATATCGCTGCAATTAAGCTAGTTGTGGGAACATTTAAACTGTCGCCAAATTAACGAATATTCGTAATTTTATTATCTTTATATAAAATCAAATACGTCGGTTTGGTAACGTACCAACGTAATTTCCTTAGAATCTTGCAAAAAGTATATGAGTATATGATTAAAGTAATAATATTATATTCTAAATAACTAAAACGTTCGAGATTACGCGAGAATATGAATAACTAATATAGTCTGTAGTCGAAAGTGAATGAACATAGCTACATATGCATGATTGATTCATTTTCCATTAAAAAAATTAAATGCTTTATACATTCTAGATAGGTTATAAGGAGAGCTAAGAATTTATAATTTTGATTTCTACTAGGTTAACGTCAAAATAAACCCAATGTGTCGAAATTCCTTATAAATATGAGAAGGTTTTTGGTTGCCAAACTCAAAGCACATTGGGTTTTATCTCTCTCTAACACACACACAAACTCACATAGATCTAAATATATATATAGAGAGAGAGATGGGTGAAGAGATGCAAGGAGTGAGAGCAATTGAGGAATGGTCACCGGTTATAGTAATGGTGATATCAAATGTAGCGATGGGTTCCGTGAATGCACTTGTGAAGAAAGCTCTTGATGGTGGTGTGAACCATATGGTCATTGGTGCTTATCGAATGGCTATTTCCGCTATCATTTTAGCTCCCTTCGCCTATATTTTTGAAAGGTCTGACACTTAGATATGAAACAACGAGATATTTATATGGGCTATTCTGTTTATTTGTTTTTTGTTTTAGTAACAAAGAGTGTAAACGATATTATCTCATAAGAATTTTAAATTTATAAGTTAAGTACTAGGTTTATTATGAGAAATGTACTTTATGAAGTCGATAAAATTAGAGATTGTGTGAATTCTCTATTTCAACATGCAAGTAGCTAGAACCCACTTATTAACACAATTGTATTTTTATGTTATATAATGAAGTTTTTCTAAAAGTTATGTATTATCATTGTTAACAGGAAAACAAGACCGGAGCTAACGTTTAGGCTATTGATCGATCATTTCTTTAGTGGTCTGCTTGGGTTTGTCTTCCCAAATCTAAATTATAATTTTTTCTTATTTTTTTTTTCTCGTCCATTTTCAATTTATTCTGAAATATAATCATACTACGATTGATTTTTTTGTTTTCTGTTAAAATGTTTTCCTTTCAAGTGCGATAATAATCACAAGCTCCCATTATAATTATTTTTAAATTTATTGTTGGGTTTAAATTGCAGGGCAAGTTTGATGCAATTTTTCTTTTTGCTTGGTCTGTCGTACACGTCAGCAACTGTTTCGTGTGCTTTGGTAAGCATGTTGCCTGCAATCACCTTCGCTTTGGCCCTTATTTTCAGGTACTGATGCAACCTTCTAGCTTCTTTATTATTTAGTAATTTTAATAAAGTTCCACAAATGTTAATAATTTTTTTAAAAGAAAAATTGGCTGTTGTGCACTATGATTATGATTTCCATTAAATTACCTTAACTACACGTAACTACATGTCTACATCCAATTGAGACCCTTTTATAGCTTTTCCTGGTAAAGGTCTTTTTTTTCAGCTATACGTCGCATTTTTATAAACTTTGATATAAAAAAAAAGAATGCGGAAACTGATAGAAACACGATTCGATGAATCAAATGGACTATAATATCTCTGACTTGCGTTTATAAGCAAAATACTTGTAAATAGATATTTTGTTGTTGTCTACAACTCATTAGTACGCTTATCGGATCCTAATGTAACCCATGCAGGTCTAAATTTGTTTTTATTTTTGCAACATAAAAAACAACAATCTATTTCAAACTATGACTCATATAGTTAATAATTTTCAAATAAACTTACTTAAAAGCCTTTTTCAGGACTGAAAATGTAAAAGATCTAAAGACCAAAGCAGGAATGTTGAAGGTGGTGGGAACTATAATATGCATAAGTGGAGCTTTGTTCTTAACATTTTACAAAGGCCCTCAAATATCAAACCCTCACTCTCACACAGAGGTTCTTCGCCACAACAACAACAGCGATCAACACAAAACCAAGAACTGGCTTCTTGGATGTCTTTACTTAACCATAGGAACCACGTTGCTGTCTCTATGGATGCTGTTTCAAGGCTCTTTAAACGTTAAGTACCCTTGCAAATACTCAAGCACTTGTCTCATGTCAGTTTTCGCTGCGTTCCAATGTGCTCTCTTGAGCCTTTACAAGGGCAGAGACGTTAAAGATTGGGTCATTAATGACAAATTCGTTATTACCGTCATCATATATGCCGTAAGTTGGTACAATAGTTTTATAAAATTTAAAATTAAATTAATAAATTAGTATAAGGTAGTCCTGCAAAAGCTTTAGAAATTTTTGGGTTTATCTAAAAATTACTTTACTGTAAACCACTGACTTTTTATAAACATTAATGATTAAATTTAACTATGCCATCCTATGTTTCTCAAACCATATTGGGTAGCTGTCATTGTCTTTTATAGGTAGCATTTTCTGTTTCGATAACAACTAAATTTTTACTGTTACGTTTTTACAATAATATGTTTTGTCAAAAGGTTTAGAAAAAAACAAAGTAGAGATATAATATATAAATTACAGGGAGTGGTAGGACAAGCAATGTCGACGGTAGCAACAACATGGGGGATAAAGAAACTTGGAGCTCTTTTCGCATCAACATTTATCCCAATCACTCTTATCTCAGCTACTCTCTTCGATTTCCTCATCTTACACACTCCTTTATACCTCGGCAGGTAATCTCATTTTTTTCTTTTTTTGTAATTTTATTTATGTAAACGTTAGCCTCATAATAACACTAATTACAATTTTAAAACTTTTTTCATTACAGTATAATTGGATCAGTAGTGGCAATAATGGGTCTCTACGTGTTTTTGTGGGGTAAGAACAGTGAAACGGAAGCATCAACTACATTGCCTCCTTGGAAGGATAACGAAGGCCAAAATATTAGTAATAATGATAATAACGACTCTAAGTCGCCTGTTTAATGTCATAAGTATTGTTCTTATATGCATATTTCAAACAATTGTTCTAATGTTTAAGGAGAGATTGTTCTTATTCGAAATCTGGAACTCCAAACACCAACGTAGAGAGTTGTGAAATATTTATTGCTTATTATGGATGTTATTATCATTCTTCGTACCCTTTTATATAATTTAGTGGACCTTATTAATGGGTTCAAACATAGTCGTTCACCCACTGCAACAGAGTCATTAGTGGATCTTATATTAATGCATATACTTTAGGTGTCCTCTTACAAGCCCAGATTAATTGGGCCTTATAGAAAAGTCTTCACAAACCGACACGTACCTGGTTAACACCATCCTAGCTGGCACCGTACCCATCATTTTCCCACTTGCTACCAATAACCGCGAAGCCGCCACGTAAGCATTGTGGACCCCAAGATCGCTTTTTTTTCACCTACGTGAGCTTCACAAACGAAGGAGACTTCTGGCTCAAAGAGAAGCAAGTTGGGAGATATGAAAAAGTGCAGTGAACGGCCACTACAATCTCACCACGTGTCGAACTACGATGACTTCTGTTTTTTCCATTTATACCCTTCGTGCTGTTTCAGCCTCAAATAAAAAATGCATTAAAAGTTTTCCAAAAAATTGAAGGAAATTAGGGGAATATTGTTGTGGCTGAGATTGCTTCTGGCTTTCTTATTCTAGTCTCCTTCAGCCTAAAACAGTCTTCCTTCTTCTTCAGTTATCTTCTTCTGCTTTCTTCCTTCTTCTCTATCTTTTCCCAGCACTGTTTTAAAAAGAAATTTACCTATTTTCCGATTTGATTGTTTCCGGGAACGATGACTTCTCCGGCAAGTCACCGGTGAGATGATCTAGTTTCTATTTCAGATTGCCATACGTTGTTCCTCGATGACCACTCTCAAGGGTATTGTATTTTACATAATTAGCAACTTCTTGCATCTTGAAGTCTCTGTTCAAGTTGCTGAGAAAAATTTACTATAGATTAGCTCTAAGTTGTTGGCATAATCATACAAATCTAGATGTATAAGTCGTAGAGTGATTTGGAATCAAGTGATTAGTAACTGATTTGGAGATTTGTGATGCTCTAAAAGGTTTTGGCTGCGATGGCTTCGTTTGGGTGAGGCTTCTGATAAAAAGGGAATCCTTTTGAGTTCTGCTGGAGAAGCGACTCTGTTTCACGGTGGACTTTGAAAAGATTTCTCTTGGATTTTCTACTCTCTCTCTTAATAAATTCCAAAAAAAACTCTTTCATCTTAGTGTGGATAAAATATTTCTTATAAAGCTCTTTCTCCTTTTGTAGTTGCTCTAGAATCTAAAGCGGTCTTTTCAATTAGAATCACAACGGCTTTGCAATTTGGAAGCATTGATGTTTTGGGAGATGAAAGATGTTTTCTTTATTATATTAGAGAGGATTTAAAGCAGCGAAAAGCTGCAGAGATCCGGCTATGGATACAAATACATCTGGAGAAGAATTATTAACTAAGGTAATGAATGAATGAATGATGTTTATAGTTTGAGATTTTGGATTATTGCTGTGTGAAAATTTGTTTTTGGGGTTTGTAAATGAAAAGGCAAGAAAGCCATATACAATAACAAAGCAGCGAGAACGATGGACAGAGGATGAGCATGATAGGTTTCTAGAAGCCTTGAGGCTTTATGGAAGAGCTTGGCAACGAATAGAAGGTCGGATAAAATTAGCTTCTGTATGCTTTTAGTCAATTTAACTCACCTTTGTTTAGGAGTTTCTTTGATCTCCTCTTGATTCGGAGATTCTTCTCTTCTCTTCTCTTCTTTTGTGTGCAGAACATATTGGGACAAAGACTGCTGTTCAGATCAGAAGTCATGCACAAAAGTTCTTCTCAAAGGTAAGTTGATCCTTCGAATCTTTTTATTTAAAACACTTTTCATGGACTTATGTTCAATAAAGTGTAGGTACAACCAGGTTGGTTGATATTGAGTTGATATAACTTGGATCTATGAACTGAGTCGATAACCATGTTTAGACAGTTGCCTATCACCGTATGTGTTCTGTCTGAAAAAAAAGAGAGGATAATTTAAGGTTCTTACTCTTATGGTTCTGTAAGTGTTTTCCTCATTGACTAGAAATTTGGCGTCTTGATTAGTAGAGTTAGCCGATTCCGATGATAGCAGCAGCCTTATAGGAAAACTTACTGTTAGAGTAAAGAGAGCTTCATTCTCTTATAAGACGTAACATGACACAGTTGTGCCAATATTCACTAAAGTCGATGAAATAATGGGATTGCATCGATTCTTTTAGCCCATTCAAACCTCCTTCCCCTATAGGACAGGAACATGAAGTAACTGTGTCATCAACCCCCGAACAATTCGGGTCAGTATAAGACACTTTTCTTCTCTACCCCGGCGCTATCAGTTACATGAACCTCAGGATCTTACATCTGAGTTGCAATTTTCCATATTCTTCAGCTTGGAAAAGACTCAACTGTTTTTTGGGTTCACTTTCTCAGTTGGAGAAAGAGGCTGAAGCTAAAGGCATTCCCGTTTGTCAAGCTCTGGACATAGAAATTCCACCTCCTCGTCCTAAACGAAAACCCAATACTCCTTATCCTCGCAAACCTGGGAACAACGCTGCATCTTCCTCACAAGTACCATCAGCTAAACTTGTGTCCTCGGCCTCGCCTTCACATTGTAATCAGGTGTTGCTGGACTTGGAAAAACTGCCATTTGCCGAGGTTTTATTCCTCTTCTTCATTTCTATCATTTTTTTTGTTTGTTTCTTCTTGTGATATATTTGTTATGTTAATTTTCTCTCTCTCTCTGGTTAGAAAACGTCATCTGGAAAAGAAAATCAAGATGACAACTGTTCAGGGGTTTCTACTGTGAACAAGTATCCCTTACCAAAGAAAGTAACTCCAGGAAACCGAAACACATCCATGGATTCTGAACCGTCGCTTAGAAAGGTATAAACAGTATTAGTCCAAGAACTTGATGAATGCTGTATTTGAAGATCAATAACATGGAAAAGGAAAAACTTGTTCAATTCTTATATTTGAACAGGCAAGTGCCGATAATGGAAAAAGTAAGACCTCAAATGTGGACAACATGGTTCAAGATGCTCCCGAGAAGAACAAAGACAAAGGTGGTGACGGTATGAACAGCGCGCAGAGCTACCACCACCCTTGGCATTTCCACGCGGATGTTGTAAACGGGAATATGGCAAAATGCCCTCAGTTTCATCCCCCAGGTATGGTATCTCAAGACTTCATGTTTCGTCCTATGGGAGATCGAGTTCACGTGAATCTTCCTGCTACAACAACATCATTTGCTACTACAACTTCTCAACAACAAGTGTTTCCAGCGTGCCATTCCCAGGATGATTACCGCTCGTTTCTCCAGATCTCTTCTACTTTCTCCAATCTTATTGTCTCAACTCTCCTACAGAATCCTGCGGCACATGCTGCTGCCACATTTGCTGCTTCGGTCTGGCCCTATAATGCGAATGTCGGGAACTCTGGAGATTCATCGACGCAAATGAGCTCTTCTCCTCCGAGTATGGCCGCCATTGCTGCTGCTACAGTGGCTGCTGCAACTGCTTGGTGGGCTTCTCATGGACTTCTTCCTGTATGTGCTCCTACTCCGATCACATGCCTTCCCTTACCAACTGTTGCAGTTCCGAGTCCAGCGACGGATACCGTTGAAAATGCTCAACTACCGCTTGAGAAACAAAACACGGCTCTCCAAGATAAGAACTTGGCTTCAAAATCTCCAGCTTCATCATCCGACGATTCAGAAGAGACTGGGATAACCAAGCTTAATGGTGACTCGAAAACGAACGGTGATACGGAGGAAGTTGTTGTTGCTGATGCTGCTGCTTTGCATGATTCAAACGTTGCCCAGAAGAAAAAGCTGGTGGACCGCTCATCGTGTGGCTCAAACACACCTTCAGGGAGTGACGCGGAAACAGACGCATTGGATAAGATGGAGAAAGATAAAGAGGATGTGAGGGAGGCTGATGCAAATCAGCCAGGTTTTATTGACTTGTGTAACCGCCGGAGTAAAATCAGAGAAAGCAACAACCCAACTACTGATTCATGGAAGGAAGTCTCCGAAGGGGTAATACAAAAACCAACGTTTTCATGGATTTTGCAAAGTTTTTGTTTTTTCTTGTTTTGTTTGGAACTAACACTAACCATTCGTATAAAATCTTGTCTCAGGGTCGTATAGCGTTTCAGGCGCTCTTTGCAAGAGAGAGATTGCCTCAAAGCTTTTCACCTCCTCAAGTGGCGGAGAATGTGAACGGCAAACAAAGCGACACGTCAATGACATTGGCTCCCAATTTCATCCAGATCCAAGATTCTTGTGATGCAGACCAAGAAAGTGTCGTAATGACCACCGGTGTTGGACAGGGCAAGAGCCTGAAAACGAGACAAACAGGGTTTAAGCCATACAAGAGATGTTCGATGGAAGTGAAAGAGAGCCAAGTTGGGAGCACAAACAATCAAAGTGATGAAAAAGTCTGCAAGAGGCTTCGATTGGAAGGAGAAGCTTCAACATAAACAGACTCTGAGGTAAAATAAAAGTCCACATTTTTACCGATATCTTAAAATCTAGTGTTAGTAAATTGCTTCTTCAATCTTTATGAAAGAGACTTTTTTTTTATTTTCTTTCCTTTTTTAGATCCATCTGAACATTTCTTTGGTCATGTTAATTCCTGTACCATATTACTCCATCTCCACGTCTTGTCTATTGTCTCTGTTTGTGTCTGCTACTTGTGGTCTATATGTCTGATGCTGTTACTGTTAATTAACCATTTAAGCAATGGATTTATGTCTTTACTCTTTTTTTTCTTTTTTTTTTTGAATTCTGTATATTTTGTGAGATCATAATTAGTTTAGAATGATAAAATGAATTGTACAAAAGTTTCAACGTTGAATGTCTTTTTTTGGTCCTTCAACTTTGATTACTTTCAATGTTTAAACTTGAAGGTGGCCATTGCCAAAGGTCTTCGGCTGGGCTTGAAATTTCTTCACTACTGGGCCCATACACATAACATTTCATATTACAAGCTCAATTCATGGGCCTACGGCCCATTTACGAGGCTAATCCCGTTTTGTGTAGTGTTTAACTTTTACTTGTAGTGTAATCTGTTAATTACAAATTCAGATTTTACAGTATTTAATTTGTGTTATTGATGAATAATAGTACTAATTGGTTGAGAAATTGGCACCAATGATAAATAAAAAACTGTAATCAACAAAACAGCCGATAAAATAATTGTCCTATAATAATATTTTGCTTATTTCCAATGGCTGTAAGGAGGCGATAACATGTTATCCATTAACCGAATCGGAAAAACAGAAAATTTTGAAAAACGAATTTGATTTGTTTGTGGATACGATGAAATTATATTATTGAATCAGAGAGAAAGATACCAAAAGACCTAGTTAAGTGTGTATATTCAAAGCATTCAATAGTATTACGATTAATAGAAAGTTTGATCCGTATTTCACGGTGCTTAATGTATAAAATATAATACACGTTGAACGCTTGCATCTTCCACACCATCGCGCTTCACTTCTTTCTCTCCCACAGCTTCTCTCATCCCTGCAAAAGATTGGCTGATTCTTTTTTGATCCCAAGGTACGTCTTTTATTCTTTTCGTTTCCTTCTTAGATCTCAAAGTTGGATGCTTTTCGATGTTGAATCTTCTGGGCCTTGCTTCAAATCTCAATCATCAATCGGGTTTATAGAGAAACGAACATATTTCCCCAGATCTTTAGTGTTGTCGATAAATTAATCAAGAAATGAATCTTACTATCGATGTAATTTCAGCTTCCCTTCGTGGGGTCTGATTCGATTTTTCCATTAAATTTGGTCTCTTGATTCGATTGATAGTCTCTCTCTCTCTCTCTCTCTCTATATATATATATATATATATGTCTTGTCGGTTTAATTCAGTCAAATTCAATGAGCGATGAAACGTTTAGAGATGTGATTTATTTGACAGATGAGTGAGGAAGCGAAAGAGAACCAGAAGCTGCAGCGACCTGCTCCTCGTCTTAACGAGAGGATTCTCTCATCCTTGTCAAGACGATCCGTAGCTGCACATCCATGGCATGATCTTGAGATTGGTAATCATCGTGAAATAATGACATTGATGATTCATTTATTCCTTTTTTTCTTTTTCAAAACGAAATCATAAATCTGGATGAAATTACACATCTCTGTAGGACCTGGAGCTCCACAGATTTTCAATGTGGTAAAGTTTCTTCTACTATTTGAAGGAACTTGTACAGAGGAGATTTTTTAAAAGGTTCTTGATTCATTTAATGTTCGGATGGAAACCAGGTTGTTGAGATCACTAAAGGAAGCAAGGTCAAATATGAACTTGACAAAAAGACAGGACTCATCAAGGTTATATTATAACATCTTAATGTTGAAATTCTTCTTCCTTTTCTTCCCGTATAAATCAGTATGTTACAAAGTTTTGGTTTTCTCATCTCTCAGGTTGATCGTATTCTGTACTCATCAGTTGTTTACCCTCACAACTACGGTTTCGTTCCTCGCACTCTGTGTGAAGACAATGACCCAATTGATGTATTAGTCATCATGCAGGTATATGATTGTGTCTTTTCTCATATTATGCACCCAAAGTTATTTAGAATCTCAATAAGCAAATTTCTTTTTCTTTTTTTAGGAACCTGTGCTTCCGGGTTGTTTTCTGCGTGCCCGTGCTATTGGATTAATGCCTATGATTGACCAGGTAAAGAACTAACTTGATCGATGAAAAAGGCTCTGTTTTTCTCTCTTTACTCCAATCATATCAGTCACGTTCATTGATTCTTGGTTTTTCGTTCGCTTTTTGATTTAGGGTGAAAAAGATGACAAGATCATTGCGGTTTGCGTTGATGATCCAGAGTACAAGCATTACACTGACATCAAAGAGCTTCCTCCTCACCGTCTCTCTGAAATCCGTCGCTTCTTTGAAGACTGTATGTCCCCTCTCTTCCTCGTCTCTATCGATTTCTCTCTCAACAAGTGTCATTAGTTTTCTCATTTAACGTATATCTCTCTCATAGACAAGAAGAACGAGAACAAGGAAGTTGCAGTTAATGATTTTCTGCCATCTGAGAGTGCTGTTGAAGCTATCCAGTACTCGATGTAAGTCTCTGTTTCTTCATCAATAACCTAAACTTTTTTTAAATTGTAACAGTTTAAACAACTCTGAATTTTGATTTTCGATTACAGGGACCTATATGCTGAATACATTCTCCATACCCTCAGACGTTGAAAGCTCTTCCGCGGAACATTTCTGCAACATCTTGTTTCTGTTTCTTTCGATGATATAATAAGAAGCATCTGATCCTAATTGATACTTTCTCTGCATTTTTATTGTAAACTTTGGATTTATCATTTGTCCTTGTGAACTCAATAATTTTGTTTTAAAGACACGTCTTCTCTGGGCATTCAACATGTTGGTTTTGTTTTGGTTTAATCCTTTCTAAGAGTTCCATAAAAGTCAATACTGGATTATATAACCAAGGTTGAAATATAATCATAAATACTGTGTTGAAATGTGTAAATTCATTAAAATCTTATACATACGCAAATTCTATATAGAAACACACTTTTCTTGTACATTTTCTTTTTGAATAGTATAAAGGCTGATTCATAGCAGACCAAATCCACACCTTTAATCAGTCTTCTCTGCCAATGGAGAGTGAGAAATCAAGAGTAAATTTTATTCAAAAGTTCAAGTAAAAGAACCGCAGCAGAATCTTTGGCCTTCTTAACACTCGGCATAGGCTCTCCGATACATTCATCAGTCCACCCTTTATCGCTTGTATTCACTCTTACCCCAAAAGTAAATCTTTTTGCATGCGCCGGTCCTCCTTCTTTCACACATCTACAAATATTCACCACAAACCCGCAAAATATATCAACAAAACCCCCAAAATCGCAAAGCCCCAAAAAAGTTCACCCTCTTTTAAATTTAATGTAGTCGTCACCTGTAAGAAGGCATTGGCCAATTCTTCCTCAAGCAAATATCATTCAGAGTCTGTCTCGTAAACGTCTGATTGCCACTCTTCTTGTTCCCATTCTCGTCTTGATTCTCTCCCGCGTTCCCGTTCGCCTGCTTCTCTTTTGATTCCGCTGCTTCTTTCTCTTTCAAAGCTGCGAGCGCGTTCCTCGCCGCTAGCTTCTGAGCCATTTTCTTCTGCGGGTTCTGCGCCACTCCGATTTGAACACCGTCTATGAAAACCTCCACAGTCGCTGTGTTACCACTCCGGCTCGCTTTGTATTCTAAACCTTCCGCTTGTTGCTGGCACCGTTCTTGCAGCTCTCTAACCGGATGCATCGGAAGTGTCTCGGGTGTCACCATTGGTTGAAGCAGAGGTTGAAATACCTGAAGAATTATATGCCAAAGTTGAGAGAGAAAGAAAAACGGAATTTAGTAGCATATAGATTGTTAACCGAAATAACTAACTAACCTTCCAAGCAGCAGTTGTATCTTTTCCACTATCAAGAAAAATAGCACCTGCGATAGATTCAACAATATCTCCAAGAACTTTCGGGGCTTTACAGTCTCCCAAACCAAATGAGTTAAACCCAGGTTTCGAAGACTCTGTTAGAACTTCCTTCACAAAATCCCGAATCTGTGAAAGAATTAAATCAGGACAAAACAGTAAGTAATTTGTAGTTGTTTGAAAACAGAGTAGTTTTTTTTGGGGGGGGGGGGGGGAGTGTTATTGTGTTGACCTGTTTCTCGAGGGCGCTAGAACCGTGACGAAGGAACAAGTGGAGTTTATGCTTAACCGCAACACGAGCAAAATTCTCGTTGTTAACCGCTGCAGCTCGAAGATCTGTTAACCGACCAGGAGGAAGGCTAGTGTATGTGAAGAACAGGTGTCTTGTAATAAGATGATCCAAGACGGCATCCCCAACAAACTCCAATCTCTGGTAACACGAAACACCTGAAGACGGCCTTGAAGCATGTGTGATAGCTTCCACAAGAAGACCTTTCTCTGCAAACTCGTACTTCAGAGCTCTCTCTAGACCAACAAAGTCGATGCTCTTGAGCACGCTCTCTGGAACGTTAACCGGTTTCACCGTTCCTTCGATTTCTTCAGGCTCATCCTCCACATGGATCCCAATCCATTTCATCAGATGATTCGCTGCGATTTTACCGCCTTCGACGTAATAAACACCGATCAAAGCTTCGACAACATCAGCCAACGTCTTGCTTGATAAAACTCGATAAGAACTCAAGTCACCCTCTAGTTCACCATCTTCCATCTCTCCATCTTCAAACACGCCGCTGTTTCCCTCGGAGACCGGTGGTTTCTGCTCCTCGTCAAAAAACGAGGATCCTCCGTCTTTTGTGTCCTCGTCGAAAACCGGAGGCACACCAGGTGCCGACCACCGAGAAGGGGCGAAACGGTCCGCTTGGATATATGACTGAAGCCCTTTAAGCAGAGCGTACTGATAGAGAACCATGTTACTAACCATCTGCTGTCTCATCCTCGTAAGCTGACCCTCGTGCTTCTGAGGATACTTGAGAAACAGAAAACGACTAACGACCCATTTCAGATACGCATCTCCCAAAAGCTCCGCTCTCTCGTAGCAGAACGTCTCCTGGCACGACGCAGCAGTCAACGCCTCCAGAATCTACATACCCAAACTAAACTTGTTCAGTCACAGCAAAACAGAGCAAAAAAGACACTAACTAACTAAGCATAATCAATAAAACATACCTTTGAAGTTGGCATAGGATAGCTAATCAAGTTTTTGAGTTGAACAGCGAGCAACATGCTCTCAACTCTTCTCATTATAGAAGGTAACCTCTGGGCACCTCGGACAAGTGAACCCGAAAGCGGATGCACAACGCATAGTTCAGGTGGGAGAAACACGTAATAGGTTTTATCAAGGATCGTCTCAGATTCACCTTGAATTGCAAAAGAAGAAAGTGTTTGATCTATCTACTGGTTAAACCAATAAATTCTGAAGAGAAGAGAGAATTTCTTAGTACCTGACTGTTCGAACCGAGGAGAAAGAAGGTTCTTGCAATACGAAACACCTCGTCCTTTGATCAAAGGTTGCTGCTTGCAACTCAAATCAACTCCATACCTAACAGATAAACATTCGAGAAGAAGACCATGATAGCCCCAATAACCTCAGGTTGTGCAAGAAGAAGAAGCAAAGCCTGACTTATATATAGCCATCATAGTAGATATCTCATAATACAGAGGCAGGCTTTGCTTCTCAGTCTTGCACAACACCGGAGGTGAATCGAGGCCATGTAAGTCCTCGCGGCAACAGAAAAGTATTAGTAGAGTGATTATCTAATGAAACTTAGAAAAAAATCAAAGAAATAAAAAAAATTGGATTTTTCATACTTTTGCTTGTAATAGTCAGCATAAGTGTTGTACTCCAAGGGACCTAAATATCCCTCTTTCCTTGGGAACGATGTTTCTGCACTCATGTCGTAGCAAATAGAGTCCACATAGAACCGTTTCCCGGAATGTGCGGCCGTCACGATTTTCCCTAAAAGATGATCTGCAACCATGCACCCATCCGCCATCATCAGCTTGCCTTCTACTTCCTTCTCGAAAGCATCTCTTGCAGGTAACAATCCAGAAGCTCTCACGACATCGAAAGATGCAACAGCTCCTCTAATACCATAAGTTGGGTGAGATTTCTGCCCAAACCCAATGTTGTGACGAAGTTTACCAAACCCATACTCCCTTCTGTCCCCACCAAGTGTTCTCTCGTTAGTCCCGAGATACACATCCGGGCGAGCTCTCTGAAGCGGGTTCTCCCACACGGTGGTTTCAGTAATCTTTTCAACAAGCTCCCAGTTGATTCCTCTTATGGGTTCTGCAGACGAATCGTGAGTGACAGGGACAAACAAGTAGGCCTTTGCAGGATCCCATGGTGTCGTGGAGGGTTCCACATCAACATCTAACACTATACTCATCAATCTCACATGGAATTTTTTAATAGATGATAGCTGCACAGGAAGAAGATGCCAGCAAATATAATAAGAATTAAGAGTTTCTGGAGCAAACATAAATGTGAGGGAAAATAAAAGGTTGTTGTTGTTCGGTCCAACCTGGCTTTCTGTAATATCCAGTGATCCCCTGAAAGCAAGAGATGCTTTAGTGATCATGGCCCGAGCAACATAAAGATCCATAGACATCGATAATACCTGCCCACGGTTTTTTAAAAAAAAATCGTTAGAAAAACGGAAAAATCATTGTTATATGTACAAATTCTGAAACTTTAAAACCCGTGGAGAGGGAATCAAGAACCTCTGCATCCAGCTCATTGCCAAAAAGAACCGCGAATTCTGAAACTTCAGTTATGAATGGATCTTTTGAAGACCCGGAATCTACACATTTAACACTGTACATGTATAAATGGAATAGCTGCTTTGAGCTCTCACAAACTTCCTTTCCTGATAAAATCCATTCTCCCTGTGCCCCATTGAAAAAAAAACAATCAAGTTTTGAAACCACATCACATTTAGCAAAAAAAAAATTATATATCATAGGTTAGTGGTAACTATACCTTAAGTACATCCGCCACGCCTTCGGGATAGAACTCTCTATGCCTAGCAGTTCCAGGAACAGGTTCGCCTTCCTCATCTTGGTCAGCCTTCTCAGCGTCTTCACCGCTTCCTTTATCCGGCAATAGCATATCCGTAAATGCACCCATCTCATGCAGTTTCTTGCAACCCGCTAGACATACAGCCTGTATAATCCAGCACATTACTAATTCAAGACACGGAACACTAAAAGATACTAATACACAAATACGACAAAACGAACAAAAGATATGAAGTCCACCTGTTGTGCAAGACGCATTGAGCTGCAAACAGGACCCTCGAGTATTTCAAATGGTGCGTTGCAAGGAAGCTGAAGCCTGCATGAATACTCTGTGTGTCCCCCAGGCTTTTCGTGTTTCTCCATTCTAAACTCAGGACGAAGAATCGCATACCTGAGACACAAGAGAGAGAAATAAACCATCGTCTCAATCACAAAAAAGAATGTCATTACGAACACAAAAAGTTGTCGGTAGACTTACCTGTCACCGGGGAGCTGAGAGCAGTAGAAATGTATGAGACCAACCGCGGAATTCAAGCTAACCATGGCACCAGTTGTCTCCACCTTGTAAACTGTACCAGGCACAGCGTCAATGGAGATAAGCCTCGACGTATCTTTGAGATGACTAAGATCAGTCCTCTCTATTGCTTCTTTTCGCAGCGTCTCCTCACTGTTCCTAGCATTCCTTAAGAATGCTGCGTGAGATATATTTTCCCTGCAAGAAACACACTTAGACATATATA